AAGGATAATAGTTACTGAAGGATAATCGTTACTGAAGGATAATAGTTACTGGAGGATAATAGTTACTGAAGGATAATAGTTACTGAAGGATAATAATAGTTACTGAAGGACTACTGTGGTTGACCCCGGTGGTTTTGTTAGTACGGTGGGCCTTGCAGGGATTTGAATCCTTCTAGTATCTATTACCGCCTTCCTAATTAGTATTATATGAAGCTAATAAGACCTCCTATCTTAGTGAACCTAGTGAGCAATCAACACGCCATGCCTACCCCCGAACCTAGCACCCCCCCTCAGCAGGCAGCTGAGCAGAGGGGTAATTCTATACGCCTTAGCCGAGATGATCGAATTCGTGTTCTTACCCTCCGAGACGCTGGCTTCACCTATCAACAGATTGCAGATCAGCTTCAAATCACGCACCGCCAGGTTCAGTATACCTGTCAAAACCAGCAAATGACACCTAGGAAGGCTCCTGGGCAGCCGCCAAAGCTCTCTGAGGAAGATATTAATGATATTATAGCATTTATCTCTTCCTCTAAGCGAAATCGCCGCTTACCTTTCCATAAACTCTGTCAAGAACTTGATCTACCTGTCGGACCAACCGCCCTTGCTCATGCGTTAAAGAAACGAGGTTATACTCGCTGTATTGCCCTTCGAAAACCTCCTTTATCTGACCAGAATAAGCGTGTACGTCTTGCCTGGGCGTTAGAGCATGTAAACTAGACAACGGAGCAATGGAATCAGATTCTCTGGTCTGACGAGACATGGGTTACATCAGGCTTCCATAAACGAATCTACGTGACTAGGAAGGCTGGTGAAGAGCTAGAGGAGACATGTCTTCGCACCTCTCCTCCTAAAAGACGYGGATGGATGTTTTGGGGCTCATTTCATGGTTCTACTAAAGGACCATGTCTATTCTGGGAGAARGAATGGGGTACAATTAATGCAGAACGATATACTGAGAGGGTGGTTCCTATAATTAATGGATATCTTCGCCTGCTTAGACGRCAAGATAMCTGGCTCCAGCTAATGCAAGAYGGTGCACCTGGCCATTCTGGTTCACTTAATGAGCTTCATGAGCGTGGAATCTATCCAGTTAGATGGCCAGCTTTCTCCCCTGATCTGAATCCAATTGAGGTGGTATGGAATTGGATGAAGGACTGGATCCAAGCRAAATATCCAGATGAGAACCACCAACCAACATATGATGCTCTACGACAGATAGTTCGAGCTGCCTGGGATGCCATCCCTGAGGATTTCCTTAGGGATCTAATCGAATCTATGCCAGCTAGATGTCAGGCAGTAATCAACGCAGAAGGAGGTCATACGAAATATTAGATAATTACTAGGATAGCGGCAGAATCAATATGATTCGTTCGTTGCAAAGACCCACCGTACTAACAAAACCACCGGGGTCAACCACAGTATAGTGGTGAGGCTGCAGGAGACTAATAGTTACAGAGGCAGCTGACAGCGACCATGCCTTGTTTTGCCCCAGCTCTTAGCTGCATCCGTAGTCAGATATGATTCACTAGTTTGCTCCACAACTCTTGGCATGAAGAAAGCCACAGCTAACCCTAACATGACCAAAGGGAACATTATGTCTTTTTGGATGGAGATGCTGGGATAAGCTCGAGAAGGAGTGAAGATGGCCTGGGGAGTGTGGTATATTGCTCCAGCTGGCTATCAAGAGCTTGTGTATGAAGTTTAACTTTCCTAATTTGTGCCATGAACGCACCCAGGACACTACTCTTCGACTTGAGTAGTTCACGAGCCGCGCGAGATTGTGATGACATTGCTCTACTTACCATTTCAGCCAGTCCAAAATGACCAGCATGGGGAGTCCAGGGATTCAAACCTGTGTCCTGCTTCACTTCCAGAATCCGTAATTCTAATCTCATTATCGGGCCATTAAGGACCGCAACTTGATCTATAAATGCCAGCCTTATCCGGAGTGCTCACCGCAATCTGGCACAGACCAGTTCATCCTTTCAGCATGCTCTTTCCTCAAGTAGCCTTTGCCTGGGCAAACATGTTCTGCTTCACAAACTCCTGGAAAGCCTCCTCTTCCGCATCAGGTGGCGCACAATCCCCAGCTCTCCAGGCTACCAATGAAATTATTTCAAAATATGATAACGTCCGGCCGATAATTCAATCAAACTCTGGAAAGATGGAAGATACCGCACCGTTCAAAGCCAGCTTAGCAGATCTACACGCACCACCAATTCAAGACGTTGTCGCAGCCGAGACGAAGTTTATAATATCTTTCTTCAGAGACTACTGCGGCATTTTAATCAAAGGGGATCAGATCCATATAGTATTTACAGCTCGGTTTCAGGAGACCCCCAAAAAGATCCATCTCATATCTTGCCCACAACTGATTCACGCGCCTAATTTGACCCCTGAAGGCCGCGAGTTGCTTCGAATCAAACTCAATGCTGTTCTGGGCCGTATACCAAAAGAGGAGTAGGACAGACTCAAGAATCGCTACAACATTATCAAAAAGGAGTGGCTTATTGTTTCTGATGCCTAGGAAGAACTAGAGATTTAGTTTTATTACCTGGTTTTTTAACATGGATGTAGTCAAGTTTTATCTGAAGTGTATTTGGAAAGCTCTAGGACAGGTCTGGAAGGGATTATTGGACATGACTAGAGCCAAACTTCTTTGGCTAAGACTCATTTCTTTTGGTGTTATAATTTCTTATATTTTACCCTCCAAGACACTAGCATTAATAGCCGAAATTTTCATGTAGCCCAGCCTCTGTCTTATGACGCCAGAGGCATATATAGGAGCGATGATCACAAAGCAGATAACTTACTGTGGTTTAAAGAGGCTCTCTACATAGTCTGCATTTTCTAAATAATGTGGTTTGAAAAGGCTCTCTACTTAGTCTCCATTCTCTATCTAATATGGTTCCTATTTATCTTTCTTCTTTTATGCGCCTATTACTTTCTAGCACCGGCTAAGAGTTCAACAAAGCAAGCCAAGCCAGAGTCAACAGAGGAGATAGGTCGTAGTAGCTCTTCTGGAGCTAGTACAAGCACCTTCACGGCGACTCCTTTAATTTGCAATAATGACAGAGGATGATATTGATTTAGAGCTTTCTAAAGCCAGAGTGTACTTTGCGAACAATTATTTAATCAGTAAGGCACCCTAGTGTTAGTACATCACACTGGCTAACTAGAGCACTACTAGCGACATTATTTATCTTCATGAGATTTGAAGAAGAGCCAACCTCCCGCTTAGCACCAGCACCCGCATCTCCTGCCGTTCTTGCCAAATGCCAGCGCATTTTTCCATGTAGTTGGAACCACCTCTCCTATGGCTAATACTATATAGTGTTGATGAGCATGTCTCGAACAGAGATGTTGGGAGGAGGCCTTGGCCATTGGATTCAGAAAAGAATTAGAAAAGATCTACTTGCTAATGAGGAATTCAAGGAGAGCTTAGACAGCCAACTCGCAGTCATTGCCATGCATCTACAACAACCTGTTTGCGTCCGGGACTCTGAGGAGTCTGAGGTTACTGAGGGTGTGCTTGAAGAGTTTCTCCCTGTCTATGACAGCAACAAAGTCATCAGGACATGGATGATCAGGGTGTCTGTACTCCACTACCAGGATCTAATAATTCATACTGGGATAATCAGTGAGCATTTTACCAGATTGTCAAAGACAAAGACTTTCAAACAATTCTAGGGCTTTACAAAAAAGTTAATTAAGAATATTCTACTACTCCCAAAGCCAAAGCAAACACAGTCCTGTCTCTAGCATAGCAATCTAGATAATATTATCACCTTCTTTTGCCTGTACAGTGTTCCCTCTGTCCATATTGATTGGTCATAAGCACTTCCTTTTCTTGCATTAACCTGTTGCAGTCATTAAGGCGGCAACTATACAGGAGTAAAAAGGTTGGGCGGAAAGATAAATCTAGTAATGCAAAATAGAAGGACACTACGGAAAAAGTAAAATATATAAAATAATCACACGGGTCCAGGGGGTTCAGGGGACAGAATGTTCCAAGTCAGAATTATTCAGTCAGGATGTTTGGCTGGCTGCCAGCACCCAGAATTACGAAAACCACTCATTGTAGGCATAATTAATACTGCGCTCAGATCTTCTATGCGCCATGCACGATAATCACATCCCTGATTGAGAATATTCCCTGCTATACCAGTAAGAGTAGCCAAGGGTGAGGAGCCTCCTATCTTCCAATACACCAACCACCCCAACGAGGAAAATATGCTGGAAAAGGAGACTAGGGCGTGATATACTTGCGTACAGTATAAGTGTTATATGGATGGGAGCTTTTCTCATCTTATTTGCCCTTAACGCCCACTTTAAGAAGAAGCGCATTGCTGATCCTGAGTCTTCTGCTGCCTTCACTCAATAATTAATAACCCCCTGAAGAGCAATATAGATACTCCAAGTCCTTTGTGCACAATCATGGCCCCAGGCACTAATATATTAGATGGAAACTAGGAAGCAGCAAAATACAGGGGCAGGGAGGGAAAGCTCTCATACCAAGAAAGAAGGATAAAGAAGAACACAAGATTATAAGGGGTAGCAATCCTCATTGGCGTCTACTAGCTGATAGGTTACAGCAAGAACCAGGCATTCATACGCCCCAAGACAAAGACCTGCTATCAAGAGGCCGCCATTAATTTACAGGAAAGCTGGAGAAGCACCAAAACATGATTGGGATAAGAAGTTACCCAGTTTGCGCCTTAGGCGGCCCTGCTGTAGCTGCAGGACGGAAGTACCAGTAGGCCTAGTCTGTTGTATTTGTCACCATAAGTCTTATCCTGAGTGCTTGTACATGCAAAAGTGAGATTATGGATGTTGATCAGACACAAGGTCCTCTATACCAGGACTAGTTACCAGAATGGACTCGACCTTGATGGTGGCGTCTAGTACTTTGTTATAGCTGAGGATAGAGGACAGTTTTGCTACTTTTAAGCATTTCAGAGAGGCTCATCTAACTACTGTTGCCGGGAGGGAAGATACTCTATTCTTAGCTAAGAGCAGCTGGAATTTGTGTTCATGCAATTCTACCATCCATGGCATGCAAACTATGCTGCATTAGATGCAGGAAGTAGGATAGGGAACCTGTGTATTGTACTTGATTCATGCTAGGAGGGCAGAGAGGGATATCATACCCTACTGGAGCCCCTGCATGACTTCCCCGCTTGCAGCTTGTTGTGAGTCTATTAATTCTGTGTGCCATGAGATCGTAGGCGGTGGAAGTCCAGAGCACTTTTTGCCTCCAACTTATCCCAAAAGCTTCAGCCATCCTTATCCACTCGCTAAGCTGAATAAGTCATCTGGTGCCATACGCTACGCACGCTAGACAAGGCTCCTCAGATAGGCTGTGGCAAACTAGAAGGGTCATTGCTGCCAATCGACCAGTCTTAGGATTAGCCAAATATCGCGTAGCTAGGCGACAATGCCGGAAGCACTGTAACCAGTCAGACTCCGGTTAAAAGAAATATATAGGGAAATAATTGAAAAAGGGAAAAAAAAAAAGGGAAATAAAAAAAGTGTCCCAGATGGCGCTTCTACTTCTATATTCCATTGTTATTCAATACCCCAGAGGCACAGGCATTTCGATCTCTCATCACACTGAAAAACTGCCATTTCCCCCGCCTTGAAGCCCCAATCCTTCTTCTCATCCAGTTCCTCTCTCCTTCAGGACATTGAGTGTTCCCTTGAGCTATGGGTAGCTTCTCACCCGTCAGTCACTGATTATCTCTTCTCTTGACTTGACTTTGTGTCACCATCCTCGTTTACCGTACATATCCCCAGAGTAGAAAATAAAGGAAAGGGCCAAGTAGTCTTGATCTAATTCCAACTCTGTCGCAGCTTGTCGCACCTGCCCATCTGTGTGCTGAAATCGGTTGCCGGTCATCTTGCAGCATCTCCCACTTCCCAGGCCGATCTCAAACCTCGTTGGGTATCTGATCTCTGTTCTTGTCTGGGTGGATCCTGTGAGTAGCATGTCGTCACCTGTCACGCATACTACCCCCTCTCAAATCTGTTCGATAGGCATTGGGCTCCTCAAAATGGCTTGTCTACCTCCAGAAGCAAACTACAGCAAATAGCAAGGTCATGGACTCGAACCGCCGTGCTGGGTTTTGCTTCTATCTTGATATTCTTATCTAAATTTTAGGCCTTTCTCATTGCTGTATCTTGTATCCCCCTTTAAGGCTTCTGGCACGCTGCACCTTTCCAAGTGTTAAACAAAGCTAATCAGCGGCATTTATCTGCCGTGACTTTACCAGACCTGGATCTCTGCAGCCTCATCACCATCTCAGCTCACACTATTCTGATCCCATTGGAAGAAACAACAAAGACCTTCAAGACAATATATATTGCCGCCATCGCAGGTGTAAACTCGCTCCGATCCCGACGGCATTTTCATGTGTTGAGCACTATCTACCTCTCAGCCTTCAATGACTGTACTACCTGAGAAACATCCAACTCGRGGTTGTCCGAACGATATACCTCCTTAACAGAACCTACCATACCTCTGTCAACATCAACCTCTCAAATTGCACAATGGTGTTCAGTGCACCTGCTCCTGGGGTGGGCTCCAGTAAAAGGCCAGCATCATGCATGCAGGATGATGTTAATGGCTGGGATACTGTCCCAGTAAGTATACCGGCATTGGAAAGACATATGGAGCTGACATATATAGCCCATGGGTCTATCCATGCGTTCGTCGATCAACATCCCTTACGCCCACTATGCCATGATCTATCTCAACAACATGGGCAGACTTAAGGTGGTGGAATCTGCATCTATCCAGGAGCAAAATGAGACTGTTTTCACACCTGAAATCCATAAAAGATTCTTAGAACTCCTTGGTGCCAAAATAAAATATCAACTGCCCATGGTTCAAAGTATGTAAATACTCCGCGCACAAGTACAGTATTCTTGCTGATCTGACTTGAACAGGGTTGTCAGCTGGTAGTGCTACACCATATAGCTATAAATCTCATCAACCACTTGCTCACTTGTCTTACCACCAAACTACATGGGGTAGAAATTCTACAGCCCACTCTATGTATAGTGTACCGCCATCCATCCAGTTCTCAGTCCCTGTTAAGGAAACACCCTCTTGTAGGTCAGTGGACATGGTTGAGCTCAAGATTAGTAATACTCCTCAAGTCCTTAACTACTATGAGAAATCCTTAGAGCACTTTCAGCAGCTCAACTGTCATGAGATTGCAAAGGCATTCATTAAGTTCATTGAGCCACAAAAGCAAGTCAAGCACCCCTATAATAGGGGTAAACCCCCTGCAGGAGCCCCTCCTGGTAAGAAGGGCAACCCAGAGATGACAAAGCCTGAATGGTGGCCCCCTAATGTGGTCCACAAGGAGCCTGACCATCTTCGAAAGGATCATACATGTAACCCTCCAGAAAATCTGCAGTGTTAAGTAACTCTGCTGACAGACTTAGAACGCCTGTCTCTGTTGATCCATATCATCCAGAAGCTTAGAAGATTCGGTATCACCATGGATCAATTACAGGAAATTGCCCACAACTGCAAGCGGCGGCTCACCGACCCCCATAAACTCCTAATCTTGGACGAGGTCTTCAGAGTGAGAAGGATTGAAGAATGCTATGAAAGAGGAGAAATTAGTAAGCGGCATCTTCTTTCCATGAAACTCATTTTGACAGCTGTTGATGAGCCTCAGATGCCAACACAATCATGCATGCTGTCAACCGAATGCTGAACTAGAAAGAGAGGGATGGCGACTCCAATGTGGGTCCGAACCAGAAGCATGAGCAAGAAGATAACGCGGATGAGGCACTTCCCATTCTCCACTCTGAGATGAACTCAACCAGCCTGATGTTGAGTTCAGTTGAGTACATGGGCATGGCGGCACCAATTCGTCCAAAGGATATGGGAGATGACAGAAACCAGTTGTTTTCTTTACCGGAGTGGTTGAGCTCAGGTGAGACACCCTGGGCTGATCAGACCCTCCTTCCCACGACCTCTGAATTTACTAAAGATTATGCATCGCAGCAGATGCCCAGAACACATGCAACAACTGCACCTGTCAGCCCTAATGAGATGCATGCTGCTTTTGATTATATGACACAGGAGTCCATTACCTCCTCCACACCGGAGCAGACTTCCCCCCACCGCCAAGCACCCCTGCCCATGCAGCAGTCGGCCAGCTTCAACCCTTGGGCGCCTTCATTCCAACACAATCTCTTCAACCCAATGGTGTATGGTACTGCACCCAGTCACGCCATATCTCAGACTACTATGTCATATCAGCTTCCCAGGTCCCTGACGTCTCATCCTCAGGAAATGCCTCACATGGCTCACGGCCTGCCGAACCTGCCTCAAAACAGACCAAGCATGCATGAGCATGAGAAGCCCTTCTTTCCGCACAGGATCTTTGAGTCATCCCTGTGAGCCATCACAGCAGGCTCCTCATTCTAGCTGATGCGGCCATCCCCACAGTTGGACTCAATGTAGACCACAAGAATGAATCCTTGACCACTGTTTTGACCCTCCTGCAGCCTTGAAGGTTCGGTTCACTGATAATTGTCTTTCGAACTTGTTTTTGTTTCTTTCCCAGTCCCTGACCTTGTTGTCAATACGGACTTAGCCATTCAGCATGTTCCAGGCCAAGTGACTGCCAGGACACTCCGTGGTTTTATATAGCAGGTTCTGTCGATGACTTCCCAGTTCTTATTCGTTTAGTATATATACTCATTGCTTGCTCTATGTTCGATCATGTCTTTTTCCTTATACATACGTTCCAAAATCCTGTTGGAGACGGCGCCAGATGGCATGAGATGCAAATATGGGTGATGTTCTTGTGTTTGTTAATTTCACTTTCTTTCTCTTAATCATGATCTGAACAATTGGCAGCGAGGTGTGACGAAGCTCGTTCTCTTTGGACGCCGATCGGCTGAATAGGAGATAACCAGGCATGAGGGTGTTTCATTATAATTGTTCTGATTCTACCCATTCATGCTTACTGTTCGGTTCAATGCTACGAGCTTCTGCTTTTTACCTAAGTTTGATCAGTAAAATAATAAATAATCTGGCTGAAAGATTAGCCCCCTTACCGTGTGTTGCTCTCGCCGGTATTTGCGGTTCAACCTGCGAGGGCGAAGTGTCCATTTCGATATCCTAGGATATCGGAAATCTCACTATAGTCAGAGCCTAAGGCAGAGCTTATGGCCATTTTTGCCAAGTGAACCCGTCCATTGCAGCTTGGCTCCCCCGTTTAATCATCACTTTCGCCTGCAGCTGTGTGCAGTGTAGAAACCTGAAGCTATCAAAGAGACATAAATCACACTGATGGGCTCGCAGGCCTGTTCTAGCACATTGCAAAATCAACAGCCAAGATTTTCAAACCCAGACCTCAACACAATTCCTGTTGACGTGGAATAGATAGGATTCACAGACTTCTCTACAACGCCGCTCCCTGTCTCATGATGATGACTCTGGACTGTGGCTCATGCTGTTCCTTGAACCAGTTTTCCTTTCCTCTTTACCCAGGCCACCCTTCATTTTTAACGACGACCAGATGCAAAACGACAAGACAACGCAGAACCCTGTGAGCACCATGAACTGTACGCCCATAAGGAGGCCTCTCCAGGACGTGTTTCTTTCTAGGTACCAGCAAAGCAGTCCGACAAGGAATTCCAATACGGAAATATCAAGTAGGACCAGCGGTGCCCAGGCCACTGCTAGCTCGCCTTGTGTGACATTTTCCGCACCCTCGAACCGGAGGAGTAACACAATGCACATGATGGCCGAGATAATAGCGGTAATAATGGAGCTGCAGAGAAGACCTTCAGAAGCAGATGCGAGGCTGGAGCTTGTAGGGTGGAATTCTTCCATTGAGAGTGCAGTGGCGCTGGCAACGCTGATGAAACCATTGAGAAGGGCAAATGTCTTATAGAATTGTTTAAGACGTTGGAGAATTAGAAATGCTCTGGCGCCGAGATCTCTGCTCCAGTACTGAAAGTCCATGTTGGTCTAAACAATCACCACCAGCACCACGGCCAAGGGCATCAGGAAGGTTTTGAAACCATGATGGTTGATTTTCTACGTGTCATGAGCTCACGTGATCGTGGGCGGTAACCGCCCTGGGAAAAGAGCAATTATCATTTGTAACACGATCAAACGGATTTCAAGATCTGTATTCGACTGGCCAATGCGGTAGTTTCCCCTACCATATTTTGACGTACTTCAGAAGGGTGGATGTCCATGAAGCCCAAAGCGTTCAACCCCACGCCTACGCATGACTCTCAGTGGCACCTTTATCGACCAGGATAGCTTGCAAGACTAGCAGGATTTTGTTTCCTAGCGACAAGTGGGGATAACTAGACATGTCCGTCTCCTATCGGATATACGGAGATTCAGAAAATTGGCAACTGCGGTATCCCATTACGAACAATCACTGCAAATGGATGTGGATCGCGACTGTCTGGGAATCAACATGAGCTTGCGTATTTTGGCGGTGTTACTGTTCGAGATACATGATATATTCTTCCAATACTCGCAGTTGGATACCAAAATTTGGACTGCGCAGCGCCTGAGGACTCAGTTTACCATATAATGCAGCAGCTTTCACATCGTCCTTGATGTCACGCCTGACCTTGTCCATACCAATGCTCAGCAACCCGAGACAGCGTTCAGAGGTATCCCGGTTCCTTTGTAGACGGTCTTCCAGCATCATCGACATACCCACTAGATCGTATAGATCCCAATGCTGAGGGATGGTTGTATCGTTATCTGAGTTGCAATTTGTCCATTCCTTTGCAATTTCCCGGAGTACTCGCTGCAAATGGAGTACTGCGTTCAGTTTCCGCATACGACTGACAGAATCCCTGTTTCTAACACGGTTGATCCTCTCAGTCATCACATGTATGTCCTTTAAGAACAGGGGGACAAGGACTTGGCCCGGGACGGTCCAGATCAAAGCCGCTTCGTGACCAGCAGCATGCACGATCCTTCGATCGGCATATGTGTGGATAATTTGGATCGCCCCAGTTTCGCGAAGAGCCAAATCTGCGTTGGCAATATCAGTCTCTTTAAGACACATTTTAACTAACTCCACAGAATCTCTCGAGGCGAGACCCGGCTTTTCCACAACATAAGAGGCAAGCTCGCAAAGAACGGTTGTAACAGAGAGCCCATCGGTGATTTCCCCTTTGATAGCCTGGTGGATGATTTCAACTAAGTCGTAAGGATCCAAATATGCAGCGTAGTTTGTAGGTGGTCGTACGAAGCACAAGCGCAAACCAATGCCCCCAAGGAATCTTGAAGGATCATCGCTGGCAAGAAGTTCCTTTAAACACTTGTGTACGGCAGGTAATGGATTGCTAGACTCTCCAGACATCCTGCAGATCAACGACTCTGTCACTTGCGCCGGCAAGTCTGGGATAACTTTCTTGAAGCACCTGGGCCCAGCACCGTTAATATCAAAGTAGGTCGCTAGATATTTGAACTTACTCTGTGATTCCGGCCATTCTTATTCATGCCTGACAGTATGGCTGCCAATGAATGCAGGAGGCGGACGATAGGATCTTATAATCATTTGGTTTCCGCTTCATTGTTCTTAATCCCCCTTTCTTTAAAATTATTTACAAGAGGTGTTGAAACTACAAGCCTCCTACTACGATGATCAGTGTGATGTAAAAAAAAAAAAAATAACTTGCTTTAAAAAGAATGCATAATAGCGAAGGACACCTGTTCTAAATCCTACCTGAGCGCTTTTTTGTAGAACACTTCCCAATCCGCGACACATCCGTACAGGCCGCGGACATGTATAAAATCAAAACTATTGGCCGAGAACGTCCACTCGTCACAACAGTCGTCCACTTCGAACTGAACATTTGGCGGTACCAAATACGGTTGAATCGAGGAGAGGTCAGTACCAGTTACTCTCGCAGAGGGATGGCGGTCGGCGAAGTCACTAGGCGAAGGTGTGAGTCGAACATACACCTATATTTATCACAACCCGGCGGAACGAACATTGCCCATATGCCAGTTCCCGTTCCAATATCCAACACTTCCTATGTCACGTTTGAGATCAGGCATGGAATCACCTGGGCCAAGGGGAAAAATTTACTGCTACATACTTGAGGATTTTTCGGAATCGGTGCCGAGTATAATTCCCCGCGAAGAATGAGGGTATACAAATGGTGGCTGAAGAGCTGAAGATTGAGTCACCATTCGCGCGAGGAATCAAATTTGATTGGCGGCACTTACCCTAAATCGAGATGATCCATTGCGCGCTCGTCATTTGGGCCCTTGAAATAATGTCAGTTTAGGAATACTACGTGTTCTGAGTTTCGTAATGCACACCAATAAGCACCAGAGTGATATGCATGATATCGCCGTCCATTCTCATAATGATAGTCAAGGATGCTACTGCGAAGAGATGTCGTTTCTCTAGCCGACACGAATATTCGGTTAGTGAGCCTGACCTGGAACATGATACGTGAGCACACACGACTGGACAATTTCGCTGTACGTTGAATCGCCTTCCGATTCCGGGTGCTGGTGAATATTTAGCATAGTCTTGAAATGAAGTTGACTAAGATGCACTTAGACTTCATTGAGACATGCATACCATGGAGATTTGGGGATGGTTATTAGCCATCGTTGCTCGCAGGTATGTATTTCCGGCGACGATAATAAATGCTCAGAGAATAACGTCCGCCATCAAAGGTTATTGCAATGAGGCGCTTGGATCTTTATATTATTGAGCTTGATTGGGAGAATGACAATCATGTGACAGAACTAATGTTGTCCGTCGTGTACTAGTAGTAAACCAGAGCGGCACGGAAGGCTGGGATTCTTTTCCGCGGCAAATCGAAGGTTTACTCAATTCGTCCTAATGCAGCTTGAGTAAGAGCTGGCCAATGGGACTGGCTGGCGAACGTATCTGGGGTCGCTCAGGCATCATGTCCTATAAACATGCTCATGGACTTAATTATATTTTGCGCAGATTCCCGCCCCGTGGTGATTGTCCAGAGGGTCTGTATCACACGCAAGCGATTCTCTACCTCAGCTGTAGAAAGATACAGCAGCCGACGATTACACCATGCTCAATATCGACAAGCTCCCCACTGGTAGTGTCATATGGCTGGTTGCAGCTGGACTGGTGATTTATGTGGTCTATTGCATGCTTCATAATCTAGTCTGGCACCCCCTGGCTTCGTTTCCTGGTCCACGTGTTGCAGCAGTTACTTCTCTTTACAGGGCATATATCGAACTCGTCGCTAAATCGTCGTTTGTGTATGAGCTTGAGAAGCTACATACCCAATACGGTAAGCAAGAAACACATACAGCGAGGCCAAGCCTTCCGTTGACAACAAATGCTACCTAAGGCGACATCGTCCGTATCGGTCCCAACGAGGTATTGTCTCATCAGGGTCATCCTGGCTAATACACTGCGCTTGGACTGAAATCCTTACAACAGATCCATTTTAGAGACCCATCGGCTTATTTGGAAATCTACAATGCATCGAACAAGTGGGACAAAGAAAAGACACTTTATCACAGTTTCGGCGAGGACCGTTGTTCGTTTGGTTTTCTGACATACGATGAAGCGAAGGAAAGAAAGGATGTATTAAGAAAATTATTCTCGAAGAAAGCGGTTGCGGATGTTCAGGGACTCATTCTGGAAAAGGTATGATCCTCTTCCTCCAGCATCATCATTTTCTTACCTTTTCGAGCTAACACGGTACAAGGTATTGAAGTTGTGTGTTTCGTTCGAAATGCTAGGCTCCAAACCTGCGGACCTTTTTTATGCATATCGATGCATGTCCGTCGAGGTCATCACCTGTAAGATCTTTATATCTATCGGTCCACCTAGGACGTAGCTCCGCTAACCACATACTTTTGTGGTAGATTTGTGTTTTGGAAATGCCGTCGATGCCATTAATGCACCAAACTACGAAGCACCAATAATAAAGGCTATGGACTCATCCTTGCCTATCTTTGTCAGCTTCAAGCACTCGTCGCTCCTGAAAGCAGCAATTATGAACTGCCCTCCAAAGCTTTCCAAAATTGTCAGCCCAGCTACTTCGGGGCTTGTTGATTTACAGCAGGTTTGTTTGGTTTCTGTCCCCCCGTTATCCTGTGATCACATTTAACGTCGGGTTAAACCCAACCAGCTGCTCAAATCGCAAATAAGAGACTTGACCAGTAATCCAGAAGGACTGCAGAATCTGCCGCACTCAACAACAATATACCACGAGCTTCTTCGTCCACAAGCTTATCATAGCGGCACTGTTCCCAGTGCAGGCAGCTTGTATGAGGAAGCCCAAGCTTTACTATTTGGTGGTGCTGATACAACTGGGACAACGCTTATGCACGGCTCATTCCAGGTATTGACGTCCCCCACAGTATATGAAAAGCTGAAAGCGGAGCTACTGTCTAGGTGGCCTGTTCTGGACGAAGCGCCCAGCCTCTCCGAGCTTGAAAAACTTCCATATTTGGTAACTATCTCTTCTCACCCAGTCTTCCGTTGGGACTGTAGGTTGAATGCAGTCTAACCTTCCATGATTGACAGACTGCTGTCCTTAAAGAATCCCTTCGAATGAGTCCTGGTGTTGCCTCGCCGCTTCCGCGTGTGGTGCCGTCTTCTGGTGCGAGTATACACAAGATTTTCGTTCCTGGAGGGGTAAGTTGGTATTTTGTCGGCCCTTGATACCACGGCGACAATCTTCCCCATTAAACAGAAGGACCTGGAGCCATTCCATGGGAGCCTATATGGAGCCTGCTAGTGCACATGACATTTTCTAAATAGGGGCATTCAGTAGTGGCGTAGATACTCGGAAATATGACCAGGAATCACGTCGCCTGTGACTTCTAGGCGCGCTGCACACTGTCGGTCTGAAGTCGACTAGAGATCGATCCGGAGCCCACAACCGATCCCTTGCCCAGATTTCCTTGGGTCCTCTTAGTTCTCGCAAATGAACTGCGACCATGAATCGACATCTCCTGCTACCTCTGAGTTGATAATTGCACGGCCAAAGAGATGATCCATGCTGTCCAGCTGGCATATCTGATTGGTTCCTCTTGAAAACCTAGGCAGTACTTGATCATTCACAATCGAGAACTGTGACCAAGAATCAACATCGCCAGCGGCCTCAAGCTGCTGCGGAGTATTGTCTGATATCGCCGCAAAGTGGAAAGTGGATAGTTGATCAGCTTCCACTAGCGTCGCCGGTGTGGATTGGTCACTCAAACGCTGGAACTGTGACCAAGAATCGACATCTCCAGTGGACTCTGTGTGGGCGGCGCTGCTTGATACTTTTCGATTATCATCTGAGGGTGCGGTGGATTCACGTTGGTTATCTGACACGAAGCACGACCACGCGTCCACATCGCCTGGACTTCGCTCAAAACCTATTCCAGACTGTGCTGCTCTGAGGGTGCTGCCCTGCAGCCTTGGTGGTTGAAGGTTCTGGGTTGAGCACGGCCAGTCAGATATATCCAAGTCCGAAGCGCTGCAGGGGAAGAAAGACCAGGAGTCTACATCCGCATTCAGCGGCACTCCTCCCACTGAAATTGGGTCCGAATGGTCTAAGACGACGTTAGAATGCTCTCTTTATTTGTCTGCGTGCCTGTATGGACTGACCCTCGGAGGTAAATGCCTTTGTGTATTGCTCTAGTGGGCCTATCCATAGCAGATCTTCAAGTGGTGGATTTCCTTGCGCGAGTGACAGGGCCCCAGCKGTATCACAATGCGAACCTGACACATTACAATCCGCATTTGTAAACGTTAGGAAGGGCCTTACTAGGTGATCTAGAGGGATTCAAGATTGTGTTGATTGGTGGGAGGACACCCTGCTGACCGCTCGCTGTACAGTTGTCAGTGTATTGACTTGGACCGGACTTTGGTATTTTATTAACCTTTTGAATATACCAATTTTGAGCACCCATCTCCACCAATGATCTGATCGGGCTTAGGTGACGTTGTAACCCCAATAGCTGCTTCATAATTTCTACTATTCTGGTTTTCTGCGGTCGTCAACTGGTTTGGTAGGTAAGAGAATAGCACATTTCCAGAAACGTCATTGGTGATACGACGCCTTTTTGCTGCCCGGTTGTTATAAATTTCAAGACACTGATCAGAAGGAGCAGCTGTCTCGGGTGTACCAAATTCCGGGGTCCTCTTGGATGATGGAAATGCGCCGCCAGTCATCAGAATAGGATCTCTGACCTGGGCCTTCAAGTTAAGAAATCTTTCCCCTGGTTGCATATGTGCGGACTCAAATGAAGGTCTTGGACGCCTTTCATTTGGATATCCATTGAAAAAGATATCAATGGGAGGGAGGGGAGCAGGCTGGTGAGTTTGCTTATGGTTAGGCTGCTCATGAATTTCTGCACTTGTTGGAATAGGTTGCGTTTCTCTATGTTCTGCACAGTCCTGGCGTTCCGGTAGCGCATTCTTTTTCACCTGATCATGAAATGTTGGTGCTGTTACACCGTAATGATTAAGGTTGGTGTTAGGGAAAAAGAGCGGGAAAGGGCCATCTCCTTGTCGACAAAGCAAGTAATAGAGGCAAGGAAGATACTGCTAGGAGCTGAGCATCCTGACACTCTGCGCAGCATGGCCAGCCTGGCATCAACCTACTGGAATCAGGGAAGGTGGAATGAAGCGGAGAAGCTGGACATGCAAATAATAGAGACAAGGAAGATCATGCTGGGAGCTGAGCATCCCAACACTCTGAGCAGCATGGCAAACCTTGCGTACACCTGGCAATCTCAAAGAAGGCTTCCAGACGCCTTAGCTTTAATTGAAGCATGTTGTCGGCTGCGCAATAAGGTATTAGGTCCGGATCACCCACACACCAGAGACTCCTTTCAGACTATTGATGACTGGGAGAACCAGCATAAGTCGCTGCTAAACGGAACCCTTCCACCCTCAAACACTCAAATTGAGCAATCAGAATGCCTGCCGGAGGTTATAACACAGCACAATGGGGCTCCGACGACAGCTCAGTCACGCAGTGAAGAGCACTTCAAACTGTCCCACAGCCAGGGACGATTAGCGGCAGGATTCTTTCTCGGAGATCACCCACTTATCATAGCCTCCAGAGCACTCTCACCTGCGCCTGGGAGCCAAGACTTACATGAAATTGATTGATCCATTTACGACGAGCTATAAAGGAGTATATGATTCCGTAGAGTCCGAGAGAGATGAATCTAAAGGGAGCTGTCAGCCAGAGTTTAGTGATATATCGCTGTGTAACAGAACCATCCATTCGTACATATTGATGCGAAGTGCACTATTTAGAGCAGTACAAAGGGCGGCAATGACCAAGTAGGGGTTTGTCTTGTGCGTGGTGTGATCGACTATAGAGTGATCCGCGATTTTGTGTGTAGCTCGGAGGATCTAAAGGTGCTGTCAGTAACCTAGTTGCGAGCTGCGAGGAGCCAGGAACATACCAAAGCTGCGACTATTGATCATCATCATCATCATCATCATCATCATCATCATCATCATCAGTTGGTGTCTCGTAGGTCCGTAACACTCTATCAATCAAGCAAGCCAGTCAAGTGAGCTAGGAGAGCCCCAGACCTCGGCACTCCAACCCGCGGCCATCGAATCGCTATGGACGCTGCCAGACTCAGCCTTCACCTCGAGTCTTCTCCCATCAGTTCCACCATCGGCGGCAGCCCATAACGCACCAGAGACACCCACGGACAGCGGCGATGATAAACTCCTTTGTGCCGCAGCGGTGAGACCAGCAGCGCCAACCACCCCCACGAAGCCCGACGACTCAGCCGCAGAGCCTACTTGCTGCAACGCCATTTGGGTCGTCTTTCCCGAAGCCCAGCCCAACAGTTTCCGAGTGCCCCATTTAGAGAGGTTCTGTGCTTTTCCACTGGCCAGGAGCCGGGCCATGTAGGGCCGCACAAGCGGCCTCGCGGCCATGGCCGTCGCCTCTCCCACCACGCCGCCGGCCGCATAAACAGCAATATCCCAGCCATCAACCTGTTCGCCCATGGATGCCGAGTAAGCCACCCCTCCCGCGATACCCGATACTGCGGCCGTGGCCAGCGGGACCAGGACCTCGGTTGCCACTGCTCCGGCCAGAATACCCATTTCGGAACCCGAGACAGCGGCGAGGTTAAGGGCGCCCGCGGCGGCGGCGCCTAGCAAAGGACCCGCGATAAACGACGCGCCGATGCCGACTGCTAGGCCCAAGGCAAGGCTTGTCAAGTGTCGCACAGTGAAGAATTCGTCTTTCCACGAATGGCCCGACGGATCGGCTCGGTTCACGGGATCTCCGGAGCAGTACGCGTAGCGGTTCTCTTGTCGCCTCCGCGAGTCCATGGATATAAAGGCTAGATGCCGGGGGCTGTAGTATCGCGATCGTAGATACACGAGTCCCGTGCTGGGGTCAGAGAGTTCTTGGGCGAAGCCGAAGTTGATGGCGTATCTCTTATTGTCGTTGTTGTCGTCGTCTTGGCCCTCAGCACTGCTAAGGGGATTTCCGTACGCATCGTACGTGGCAGGCGTATATCGCCAAGTCTTGTCCTCGGCTGTATCTTGCATAATCAAAGCGGTGGAGCCGAGCTGATCAAGAAAGTATTGCTTTCCCCGGAGGTTGCTGATACTGGAAACTAGCGACGAGGTCGAGTTGGATAAGAATGATATCTGCTCCGCCTCCTCACCATCCTCCTCTGTGTTGGTACGGCGCATAGCATTGATCTTGCCCCTACTGTAGTACATCTCGGCGTCCGCAACTTGTGAGTCTCCTCGGCGATGCTGGGCCAAGAAGTCATCGGCATGGTACGTGAACCAGGTACCGGTCGATCTGCTTGCCGTGTTGGTGGCGGCAGCGCTGTTACTGCTCTCAACAGAAAGAAGGCGATCCCGGGCGTCAAACGAGTAGCGCTGGCCCGTTGCGTCCACCTTCATGCGCCCGTTGGTGTCGTATTCGATGCCCGAATCAGTGCGCTGGTCGATCTTGTTGTAAGTCATTGTGACAACGTCGTCGTTGCGGTTCAGCAAAACCACATTCGAGTTGCCATCGTACTGGTACTTTGTCACGTCCCAGGGCTTTTCTGTAGTGCTGCGACGATTCTCCTCCACCAACTGACCCAGACCATCGTACGCGAAGATACGCTCGACATTGAGACTTGGCGATGCTTCAGACGCCGAAGTTAGCGCGGTCACCCGGCCGTGGGCATCGCGGGTCAGACTGGTGTCGAGCAGGGTGATGCCGCGCGCAGTATCCCGCACCCTGGTCCGCCGGACCCGGCCGAACCCATCGTGCGTGAGCTCAGTATCATGCGCGTGCTGCTCGCCCGTCAGTTTTGTCCCGAGAACTTGGCCCTCGGTGTGGTTTACGCTGCCGTACATATACGTCACGGTGTCACTACCGCGACTTTGGCGCGAGACACTGCCGAATTCATTATATGTCATTTCTTGGACGACCCCGCAGGCATCTGTCTCGGAAATGACTCGACTGTACTGATCCAACTCGAAGATTTGCTTCCGTCCATCCCCGTAAGTCACCTGCTTGGGAGTCCCGTCAAGCGAGTATTCGTACTGGACAGCAGTTCCCCCGTCTTCTTCTTTAGTCTGTATCAGCCGGCCGTCCTTATCGAACGCATACGTTGTCTGGCTATCCGGATACGAGGTACGGGTGATCCGACCTAACGCATCGTGGTTGTAGCGGATCTCGGTCCCATCCATCCTCACAAGCTTCGTGATCCAGCCGTTTTTGTCATACACCTGGCGCTCCTCCTGGCCTTCCTGGTTTCGGAAGAGGATGGGGCGATTGGCCTGGTCGAAGACATGGATGCCGCCTTGGTGGCCGAGAAACTGCCGGCCATCGGCATAGGTGACATCCTTGGTGTAGGTGTACACATTTCCAAAGAGATCGAGGACGAAGCGTCGCTGCACGACATCGGCACCCCGGTCTGTATGCCCCGTGACAGACTGCGATAGAACTGCGTTCTCTGGGCCGTATTCCGTAACCTCGTCTCGAATAATGGTGGAAGCCCCCTTACCATAATCGTCGCTGGTCTTTCGATACAGCTTGCTCCGGATGTTGTTGCCGCGACCATCATAGCCGCGCTCCTCGATAATGCAATGGCCCCCCAGTGCATCGCCCGAGTCAGTATAACTGACTACTTCGAGGGCTTCCAAGCGCGCATTTAAGTTGCGGATTGTCCGTCGATCCCCGTTGAGCGTCTTGATTTCTCTGAAGCCGCCATTCTCATACTGGTAGCGCACCACGTTGCCCCTTGGGTCCACTGTGGTCAAGGGCCTGTCAAGCTCATCGTAGCTATAGCGAGTGGCTAGGCCTAATTGATTGCACTCTTCGATCACCCTGGACAGAGCGTCATATTTCTTGGTCCAGAGCGTCCTTGATGTGGCTGTTCCGTCCCCCGTTGGATCCCCGTTGTCGGTTGCCTCAACTTCGCGGTCGAGCATGTCCAGTCTAGTTGTCAATGTATACCCCGTGGGGGTGACGACCGTAATGAGGCTGCCCTCCGAATCGCTGGTGTGGTAGCTCGTCTTCGTTTCTAAGCCCAAGGCATCGGTGTACTTGGTGACTCGGCCTATTGCGTCGTAGGTAAATGACTCGGTCTGGCCCAAGGGCAGTGTACGGCGCGTTATGGGTCCCAGTGGCCTGCTCACGTCACGCTCGACTGTCTCCGTCTCGCCAAATGCGTTGCTATGGTGCTCAATGAGAATGGGCTCCCGGTACTCGTACTTCTTCGTGTCTGTGGCGGAGACAACGCTGCCGTTGGGGACGCGAGCGCCCGGGCTCCAGGCCAACGTTTCACTCACGAGCCTCCCTCGCACGTCGTATTGATATGTGGTGTGCTTCCACGGCTGAACAGAGGAATCGCCTCTCCCGCTCGACCGGAAGGTGATGTTGGTGGAAGATATGTCCTTTTCATCGGACGTAAGAGTGCTCTTCATGTGCTCCTCCCACTGCGCCACCTCATCCCGATAGGTTGATTGTTTCAGGATTTGCGTCCCCCTTGACGTACTGTAGTACTCTTTCTCAACCGTCGACTGCTTTTCGTATCCTTTTTTCTCGGGGCAGTAGAGTTCATCGCTGGAAGTGACCGGATTATAGTACCCGTTGTACGCGGCCGTTAATCGCCGCCTGGGCATCCACTCGGACTTCCCAGCCAATTTGGCGCAGTGAAAGACCTCAATCTTGACTGGCAACTCATATGCACACGTCCGAGCGAATCTTTCGTAATCGATTTTGTAGGTCATGAGCTTCTTGCAGGTTTCTGTGAAGTTTGTCCTGTCATCCGGGGCTGATATGATCACTTCCGTGGGCAGGTGGAGGTTATTGTACCAGGTGCGGACTCGCAAGAGGGGCTTGTCGTCTTCGTCCAACACGGTTTTGACCACATCATATCTACCAACACCATGTGAGTTCCTCGTTGGCAGCCAGGACGAAAAGAGGACAAGACTTGCCTGTACTGCGCAGATTGAGGCCCTCTATCCATCAAAGGGTCGACGTTACCACCCATCCGCAAACCTATGACGGCACCCGTGTAGGTACAATTGCTCCCTGAGCCATACACATACTGGTTGTGTCGATGGAATTTTTTGTCAGGCATGCTTACTTGATAATGGTCCTTTACTGCCGCCATGACATGGGGGATGCCATCGGGGCCGAGATAGGGTATACGGGTATAGCTGTAGCTCGATCGCAGCCCGTTGGAATATTTGACACTGGAGACCAAGCGCCTGCCTTCGAAGATGACGTACTCAAAAGTCGTCTTCAAGCCCTCCGCGTTGACTACCGAGGTGACGCCACCAGTGCCGGTCGAGAAGACGACCTTTGTCTCCGCCCCATCTGGGGCTTTGATGCTCAGGCTGGAGCCCGGTTGATGGCCGAAGGTGATTTTCTGGTGCCAGGAGTCTTCAATAGACTGTAGCCAGAGCCGGGGCGAGTCAACGCCGCATGTCAGATCATTGGCGTAAGATAGGCGGAGGTAATTTCCGTACATGTCGTGCCGCTCTCTGGGCTTGCCGGCTTGGTCGAAATAGTCAGACGAGCCGTCCGGGTTCTGCAGTATCCACCCGTACCATCCCCCTCCTCTCGAGGGTAGGGGCAGGGGCGGATCCACCTTCCTCAGCACGATGCCATGGTTATTGACATAACGCAGACCTGACTTGTGGCCGTCCGAGTCAGACCAGTCCAAGTCCACGATGTACGTGCGGCCCTTTGTGGTGAGGCTCTTGCCGCCGCAGACATAGGGAAGATCCAGCCCCCAGTTGTTGGGCAAGCCAAAGGTACCCAGGGCTCCAGCGCTGTAGAGCAAGTTCAGGTTGAAATCAAGAGCCGAGCGGAACCCGGCGAGCTTCATAAGGGGCGCTTTGATGGTCAAAGATCCCGTATTAGGATTCACCGACTCTTGGTACAACTGTTCGGCGCGGGTGAAGGCGTGGGAGCCCTGAAACTGTCCTGATGCCATGACTTCGATGTAAGTGGGCAAACTGTCGTGGGGTCACGTTGGGAAAGCTGATTTGCTTCCTTATTTCTTTCTCTTCTGTTTGAGAGAACGACAGAGGTTGCGGCTTTAGGCTTTTGAAGCAGCGTGTCGATAACGAGCGGGCAAAAGAACCCCCCTTCAATCAATAAATCTATCACTGCCGGCTCTGGGGCTAACGTCTGAGCGAATGGTGAAGGTGCAATCTCTTAGAGGGAGTMTTTACGTCACACTTCGACCCTGCATCGGTCCATGTTGTCGGATCCCCATGGCGGCGCACTTGCAACCGAATTGATCAGGAAATTGTGTGGGTGACACAGGGTTGCGTCGAAAACATCAGCACTCGTGTTCACATTTACAATGACCTTTCCCGTAATACATGCTCACCGTCTTTTTTCGGCTTGGTTGCATCCGGAAGAGTTCAGTGGGCCTCGTCTCAAGTCAGGTCGGGGTGACCGCGGTCCACCACGGATCCGTGCCCATCCAGCCGAGCTTGGCAGGTTGTGGCGAGCTGAAAATCTAAGACTGCATGGCTTTGGCAACATTGCAACATTGACGCGTCATGCATCGGGTCTCTTGGTCGTGCATGCCGCAAGCGGCAGGGGAGTGGATCATTGCCGCATTGTCCGATAGGAATGTGGCAAGCTGAGACACGACGGGAGAGCAATACTGTGATCGCTCATTCGGCCATCATCCTGTTTCCTGTCACGGGATTTTCTCTATTCGCCTTGCATCTTTTGTCTAGAGTGACATCAGTCTAAAAGAGCGGTCGCACGTAAGCAGAAAACTTCTGTTGAACCAAACAGCTGGTCCTCTTAAGTTCTGCGCAATCCTACGTTTCCTCCTCCCCCGCCAACCTTCTCTCCAATTAATCATGAAGATCAATACAATCTGTTGTCTATTGGCTGTGTCTGCCCTCTCGAGGGCTGAAGCGTTTGGTAAGTTGAGTAGCTTTTTACATCTTATCTACGGTCAGAGACAGACATAACTAACCTCTGCATCGTTCATCAAAGGTGCCTATGTCCGTGCTTGCGTCAACATGGAGGTCGAGCCAGTAGTGCCTTTCACAGTAGACTGGAAGAGTGGCGGTACTGGGGACCAATGCATGGACAAGACGGGCACTCCTGGGAAGATGGAAGTTTCGAAACAAGGCATAACATGCCGGGTTTTGGGCGACGTGTCAATTGACGATGGGTTCTTTGGTTGCCAGTGGTATGAGAGCTGGTGGACCCTTTCATACACAACCACAAACGCCACTTATTCTGGTTCGGCCCGGAGTCGATGGCAGTATTGGGGCGGGATAAAAACTGTGGAAATCACGGACCAAAGCCCAGGTACCCAACTTTGTGGCAGCGAAGCCTTATGCCCAACTACCAAGATCGAGTGGTCGAAGAGGCACTCCTATGAAAATCTTTATGTAAGTGAACACTGACGTTTTCTTTCCCCACAAATCCCAACTATTCCGATAAAAGCTGGAATTGAATTGACCGCGGCCTTTTGACAGTTCATTTTCCAACCCTCCAGATTGACGCCTTCAGAAAGCAACAGCACAGAGGTAGTCAATCTCGAGTTGTGAGGCGACACGACAACTGTTTGAAGTGGGCCCTGTCAGTTGCGTGGCACAGGATCTGATATTCCAGATTGAGTGATGTCCTTGAGCTAGTGGAAGGTGCTTTCAGCTTTACCAGGGAGAAGGACATGATGATTTCGTGCTTATAACACAAAATTCGCACCTACCTTGATGGAAATGCAATGCTTGTCGGTACGGGTTCAAACCAGCTTCTGCAGCTATATAAAGCTTCTGAGTGCCCGTGGAGCTCTTACTCTCCTCCAAAATTACTCTAAAACTATAACTCCTCGTCGCATTACAGAACAGCGTGATACTGGCGCGCGAGTATGTATTCATGCGCTGACCTCTCGCTTCGGTATATGCATTCATACAACTAAAACTGCCCATATAGAATATCACCATAGTAAAATAGTACACTTCCTTACGGCGAATTTGAAGCCTAGGATTAGGGTGTGAGATTTATACAGGGAAATTTAATTTAAACTTCTGGCCTTATCAGACTCCCATAGTGGGTCCACAGGTGACGGAAGAGTGCGGACGTCACTCGAACCCGAGTGGTAATCTAGACAACTCCACCCACTTCAATGTTCCTTCACCCACACTCCGATGTCCTGATCTTCTCAGGCTTTCCTTAAAGGTCGGAATTGAGACTAGGAATGGTCTCGAGATGCAAAAAAGGAAAACAAGTAATGTACTTCTGTCTCATGCAATGCACGAAGAGAAGAAGCTAAGAATACAATGATATAAGCAAGAATAAGAGGCCCCTATCGTGTGTTGTCATCGCAACCGTACTTCGTTCTTCGGCCCCATATTTCCTCCGGCGAATGAGACAGCTTTAGGGCACGATTACGATCTCACGTCAAATTTTCCAGTTGATCTAGACTGATTCCATACGATATTTTCCCAATTACTCCCACGCTTGATAGCACAGCCTTGCCGCATTCGTAGTACGACGAGTAGTGTTCTGGTTTCCTTATCCAGCCATGCGTCATTAATGATGTTTGGGAAGTGCGAATTACGTATCTTGCTCGTAACGCGGTTGCCAAAGTAGGCGCCTTCCACTGTCATTCGTGACTACGTATGCCTAAGATGGTATCCTTAAAGAAGTGGTTTTGGTGGTGGAAACGCTATTATCCTCCTGTCAGTCATTTTTCCACTACGCCAAAAAGGTGTCTAGACGACCATTTCTAGCATAGTAGAAATGACAGGCATATTCTGGTTGACACCTCCTTTAACCTGACCTCCTTCTTTAGCTTATTTTATTTAAAGACCGGAAGGTGGGACCCTGCATACCTGGGCGTCAAATGTTACTGGCCATGGACTTTCTCTAGCTTACTCCCTGTACTACCACCGAAATTCCTAATTTACCCGGAAATACACCGGTGTTCGCACAATTTTGCTGAATGGGTTTATCAATAGGCAGGTCAAAGTATATGGCCTAGACCCTTGTCTTAATTGGCAACGCATCACGACCGTTATGCCACCCTCATAATTATGTTGTAGGCTGCGAATCGTTGTCACCTGTCAAGTCGTCATAAATCTATGCCACTGTGCACGCAACCGGCAGATTCAAATCATTGATCATGCATTAGTTCTTGTCTATGACCAGCGCTGGTTGTTTGCGGAAGCAAGATATGCGTTAGCGAGTATTAACTTTACGTAGTATTTGGTAGTAACCTCAGCCACCCAGAATGCCGGCCTATATTTGCTAGTGTTGAGGCAAAAATGCATACTGAGTGTGGACTGCCTTCAAGGCCGATACTACAACCTTCCGATGCTATTCAGATACGATAGTAGAGCCCTTGGGTGTGGTAAATTCTATTTAAATAGAAATATGAAATTTAAAATGAACCGATTGGAAATATTAGTACCACCAAGCAAGCCCCAGAAAGCCCCCTTCCCCTTTTCTGGTCTAGCTGGACTTAGCTGACCGAGAAGAGAATTTCAGTGGTGCATCGATTGTGATCAACTAACGATCAACTGTCTGGCCCACTTAGGATGAGGCGCTATGCAAGCCTCCCAAATTACATCTTGCCTTACTGGGCTAGCGGCGCGTAGCTAGTTGAAATGACGGTTGCGGCTCCCACAGCAGAGAATAACGGGGTTTGCTCGATATGAGAGGAGTGGTACACGTGTCGTAATGCTTGGCATCTTATGTAAGTCTGACTATTCTATCCTTCTTTGCTGGCTTCTGTTACTATAACCTCTTACCTTGTGTCTAAATTTCTTAATGTCTCAGTTTTCTAATACATATACATCATCTTTCTATGATGCAGACATTACTGATAGTGGCCTTGTCCTCCCATCCGATGAGATTACACCTGATCTGTCTATCAGTCAACAGAGCTTTCCTTATGGTGCAGAGTCAGTAGTAGATTCTGACTTTATCCGACCAACCTTACCCTTAAATCCTATACCTACTTCCCTTGAGTGTGTACGCCCTGATCGCATCAATTGCTACGTGGTTTACTCCAGCATGACGAACAACGACTATGTCAACTGGTGGCTACAAACAGATTTTGGCAAGAACAGACGGCTACGGTGGGACTCACGACATTCATCTGAGGTCTGGAACCATTTTAGTCAAGTGGCTAAGGCTCAAGATGGTACACCTAAGGTAATGTGTAAACAATGCAAAGGTATCTTGGATCACCCTGGGCTTGGAAATGGGACTTCAACAATGAAAAAACATGTCAATACCTGCAACAAACGATCAAAGAATCATCATATTCAGGATTTCATGCGAGAGGTAAGCCCTGCTACCTATTATATGATATGAACTAATATCTTCTGATGTAAATAGGCATCAAAACCCCAGCTAGCAACAGTATTCAGCCAACAGGACTGGGAGACCAGTCTTCTACGATTTATTACTGAGTCACGATTACCATTTCAGCTTCTTGAACATCCTGGATTTCATAATCTGATTTCAATGGCCCAACGTGCGCCACAACAGCTAGAGATTCCATCTGCAAAAAAAGCACGGCACTGGTTACAAAGTACTATTTTTGAGCGGCATCAACAAGTCCTTAATAAGCTACCAAAAGATGGCAAAATCTCAATTGCACTGGACTGCTGGACATCTCCCTTCCAACAAGCTTTTGTGGCCGTCACTGGTTACTTTATTGATGATGACTGGAATTATCGTGAGATGCTTCTTGGATTTGAACCACTCCATGGGTCGCACTCTGGTAGTAATCTGGGCTCTGTTCTGCTGCAGCTATTACAGAGATATAATTTAACAGATTGAGTACTTGCTATTACCACCGACAATGCGTCAAATAATAGTACATTGATGGCAAGTATTCAGGAAACCATTCAATCACTGGACCTTCAAAATAATACAGCCATTATCCGAGTGCCATGCATTGCGCATGTGATTTAGTTAAGCTTGAAGCAGCTTCTTGGCCAGATGAAAGCAAATCCCAACAATGATGCCACTGAGGTGCAGTGGACTGAGTCTCAGGATCAATTAGTTCGGTCAAGACATCATAAACGGGAGATTATTGATACTTTGAACAAGGTTAGTTAGGATCTTATGGTTTCTTTCTGAAGATAATTAGTCGACTTACTCAGAGGATCTAGCTTCGAAGTTTGGCAGTTTTCATCAATGCTAGCCCACAACGCCGTGAGGCTTTCTGCAAGCTCCAGCTAAATTCTCCAGCAGTCATACCAATTCAGGATGTCCGGACACGTTGGAACTCAACCTTTCTTATGCTCCAACGGGCTAAGCGACTACAGTCATTCCTTGATGAGTTCTGTTCCAAGTACGGCCATCCATATCTGAAGCTTGACCAGGAACAGTGGCGTCAGATTGACTACTTGCTATGGATCACACAGCCATTTCACCAATTTACAACTGCACTTTTAAAGACTACAGATGTCACAGTTCATCTTATTTTTGCTATCTACAACAAGCTCTTCGACCATCTTGAAAAATCAATCAAACAGCTGGCAAGGAAAAATGTACCATGGAAAAAAGTTATGCTTACTGCTCTTCATGCAGCACGGACAAAGCTTTCCCAGTACTACAGCAAAACAGATCAGGTTGAGGGAGATTTATTTGCTATTAGTATAATGCTTACACCACAGCATAAACTTCAGTTCTCTCGGAGTAAGGACTGGGGTCCTGAATGGCTTACTCAGTATCAGCAAAGCTTTACAGATTACTTTGAGCCATACAAACAAAGTTACTCAAAGAGACAACATGGGGAAGGAACTCAAAGATCTTCAATACAGACTACAGATATTGATCTTTTCTAAATGGTTGGCTTAGATCTATTAAACCAGGAGAATAAGGACGATGAGCTTACCAAGTACCTCGAAAGCTGTAAGTATTGTTTTATTGTGATTATTTATATGTATGATTTACTAATCTATACCCTAGCTACCATCTCAGGTATGCCAGTTCGCTGATTAAGCCCAACCGATTGGCAACTAAGGGTTGCTTAAACCTTCACAGGATCTTCCCCAGGATGCCAGTATGTATCAATGCAGGATATTCAGCCTCTGTATAGAATAAATGGTGGTAAGGTGCAGGTCTACGGACGGTTTCATTTCTGCCGAGTATACGGACCAGTAGCAGCCCGACTGACATCCCTGGACAAGCAGCCATGGATCTGATAAATCAAAGCGATGGGTACGCGGACACCGGCATCGCAAGTCCAAATTTTTATAGCAACTTACCTGGGGATAGGGCAGATAAATTGGTCAATCTTCATTCTAAAACTAAGCTCTCGCAGAATGCTTGCGTGCGTCGCCCATCCTGTGCGCATTCCCTACGTATGGAAGTGACGGCTCAAGTGCCTGGTTCGAAGCGACCCATCAGCGATGACGACAACATGAACCCAGCTGAAGTACCCCAAGCTTTTGAATACTATGATATCCACAACAATGGCCGAAAATGCTATGTAATCCGCCCCGTTGTGTTCGGCCTCCCTCCTTGGGAAGAGCTTTAATAACTTAAATCGGTAGTGCACAGAGTGCAATATGAGGTGGGAGATATCATCTATATTTATATCCGCAACAGTGACGATGATGGCATTGCTCTTATCCGTGAAATTCGGGATCTTGGCGACGGCCGAGCAATGATTTGCGTTCTCTGGTATGCCGTGTTTGAGGAAGCGGTGATATACAAATGCAGAAATCTCCATCTTTGGCCTCGCGGGCATACGCATATGGTGATAATCAGCTTGCGGTTCTGATGTGGGACACCGCAAACGGTAAGGTGACTGGAGATGCTCTTAAATCACTGTGTCACGACAAGATTCTGGATCTTTGTGGGACTGGCCGCAAGATATATAATCGGCATCATAGGTCTTTTGCTTGGACAACAACCTACTGATTTGTGAAAAGTTGGGACCTCGATGCTTGAAAGGGATTTTTTATTCTCGTCCTCGATTGGAATTTAGTAGATCATTTGCACAGAAAAATAAATCAAGGATTATATTAGCTCGAAATATGCAGAGAAACCTTCCGCAAAGGTTTTACTTTCAAGGTTTATCCCAACCATGGAGGTTATGCCTTCCTTCGGCCCGTACCGGTTTCCAAAAAGGCCAATAGTCAAATCCACAAATCTGAAAATGAGTGGGATTCTTGCATTCTAATTGGCAGTAATTTTGGCACAGTATGAGTTGAAGGGAGCCAATAGGAGCGGCTGTATGAATAATTCCACGGGAATTTGCCTCGGCTGTGGCCGAGTCACATGAGGGGTGGAAACCTTTGGTTCGACTATTTCTGCTCTTCAAAGAAAATACATTCGAACAGGAAGACCAATACATACTTAAATGGTTGAACACTCTTTTGAGGGGTGGATGGGTGTTGAGGCACAATATATTCATCACTTTCAGAGCCATCCGAGAGACCTGGTTATAGAGGCTAGGGCACTGTGATCATATTCAATAAAGATGCCCCAACGAAGTGATCAACCTGCATTTGGGTGGGCCCGAAGAAATTGAGTGGTCTCTGACGAGGCATGTTACTGGCGATACAGAGCATTGAGCGGGGCGAATACATGTCTAGCAGCTCAATACTTGAGCGCTCATCATCACTTCGCGCAAACTCTGAAACCGGTTGATCACCTTGGTATTTTCCAGGGAGCTTTCCCCTGCCCCCACTCTCCAAAAAGCATCCTCTCTTTCCCCTTGGATTGAGCTAAAAATTTTATGAACTAGCTGTTGGAATTAATGGCTGCCCTATTCGTATTAGACCAGGCACATCCGAGCCAGGTCCCCTACCAAGCGCCACCGTTCTATGTCATTCAACAGAACATGAGGTCTTTTCTAGGTATGATATACGAATATATGGCTCAACTTAAGAGGCTTTCACAAATGTGAGCTATAGCGCTGTGAGCGAAACCTCTCAGAGCAGTTGACCACCGGAGACGCATTTCTTATGTTGATTTATGGAATATCTGGACCTTGCTATGTGGTATGCTACATAAAGTTATTCATGAAAAATTATTCATGGTTATGGTTCAATATGATGGGTTCTGAGACGGGAAGCTTGGCCCAGAAGGCATCCAACAAAAGGAAAGCCTTCTTGAGAGAATCCTCTTGTGACGAAATCAGGCACGTGAGGATCCCATCGAGAGAGAATGCCAGATAAGATGTATCCAATTACGTGAAACAACTCATCGGGATGGGCTCGTTCTAGAACATCTTCTATTGCACGGGATATTGAACTTTGAGTGTAGAGCAATTAGAGTGTTTTAGACCATTGTCGTGGGTTCTATGTCCATTATGGACCATAAGCTTCAGATCCGTAGCCCGCGTGGACAGCGAACCGCTCGGGACGCCAGTTGGCTGTCCGCAGGCTAGGCGGGCTCACGGACCGCGGCCCATAGTCCGGCCAGGATTGCGGACGGCTGTACTAAGGACAGGGATGAAAGTCACTAGATTTCCGTCCCTGGGCAGGAAGCTTTGGCTTGAATGTCCCTGCTAGTGGGCTGGACCGCCCTGAATGAAGCGTTGAAGTAAATATTTTCCAGGCCAGCCAGCGAATACAAATATGAAGCAAGGAGCATCAGAATAAAGCCAGGTAAGATGAATGCAAGTCCAGCAACTATCCCACCCACACGATCAGCCGATAGACAGCCAAAGAACATGCAGAGTTCTGCTGCCTCTGGGCCTAGCAATATCTGATAGAGCGAGAAGACTCGCTGGAATCGAGCAAGAGTGATCCACTTATCCTGAATCACTAATCGCTCTTTGATCAGTGCTATCTGAGCCACTGGTCCACCCCAGGCGAATAGACCAAAATTATAGAAAAAGAACCAGAACAGCTTCAAAAGAGGAAGACGCGGAAACGGGATACTACCGTAAACCAAGTGGGAAAGTAACTTAGGTCTGAATTAAGTATCAGGATAACATGCAGGCAAGTACATAAAATGGATCCGTACATTACAACTGGCTAAGCATTTTGCCATATTTCAATGAAATCTAAAGCCCTGCATCTCTGTCGTGGCAAACGATAGCCGTAAACCTCCGCCAATACAGAGCGACAAAATCGGAAATTACGAACTGTCAACTACAGCTTAGAGCACGATTCTGGTATGGCAATAATCCTCTGAAATTGGTCAAACTATTAAAGTAGCTCTCGGAACCAGGACTCATCTCTCCTAGATTTTCATTTACCAGAATACCGCAAGCAACTACCCGTTAAAAAGGCGAAAGGAAATGTGCAACAATTGGACGGCGCACCAAACTGCAAGATAATTATTATTATATAGAGTCATCATATGGGAGATGTAGAACAATTGCACCACAAAGAGTGGCTTATAGCCACTATGGGAGCTTATTGCCAGAGTAGCGTTCATTTGCACATTATGCTCTTAAAAGCCCAGATCAGACAATGAATGTATTCCCCCTCCAAGGACCTTCCCTAGCGGAAGGGAAATGGCACCTTCGAAGTCAATCGCTTGAGGACACGAAACGAGATTCCACTGCCTGTCTTCTTTTGTGTCTTCTGACGCATCCTTCTTCCCCGCAGATACGGCAACAGACGACGAGCTTTGATCTTGCGAAGGCGAAATGCCCTGCTCCCAATTCCAGAAATTTTTCGGGTCCCAGTTGGCCTTAGCTGACTGAAGCCTCTTAACGTTCTCGCCATAGTATGCTTCCAAATACCCGTCTTTGAGTCTGTTGTCGGGGAAATTGATGAATGCGGCCTTCCGGTCGATCGAATATGGCCTTAATCTCTTTTTGAACTTGTCCAAAAAATTTTCCATGTCGTCTCTTAACCACTTCTCCTCCCATACCAACATGATATATGTATGATAAATACCATCTCGCCAGGGGTATGCTGTATAACCGGATGCTTTGTCGGCGGCAACTCCCCCGGAATGAATGAACGAAACCTGCAGGAGCCCGCGTTCACCCGCGAACTTGGCTCGAAAAGACTTCATTTCGTGGCGGATGACGGAAACGATCTTCTTCATTTGGTCCGTGTTGCCGTTGGTAAAGACGAAAGAAGTGTAAATGCTGTAGTTTCGGCTAGAAGGCAGGGACTGTATTGTCTCCTCTGACCACTGGGACACGAGTGTTTCGTGGAGGAAGCGTGTTGAATGCTCCGCGGAAGTTCGCCGTTTTAGCATGTTTCCCACCTCTGCTCCTATGACCAAAGTCTGGTCGATCTCGTTATCGAATTTGCACTTGCTACCATTGTAATAGCTAATAAATCGGACCGCAAGCTCGCTATCAGTCTGGCTGAGATCGCACAACCAACTGGTGTCGATGGTCATTTCGTTACTCCACTGAGCAGTATAAAATTCACACATCGCGTCCATAAATTCACCCATATTCTCTTGCTTCGGCCGGTAAGTAAGCCTCCCTGCTGTAACTTTCTCGCTGTTCAGACATTGAACATTCATTTCTACCTCCGTGACGATCCCAAAATTTCCTCCTCCGGCACCGCAAAGTGCCCAGAACAGCTCTCGTTTGTTAGCATCCGCGTCATCCCGGCTGACCTTCCAAGTTTGCGCACGTGCGCCCGGTCCGTCTCCTCGCGGCCCTATAGCTATAGTGATTGCCTTGATAGAGTCGCACCCCATCCCCAAACTTCTTCCAAAAGGGCCAAGCCCCCCACCTAAAACGAAGCCGCTGACGCCGACCGTGGGACAGCGCCCACCATTGATCATATATCTGTCGTGCCGGCCGTTGACTAACTCTCTGTATGCATGACCCCATTTGGCGCCACCTGCAAGGGTAACTGTTTTCGGTATGTTGCTGGAATCAAGCTTAAGGTCGACCTGATTCATGTTCATCAGGTCCACCAAAACACCTTTTTCAGTGGTGGAGAATCCCGCATAGCAATGGCCTCCGTCTTTGATCGTAAGGGAAACGCCCTTTTCGTATGCTTCGTTGAGGATGGCCTTGATTTGGTCGGTAGTTTTCGGCCTAACAACCCCAGGTGGTCGCGTGAAGCGGTACAGCAAGTTTGGGGTTGCCACGGAATGTTCATACTCCGGTTCTCCAGGTTTGTATACGCGGACATTTTCCGGCTTAAATTCTTCGGATGGGCTCATTGTGGAAGTAAACGAGGTTTCGTTAAACAAAATATTTGAGTCACGCTCTCTCGTAGTCTGCCAATTGCTAAAGTATTCCAAATGCCTTGGGTGGTGAGAAGATCGATAGTTGGGTTCAGATCAAAACACTCATCGAGGGGCTTGTGCGCGTACTTATACCTACATACGGTCCCTAAGTAGCAAAAAGTCTGTTATGCTTTCCCAAGGAAAAGTTCAGATGCACGTCATATCCCACTGTCATTGTATCATCATGTCAATGTAACGTCTAGATTTCCAAATGATCCATGGATGGCGCACTATCCACCACTACGGTGTCCGTGTATAGTATGATAGAACTATCTCAGCTGACTTCTCTCGAACCTTACCTTCCAACCACGTACGCCTACATCGCCACTAGTTGGAGGCTCGATTTCCTCTGTTTTTCAGGCTCGTCGGAGTAGTCGTCAGTTAATCAAAAGCTTCGAAGACTGCAGAACAGACTTAATAAGAAACAGCAGCTTTCTAGCAGTCCTGTTACTCATATTTAGTATCTTGAGAAAGCCGCGCGAATAGCGATGCAATCTACTCAGAGAACGCCCGAAAACGTCAGAAAAAAGGCAACACTGCATGCAAGAATAGGTGACAATTTCCTGATTAATGTACCCGAAGGCCAAAATTGTGTTTAGCAGCTTGATAGGCAGCTTAATGTGCAACCTACGGAATCTACTCCGGTGCCTTGTTTACAAGCTCCGCAACGCTGTAGTGGCTGTGGAATGGTTGGAGATACAATCTTGTAATTACGGTGTCCACAAACACTAACTTATAATGAAATATGGCTAAGTAGCAAGGGATACTAACTTGCTGGATCTGTTGCCCCAAGCTCATAGGGTTCCGTCTGAATATAATTTATTTTCTATTAATTGTGAATTGACTAATTCTACGATGCGTTAAAAATAATGAGTAATCTTGTCTCGAAAATTAATTGATATGGCAGGTTTCTCTTCTCCGCTTGCGGAAAACCCCCGTATGATGTAAGATGGGTCCAGATGGTCTTTAGAATCCCTAAATCACTGCATGATACATGCAACCATCTTTATCTATGATCTAACAAGACGAGGCTACCATATTTTGGAAGCCAAAGCAGCTTGGGTTTCAGATGCAACCGGTGAAGACGGTGTATATGATGACTAACATTCGGCCGAATAACTAGTCATAGGGTACAGGATTTCGTTGACTATTTTGTATCTTATTCGGAGCCGCAATTTATGTGATCGGATAGCTGTACAAGCTGGAGAGGATAAGGTATCACTATGAAAATTTCTGTTTCTAATGGCTTTATTCTTGGGCGCAGGAGGTCATTATCCGCTTAGATATGCTCACAGTAACCCGCACGACGAGGTAATCCACGTCGTCTACTACGTAATCTACGCCTCATAGAAAAGACAGATATAGTCACCTTCAGAAGCTAATTACAGTGGCTGTCAAATTTGTCTATGGTCATAGATTATTTACTCGGTGGTTTAAACTGTATTTTGTAACATAGCTGAGTCTATGATGGTCTTGTGTTACCAGGTAAGGTTCTGTAGCGGCTGGGCCCGCTGGCAGATGCCGTCGAGTCGGTCCGAGGTTGGAACGTACGCACCAAACTCATACCGCAATTAATCAGTAGGCTAACTTCCTAGACTGTCGAACAGCTGAATGGGAACTAAAAGCAGCCTGATGGTGGTCCCACCTGCAAGGGGTGCCGCACCCCAACAAACGCGTCGGGGGTCAAACAGCTCATGTTCGAAGTGACCGAACGGATCACACCAAGCGAGTCAACGCGAAGGGAAAAGCGACCCAGAGAGCAGAACAGCCTAAGAGACGGAGTGGGCCTGCCATTATAGTTAGAGTAGCTATGATTAGCCAGGTTGCATTGCGCTCTAATTTGAACGGATTGATGATATTAGTTCTAAATTGCCATGCATCCATGTATAGGGGAATGGTAACCACCCAGGCTGGCAGTGAACCATGTCCTAATCATTATAGCCTGCTCTATCAATAACCTGTGCCTATGTTCGGCATAGTCTATGGTGATCTGGGGTGGGCCACCAGGAAGATGTAATATATATGCTAAAGCGCCTCGAGCAAATTTCTGACCCCTTTCCTAGAAAGAACTCTGGATAGAGCACAAAAAGGTTCTTTTCAAGCAGGTCCTTTTACAATGGGCGAATGTCACGGCGCATTCTGGACCCTTATTCCCTTTGATTCAAACCACAATTGTGCTTTTCCCGGTACATGGATTCCGCATTATCCTGTTGAAAATTACGTCAATATGATTTTCCGGCTCGTAGGTTGCTAAAATTCCTCTTTCTAAGCAAGTGAGGAGGAAGTTCTTGCAGACAGTCTGTTCATGGAGAATAGTGTACTAGAAACAGATATGGATAGCTGCCCACCTGTACAGATGATTGACGAATACGTATGAATGCTAAATCCTTACATCCTTACGCAAACAGCAAACAGCAATCAGTACATCGTATGAGAATCAGATCTAGAACAGTTCTACGATATAATTAATTCATACAAGTGCTTCCCAGTAGAATGGATTTCATACATTGACATCATTGATGAGTATGCCAACTTCATACTGTTTATTGGAACCACCGCCACGTACTCATACTCGCTGTTCCATAGGCATGGGTTCCTCTATAAATACATGGGCAGATTACAGCATTTATCTCGGAATACAGCAACCAAGACAAGTGAACGGAACACAAACAATCCATCCACCTCTTTATCTCTAATATCCCAGGAAACATCAATTCTCAGTACAAAAGTAAGGCATCCCTAGACATCACTGTTCTCTTCTTTTCTTCTTTTCTTGGACTTGATCTGACTTTCTAGCCAGATGTCGGGGACAGGTGAAATGTCCGGTGCGGGCAACAACTTTGATTGCCACTTGAAACTCCTCGAGCCCGAGAGAAGTGTTGAGTTTCGCGGTAACTTCGACCAAAACGTTGAAAAATGGGAGTCGGACAACATTTGGTTCAAATATGACAATGTCCATGACCTTGTTGGCGCCTACGTCATTGACACGGAAGGGTCGCCATCATACATCGGCGCTGATGATTTAAGACTCTCGTTTACAAACCAGGAAGGAGCGCAGTTTGAGATCATTGGTTCTCTCAAGGATTCCATCTCTGAGAGAACCGACGTCACCGGTCTGGGAACCTGGATCGAAGGGGGCCTTGATTAACAAGTTTGATAAATAGTTAGCGACCCTTGTCCATGGGGAGCCTAGTATGCGAAGCAGACAGTGCGGATAGGTGGATGAAGATAGCTGAGGAGGCTGAGCAGGATGATAAATTATTCCTGACCTAGATGACTGTTGCTGGTCAGATTATATGGTCTATTTTATGGGCCTATATCTATGCCCAGTTGCAAGCGTATAGCTAGCTATTATTCTCTTCAAGCTCTAATAAAAAAGTCTAGAAAATGAGAATGCAAGTCCTCATTGAAGCCGACAACATATTGAGTATACTAGACATAAAAGTACACGCATTGGACTTTGAAATAAATCTTCCAGGCTGTTTGGGTTTGGAAGTTCTCTTTATCACCGCGGACTACCCATGTGGTTTGAGGGTCCCGTTAGGGTACCAGGTTGGCAACTCCGATCCGTTTGCGGGTGATGGCGAAGTCTACGGACACGTCATTAATAAACACGGCTGGTTCGTCCTGTAAAATCATCTTTCGACTGTCATTCCAGTTTCAAGCCATGATCTTCTTCGGTTCTAGACTATATCCCAATAACAAAAGCCTAAGAGCACCTCTTGATACCATACAAAGACCACTTTCCACCCTACATCAATGTAAGGACCTCTTCTTGTTGTTTTTGTTATTAAGTGTATTGTTTTACTGAACTGCAGTCACACCGGTGGTTTAGAACTTGGGTTAAAGGCACAACGTGTTCTTTGATACACCGACATACACATGCTTAGAGTCAGATGGAATATTTATTTAAAACAAGCACTCGTCCATTAAACGTCTCTCCTGAAAGTATTTTAAGTTGGTCTAAAAATCTTTGTAAGCTGCGCTATTCCCTTGCACCTAGCTGTTGTAGATTTGTTTGCTTCTGCAAGACTTTCCAGGTCACGTGCATACGGCACATACGAATGATACGATATTGATAGTTTACCGCTAACCCTCTTCAGGTGGTTCGGTCTGGTTGCCCTTTTCGTTATCCGTTTGCCTTTATATCCGCCTGATCAAGAAGAGTGGTCTACCCTCTGTGGTATCAACTGGCGCAAGTGATCTACTATGCGACGACTTGCGTCATGAATACTAAGCGACGAAAACGACATATCCACCATAGCCTAGGGAATATGGATCACCTAGATGGTCACTGAGAAGAATTGAGCTCTGATAATGTTTTAGAGTCGCATACATGACTAGCAATTTCTGAACATTGTACTGTATTGAACATTCTAACAATTGGGTATAGTATGCGGCCAAATTTCCTCTTAAGGTCAGGTTGCAGGGCGAGAGGTAGGGCGACGACCGAGCAACAGCATTGAAGGGAACTGGTAGGGGCTTCATAAGCGCAGTTGCCTCTCCTGTTGGCCGGAGAGACTACATTGTCTTTTTGCAGCCGGGCGTGGAGGTAGCGATGGCAATACACGGGAACGGTAGCGAATTTTGTGTAGGATGGATTCGACAAGCCGCCTGCAGACTGTTAGCCTTAAAGTAATGGTCGGATCTCGGTGTTCTTGATGGCGAGAACCACACTGTTCTTCTTAGCTTTAGGGGCTGTCAACCATGGTACATCCATGCTCAAGGCGGAAGGAGTCATCATTGGGGACTGTCTTGCCGTTGGCGTAGATACGGCCTGCATACCTGCAAGTAGGTTCGCTAGAGAAGAACTCGATAGGGAACTGTTGGCTGAGAGATGTTGAACTAAGGTAGGTCGCCTAACCATGGGGAAGTGGTGTCCACAGCGGACCAACTCGCGCGCCTAGCGGCCGGCCCTCCCGCTGCCGAACCTTATCCGGTAACACAAAATAATCATAGACTCAAATCTAGTTACACTTGCAGCATATATCATTGAGCTCAACAGAAGAAATGGTCTTCCGTCATAGTGATGATTATAATTACCGAAGTGATTCTGAAGGTGACCATACATATCTCCCTTCTACGACGCGAACATTAGACTGTGGGTATTTGTAAACTCAAAGTTGGCATTTGTCCCCACTTGTAATCACCCATTCATACCGCGTGCGAGTGCAACGTATCTACACCCAGCTTAGATTTCCGGGAACGGAGGTTGAGAGGAATCGATCATATTCTAGAATAAGTCGTGAGATAAATCGAACGTCATGTATGGCCAACATTTAAGCACACCTGCTTTATGTTATGGCGACACCTAAAGGGATCTACCGGTCACAATTAACATGTTAGCAAAGCATAAAGGCAGCATGAATCTCTTCATGCTTTCTAACCTTTCAACTCCCAGACTGTAATTTTTTCCACCAGGTCATTGAACTGAAACTGTGACCTCAAAAACCTTCATCTATACAGCCATCTTGTTTTGAAAGCCTTCATCCCGCAAAAATGGCCGCTTTGACTGCATCTGGTTCCCGTCAGCCAAGAACAGCTGATGAAGAGACCTACCAACTCTTCTGCAAGAGTCTGGGCCCCGATGGAAGCCTTTTTACGGAAGATGAAATTAAAGCGGCTTACCAATCGGAGTCCGAAAAGCCTGGCGGACTCGAAGTCCTCAAGGCTAATCTTAAGGATATCTGGTCACCGAGAGTTAGATGGGAATGCAGAATCCCAATAACTCAGGGAAGTCTTACCATAACATCTGCCAAGGTATCTTTCTTTGCTCAGGTTACAGACTGGGGTATGCAGTTCAAAGGGGATTTTTATGGCTTTTTCTTCCCTACCCTACCCCAGGTCAATGTAATGTATTCTTGACCAATCCCCTAGCAGTATAGTGCCTTTCGTTAACTGTTCGACTGTAGGGGTTGGGTTCTGTACAACGACGCCAGTGCTCTTCAGCATGTTGGACGTGAGGATGCCCGAATTTCCCTTACCGCCCTGGAGTCAAAGGTAGGCCGCTTCTGGTCAAAAAGATCCATTCCACATGTATTCTAACAATCACCTAAGGTCTATATCGAGATCTTTCCCAATGACGGCGGACCTGCTATTGCTGCCATTTTACTCGATAGGTTTGTAACATCCATTCATCAGCCTACTCGTGGATTCGTCTATCTCAGCAAGGTTGAATAGAGGACTCGACAAATCAGATAGCATGGAGAGCCCATGCTATATATTCTTATGTTCATGTTCGTTGCTATTCGTGGGCTTGGTCCAGGCAGAAGGCTGTTAGTTATGCCTCTGGTATGGGTTTTTTCCTACTGCAGTAGGTTTTCCCCCTACCGTTTTGTGAATGCAAGAGGCATCTTCGCAGCATAGTTGGTTATCAAATAAATCCTCTAGTCCGAACAAAAGTAGCATGATGACACCTCACTGTACACGTAAAGAAAGGTTTGCATCTCTATATATGCGTTTGATTGACTCTGGAGCTTAACGCTTTGTAGTTGTTGCCGCTGTCTTCTTCATTGCCCTCTCAAGGTCTTCCTTTTGCATTTCAACTTGTGGTAAGTCTTTCATTTTGTAGTCGCCGTCCTCATCGTAAGGGTCACAATCGTAAAATTGATCATTGTCATCGTCATGATCAGCTGGCGTTTGTGTACTCAGTGCGGCCATTCTTGCTCCAACTGTAACTTCTGCGCCTGGCTTTTGCGTACACACGGCGGCTGGCCTTTCTCCAAGTTGGACTTCTGCTGCTGGCTTTTTGGTTCTCAAAATTCTGAGCTTACTGAAGGCCATTCTGAGCCCTGTGTTCTCCCTGAGTAATTTGTCGCTCGAAAGGTTGGGAGTTTTGCGGTGAAGTAAGCTTACAGTTGAAGGCCATTTTAGCTCTTTCTTGTCTTACCATACTGGAACTTGAGTAGCTGAGCTTATTTTCTTTATATTTTGTTGGTTGACCAAAGGCGGAGCCACCTTTATATGAGCTCAATGGGTCTCCCAAACATTGCGTATGTTGACAACGCTCAAATTCGCTTCCCTGCCATGATGACGGACGTTAAATATTCTGCAAAAGGGGAGGTGCTCTATTAAATTCGTGACTTCTTGCAGATATGGATGACTTGGCGTTCGTATGAGGTCTTCATAATTTGATGTCCTGGGTAACAACAGGAGCTATCCTTCTGTGTGGCTTTTTATGTTACATCTGACCATAAAAATTCGAGAGTCGGAGCACACCAGGGCTTATTTTTCTATTTAAACTCTGAACAGCCGGACCAGCTGGTCCGTAACCCAACATCTGCTTTCAATAGCTGTGCTTTCACCAGCTGTCAGCATGGGATTTCCAGGTGGGTAAGAACATGATCCTTTTGATCTCAAATACTTACTGAAGTTCCAGCTTGGCCTAACCGGGAGCGCCATGCTCGATTTAAGCTGGAATCGTTTTTGCCCCCGGATACGAGGCGGTCAAGCCTGGACGCTGCCTTGTTCGACGAAGATTGGCGTTTAAGAGATGGTTGGACCTGCGAGTACACAGATGGAGGGGGCGCGATTTTTGTCTTCAAGAATAAGGGGGACATAGATGGGCCAGGCATCACAGACACACAGTTAAAGAAGTATCGCCACAAGCAACCGCTACCAGCACCACGTCGTAGCGGTGGCAGCCTTTTCGGCTAGAACAACGGTTTGAACTTTGACAGATCTTAGATCTTCACACCAACCTGAAGCGACGGCCTAGTTTCAGTTGAATATTTAACAAAGTGACTGCCATAAGACTTTGAGGTCTCTTGTAAATAAGTTACGTAGACGCAAGATAAAGGCGACCAGTATGCTACGTGTCCTCAAAATAGCAAAATGACCGCCCCAGTCATGGCACCATTACAGGGAGTGTAGTTCACTGATACAATAGGATCAGCGATTGCGAGGCGTAACACATTTATACACTGTCCCTCTAATACAATAGCATGTGGAGCAACATCTTGGCGAAACCAGCTTCATCGACCGCATAACGATACTATGTCAGGCACTCCACTAAATTGTCTACTCTTCAGCCATCGTACCGGATTATCTTTGAAAAGGTTTTACGAGCCTTCAGGAGGGCTAGCTTGATTTGCCTACCTAGACTCACGTAGAAGCCAGTCAACAATTGAGAGTAATAAGTAGATATCAGAAGCCATAGAAATCAGGAGCAGCCTTACCTGCCAGGTTCAGCTCTCTATGGCATAAGCCTGTCATTCTTCTTTTACAGTTTTATGACAATGACACTCAAAGTCTGTCTGGTTTGCAGCTGCCCTTCTAGAAACTTCAGCAAGTTCACAAAAGCGACTCTAATTGTACGCCTAATACTTTATAAAAATTACGTCAATATAAGGCTAGTATAAGTTAGACTGCGGAAGCGGCTTTGAGAAACAGTTGAAGAGTGTAAACAATGTAAAGCCGAACCTGGAAGGCGCTGTATGCAGTGACTAGATCTGTTGTTCTGCGTTACTGATACTGGAGGGACTTGGAGCGTTTGACACCTCGCTCTCACCCCACCAGCGATGACGAAGAATAGCATATTATGAACTTGAATGTCTAAATTGAGATATAGTACGCACTTGAAAAGCATAAATAGAACATCCGTCACCCTGAATTCATGTTGTCAAAGCTCAGCACTTCAAGCCATCAACATGCATATCTCCAGTGTCATCTCTCTCTCTCTCCTTTCTACCTGTATCCTTGCCTCCAGCGCAGTCATTCATTCCGATTTTGCGAAGCGCAAGTCTGTTGACTGCCAGAAAATTCAGATTGCTCTTGGTGAAGCCGGTGCATACTATCGAGGTAGACTGAGCGGGTACTATGGGCAAGCATATGTATGTCAATTGACAAAGACCTGAGAAAGCGGTTACTAAGTTCATTTCAAGATCACGTTTGCCAATAATCTTCAAGCCTTCGAGAATCTAGGCAGTCGCACATTGCGTCAATGTCATGATATGGCATCTCTCTAGGTTATTGACGTCTGAACATGAGTATGTTTCTTATACAGTACGGGAAATATGATGTGGAGGTCGCGATTGGTGATAATATTGAAGAAGCTGAAGCTCGTTGGTGGAAGGCTATCTTGGTTGGTATTGACGATATGCGGGATTCAGGCTGACAGGCAGTGTTACAGGATGGCTTCCCATGATCGGGTATCATCATATTGTAATGATTATCTGTTTGATTACAATTATCCTTCTATGTAAGCATAGTGATAGAGATTGATTCACCCTTGTTCGAATGCAGTACTCACAATCTACTAGCAATTCTGCTTGCTGGATGCACCTCCTCCAACGGCCTGAGCAATGTCTATCTGGTTTTCCTTAAATACAGAAATTCCAGCAGCTTGATTCTGAGTGACCCCGTGCTGGTAAACCCAGCCATTGCAGAGAAGGTCTACAATGTTCATGCTTATTTAGGTCTGCATAGGAGACCCTGAATACTTATTATAGATCAGGCAATAGAAGTTCGGTAATGTTACTGTAGACATGCAACAGGTGGAGTATGCAGATGAACCCTTGGATAGTGGATAGTTACTGTTTACCTTTTGGTTTCATGGCCCACTATTACGTCACATCACTTGATTTAACTTACATTCTGAATCTTAAATATTGCCTGTCATTACTAGTTTTCCTGTCGTCTAGGCTGACAAGGTTTCTGAATAAGTCGGGCCCTTTTTAAGAAAAATACCAATTCTTAAAGTTAAACCACCGACTGTCTGCGCTGAAACTAACCCCACTGATTTGACTGTTACTAAGACCAATCTGCATATCTAAGTTCTGATCTCCAAATGTAATTGCTTGTTGACTGATTCTAGCTCTTAGCTGTAGTCTTTCTAAGAGAGTTCTCCTGTACTTCCCCCATTAGTTCATGGAGCTCCTGGAAAGCATGTAGTGCTTATAGACATGTTCTCCCTGATGGAACATACAAATTCACTCCTAGCCGCCAGTCAAATGGTCAAGATGTTGATAGGGGCTCAATTTGTGCTGGTGCTTTAATAGTGACTGCCCACTCTCTAGTGGCTAGTCTGTCTCCTGTATCCCTCACTACCTGGCCAAGAATCAACATCGCCAGCGGTGATATCGCCGCAAAATGGACAGGATAGTTAGTCAGCTTCCACTAGCGTCGCTGGTGGGGATTGACCACTCAAAAGCTGGAACTGTGACCAAGAATCGACATCTTCAGTGAACTTACAGTGGGGGTTCAAAAGTATTTGATCCCTTCGGTGATACTAGCGGGTTTCGGGGGGTCAAATACTTTTGAACCCCCACTGTAGCCCGTAGGCAGCCGATGGTGGAGGCCTCAACTAATAACCACTAGTTAATCAAAACTCTGTCATTACAGTAGGCCCAGAAAGACGAAGCCCGTACAATACCATACTCGCCGTCTACCTCCCATCTTTTTTGATTTAGCTTTTTAATAAGATATCGCTCTGAAAGTGATGCCATTTTGTATATGCCAGTGCGGAGAAGACATAGGCTGCTCACAAGTAGGTGGCTCAGTGCGCAAGTCATGGGCGCATCGTAAGGCGGACGCCAATCGTATCAAGCGTGACGGAGTTTCGCACGCAATATCGTGGCCCTCCTTAACCATGATAACGCATCGATCAATCCGGTCGAGGCTACATTAGTAATCCCTCGCAGGATCCGATTTGGCTGGAAGTTGAGATGCCGACCCCGCCATCTCAATGAAAACCGACATCTCAACGATAAAAGCTTCAAATGTCGTATCCCTCTTAGAATTTCTATTATTTCTCAACCACCACCATGCCGGATGATTATCCTGAGATAGAAGATCGAATTGAGAGAGCTCTGCGCGCGTTACGGCGTCAAGAAAATCCAAATATCTCAAAAACTGCGCGAGAGTTTAATGTCCCAATGCAGAGGCTTCGACGCCGCTGGCTTGGGACACCTTCACGCTGCGATAGGCCCCCAACGAATACAAAGCTTTCCGCAGAGCAGGAGACAGCTCTTAGGAGATATATTGACATACTTATCAAGTTAGATATCCCCCCGCGGCCAAAGGCAATTGGTAAAGCAGCAGATTCGATACTCCGGGATGGACATACTGATCCAACGACCCCCCCCCTTCTTCAGATCGGCGAGAAATGGACGAAACGCTTCCTTGAACGCTATCCACAATATCGAATACGAAGGCAGAGAGCTATCGAATTGGAGCGGAAGCAGGCGCATGACCCTATGGTCATCGAGATGTGGTTCCATAACCTGAAGGCGTTGATGGAACGAAATTGTATCCATCCACGAGACCTATACAACTTTGACGAGACTGGCTTCCAGATTGGAATCGGTAAAGATCAATGGATAGTCACTAGTGAGTTTAAGAAGCCTTCTTTCTCTCCTAGTAATACCAATCGGGAATATGCAACGGTCGTGGAAGCAATCAGTGCGGATGGTCACTTTATTCCACCTTTTATTCTCTTCCCTGGCAAGTGCGTCTTAGCCTTGGAAGACATGCTGGGATGAGGGAAATGTGATTGACCAGAACGGAAAGAAATAGCAGTACTATTATTTATACTTTGGACACACACCCAAAAATCATCCTCTCAATTTCAGTCAAATCAACCGTTTGCAGAGAACCTGTGCCGTGAAGTCTGGCTGCTCATAATCTAATAACTACTCTATGGAAGCTTTGTGGTTAAATTTCATGGTCTGGAACGATGGCTTGAAGGGTCTATGGACGTAATGTAAACTTAAAATTAAGGTATGTACGACATCTCCCTTAGTCCCTTGTACAAGAAATATGCTCAGATGATGCTTTTCAGGCTATCCCTAAGAGGTTGATTGCATGCAACCCAGTTGCTCTTACTGGTTAACGGTAAGAAGCAGACAATACACATCATCGTCGATATATTTTGCAATAGAATGTTATACGGCAAAAATCAGATAGCTGAGTAAAGGAAGATAAAGTGACACTTTCAAACAAGCGTTCGTGTCCATGTTGTAACTAGCAACCCTATGCTGTTTGGGACTCTTTCCCGTTTTCCCTTTCATGCAGTCTTTTTCAGGAGAGTTATCACAGTAGTGCAGGAATAGCAGTCTGGGTCGCCGTAGTTCAGGAGCTCCCTGATAACCTTGATATGGCCTCTTTGTAAGGATTCGAACAAAACGTCATGGAAGCCCGGCGAGCGATGCCCCAAAAAATCCTCCAGCATTATTGAGACAACATCTGCATGTCCTTCCCCGGTCCCTGGGGGACCGTCAATGAGTCTTAGCGAAATGGACCTTCCTTTTAGTCACGTGACCATGCGGCCGAAATAGGCGGCTGCGGCGCAAATCCCAATTGTACGGAGACTCCTAAAGTTCAGATACATTGGAGACTTTCCAGCTCTTCAGAGGCCGGGTGTGGGGTGCACCCTACCCGTGCAAGCCTCTTTACATCGTCACTGCCGTCGGGTGCAATACGGCGCTCCAGATCATTTATGTACAGGACGATGGCCTCAGAAGGCTGAGTGTTCCACCAACCATGTATAAGCTTCCCGTAACAAGGACTTCCATTCCATCTTCGCGATCCCCTATTTCCCTTGCAAGCCTTACTGCCCCCTCAATTGTAGGTGCAGTTGTAACCATGGCCTGCGGATCAAGTTCCTTCCACACCGAGGTGTATAAGGCGCATACGTCATGTGATAGTGACTCAGAGTCTTTGATGGTCCGGTCTGCCCACATAACGTAAATTCATCAGTCAAGACCTGGAAAAGATTTCTCCTATCTCCACTTACCGATAGGGTCACCATCTTTCTCTTGATATGTAGTAAAAATGACATGGCCAGGTTTCACATTGTTTTTAAAGAGTGTGTGCGCTAAAGATTGCACGAGCGCCACTCCATCTCGCTCTTCTGACAGATGGCTGAAAATAAGGGCGTGGCACCTTGCTATCTTAGCTGACAATAATTTTTGAACTGTATTTGGTTGACTTACTTCTGCTCATTATTCACGTTCCTGGCAAACCATTCTGCAGTCTGTTCTAAACTGAGAATGTTGTGCGCCCCATCCACAAACCATTGTAACTTCCCTTCATCTATAACCTCAAACCTCCCTGTCAGCCGAAAACTTTGCACACCATGGTAGATGTCTGCATCACTAAGTGTATGGCCGGGTGCTTTGGTTCGAAGAAATGCTTTAGTGAGCTCAAGCGCTAAGGAGCAGTTCAATCGTTGTACTGGGACGCTGAGTACTCTACCATCGGTGGGAAGGCATTCATTTTCTGACACGAACGTCAAAGTTGTGCCTTTATCAAGAGCACGCTTTCGCATAACTTCCGCGGGCCCAGGGTCCTGGGTTACGGAAAAGGAAGGTGCACCTGGTTTAAATATTCCTGCTTTGTGCCAAGCAATAGTCTCGATGGTAGGTCCGAGCTGTGCAACATGGTCCATTCCGAGAGATGTGATTCCGGTTACAACGGGATTTCGTATTACGTTTGTTGCATCATACTCTCCGCCATGGTGGACCTCGAATATTGCCGCGTCGACCTCTTCTTTGATGAAGGTGTGGAAAGCCAATAGGGCGAGAAACTGCAGGTATCGGGGCTGCTTTGCGACTCCCGCATCCAGTTCTATATCTGCAGGCATAATGCGATCCCACACTTCGAAGAAATATCGGGTAAACAATTCCTCCGCGACTGGATGGTCATCAATCTGTATTCGTTCGCGGACGCATTGCAAATGTGGCCCCGTATAGAGCCCAATCTTCTTGGGAAACCCCGTCCTCACGCTATGTGCACGAAGGAAGCTGCGTGTAAAAGCGCAGGTGCTACCCTTCCCCTTCGTGCCGCTGACATGAATTACATTCAAGTTGTTTACCGCATTATCCTAGAACAAGTCAATTACCGGTGTATCGGAGTTCATGAATAATTCGTACTGAGTGCCCTAAACTTTGCAGCCATTCCTTCATTCCAACCAAGCTCGGTACGCCTTTGAGAGAGTTCCCATTCACTGTCGTGGTATCTTGAATGGTGGAAACCGGAGTTGTCAGACTCGTCGGTCGGCTCGTCGGTCGGGCTTTACGTCGTCTGGTTTCAAGGAGTTTGAGTGCGCTCTTCGCGTTGTTAGTCCTGGTATCAAAACTCAATGGAGAGATATACCTCGTAAGTGCGTTTCATTGCGGCTTTATGTGATGGTTTAATCTCTGGTTGACGATTCCACATCCACTCGAGGTTGCCTTCGCTCCTCTTCCCATCTGTCATCTTAGCTGGCACGTGGCACGCTAGTGGTTGGTCCATTGTGCCCCGCAACGGGTACGAGGCCCAACGGACCTATTGACAGTTTATCAGTTATGCCCGAAGAGGGTATAAAGTCATTTGCACAATGCTTGCTACTGTAGGATGATTTCAGTTGCTGGCTGAAAATCAGTACCTAAACGAAAATTCATACATGGCATTAAAGAAATTATGCGGCCTTTATCCCTCAGAGACCTTGCGTGGCTTTGGTAATGTAGTCGTGCCAATGGGAATTGAAAATGGGAATCCAATATATGCGAGCCTCTGATTCCATATCTGATCTCGCCTCTTGCAGTAAATGCGCGCCATCTGTCTCACGCCCGGTCATTAAAAGTGCATGAGCGACAGAGCAACGCACGAGACCGGCATTGAAACTCTTATCCTGGCCCAGGCGCCGCAAGGCTGATAAAGCGTTTCTCCAGCGTGAAATCGCTTGCTCCCACTCAAACTGCTTATGAGAATTCCTTGCCAGTGAAATCCAGAGGCGGAAAACGTAGAATTGAGCATTATAGTCCGGTTCATTAGTAGATGAAAAAGCGCGTTGAAGCTCAAGCAGAAGCTCTTCGGCCTGTACAAACATATTCCGTTCCAGGTAAGTCTCTGCCAGCGACATTCTTAGTCGTCGGCCCGTGGCGATGTCCTGAGTGCCCTTCTCTCTCATCGGAGTTAACTCATGAAGCAGGAGCTTTTCTGCCTCAAGCGGCTGGCCCAGCTCGCAACGTAGGTCTGCCACTTCCGAAAGGAGTACCCGGTACCAGCCGGTTCCCTCAAAGTACTCATCGAGGAGGCAGCTTTGAAGGATACCATCAAGTAGAGTTAAGGCTTCATGGAAGAGGCCCTGGAGTCGAAGGATCTTGCCCAGAGTTATGTCTCGGGCTCTTGATGTGATTTTTTCAAGAGAGGAAGGGACATCGTCCAGCGGCTGCCACTCTGTCAACTCCGCTTTCGCTTCGACGAGCTTCTGTTGGCGGATTAGATTCTCCGCGAATGAAATGATAAGCTCCCCACGTTGGGCGTTATATCTCCGACTCAATTCCAACTCTCTCTCTTGGGGTGCAGCCGCGTCGTGCAAGAACCTATGCAGGGCGCTCTCCGACTCCTTTAATTTTCCTGACATTCTCATTACCGAGCTCTCCCTAAATGCGAGCCAGGCACTTAGGAACCGATCATTGTCACCTTCGAGGAGCTTTTTGGTACGGTCAATTGCCTCGACCTTCCACTTTGCATCCGAAAACCGCGAAGCGGCGAGAAGAGTCGATGCAAGTTCGTGCCGGAAGGAGGCATGGTCGCCGTACTCGAGACTCATTGCATCATATTCAGAAAGGGTTCGGCTCAGGTGGGGTAACAACTTCCTTCCAAACTCTCCATTTCTGTGTAGGCATTAGCTGGTGACTCCCGAATAGAAAAGAAGGAACCTACTGCTGCTCAAGGAAGCGATTCCTCGGGAAGGCATGACAAACGAGCAGGAGAGCTTGCCATCGCCATTTCCTCACATCGGACGACGACAACCGCTTTACAGCACAGTACTGGACAAGCGGATGAATGGAAAAGCTCCTAAGCCCTTCAGATTCTTTATTGCAGGAAATCAGTGAGAAAGAAAGCAGCTTCTCCACGGCCGTATCAAACTCAAAATCTCCTTGGATGACCTGGATCAATTGTCTCTCCACCCCTTCCATTTCCGCATCCACCTCAGTCATCTCACCATCCTCACCCCATCTTCTTTGGGGAGAGGAGCCTCGATGTAGAAGCATTTCCGGAATCGAAGACGGTTCCAGAAACGAGAACAGAAGAAGAAGTGAGGCGGCTCCTGAGGACTCTCGCTCCACTTGCTTAAAATTGATTTCCCAGGTTGTTAATACTGCCTTTTCAGAGTCTCCAAGACGTGAAGCAAAGCCAAGCAAATAATCTCGCCGAGTTGTATACAACCTACAGTATTCCCGAAGGCTTCTGTGCCTTGAGCGGACGAATGCCCCGGCCTGTACTAAGGCGAGAGGAAGAGACCCGAGGAGGACTGTGACGGTCCTTGCGTCTTCAACATCCCCTTCGGTAGGGTTCTGGATCCCTGACTTTTCGAGTAGTAGTTGCACCGCATCATTTTCCGTCAGGGGACTTAGGACGTGGCCGTTCTCGGCTATGCTGCCAATCACCGCCTGGTCACGACTGGTGATAATAATGTGGCCCCAGTTCACGGCCGGGTAAAACTTATGAAGTGGTACGTTGTCCAGATCGTCTGCATTATCGAACACCAGAAGCCACTTATTGTTTTCAGGCCGAGATAGCCAGCCTTTAACGGCGCCAATCTTGTCCTTAGAATCTCCAAGCCTAAGAAGCTCATGTAAGCGGTCAAAGTCTGCCGAAAGCGAGATCACTGATGTTGCGTTTATAAAGGCAATCCCTGACGGGTATTTTGACAAATTTTGGACGGCATAGTGCAAAGCTGTCTGTGTTTTCCCCGCGCCCCCTGCGTCAGGTTAGCAAAGATCATATATTGATTATCGTGCATAAGTTTACCAAGACCGCATATTGCGAATGTCCGTCTGCCTTGAGCCTTCTTCTGGTCTTCGTGGAAGTACGTATTCAGCATGCCAAATACATCATCTCTTCCACGGAAAAACGAGCATGGCTGCGTTCTTAGGTCGAATGGAATAGAAGACTCTATTTAGAAGTCAGTATGTCCATACGAGAATGTCCGTTGAATTTACCATTGTTTTGGTCCATGAAAGGTCGCATTTCACCCGGATAGCCGCTGCGTAGGGTCTGGGCAAAGTCTTTCAACCGAGAAACCACGGGTCGAAATGACCGATCCTGCGAAGATCTGAATCTTGCGATATTCCTGTGGTCGGCGAACTGGGGGACGGCGATCTCATGGGGAACATTTAGAATCGCAGAGCGCTGGTCGACGATCTAAGGGCGGGTTAGCCGGATGGAACTATGAAGGCATTCTCGAGATGGAGTTACCAGTCTTCTTAAAAAGGGGCCGATGGAGGTGAACTCGAGCTCATAGAAGGATACAAGTTGAACTTTCCTCCTCCTCTTGAGGAAGTCTTCAGTAATTTCTAACAGGACCTCTGAGTCCTTCTGCAGCGTCCCTATAAGCGCACGGGGAGTCCTGATTGGCGAAAATGCCGAGACAATATTTGCCAGGACCTTGCCCATGGCTGCGAGGCTGCTGCCGTTATGAGGGGTGCCTAAACCCCGTCAGTAGACGATATATATACGAAGCCTTGAGATTATCTTACCAAGGAATAAGATCCCGTATACGGCTTGTTGGACCTGCTCTTGCTCCTGGGTACAACCTATCAACAGCGCCTTTTCAGCGGCTAAGTATATGTCCGAAAGTAAACCAAACGAGGACAGTCACCTTTTTCGCTATAATTCCCCCCAGGCTGTGGCAAACAAAGACAATAGGCCGGGATATCTCCTTAATGCTGAGTTAGCCAAACTATGCCAGGAAACGGGCCAGCGTGGCTGACATCTTCTGTTGTCCGTAGATCTACTAGCTCTGCGAGCAACTTCGATGATATGCTTCGTAGATCTTGCTGCGCGGTGAAATTCTTGAAACGAGCATTGTATCCGAAAGTCATAATACGAATATCTGGAATCGCTGCAGGTAGAAGATCTCTTAACCACATTACTTCAGTTTCAGAGTGGGTCCATGTGTTGATAGGGTCCCCGTTGAGGCCATGGATCGCGACCAAACTGTATCTTCGTAAGCCCTCGCCCGCTTCCATAGCAAAATATAACGATGCATCTGTTTGACAAAATGCTTACTCGAAAACGGTCTTATGAACCCGGTTTTTCTCGTCGGTAGTTGATGGGTCATGGAGAATGATAATCCCGTAATCAGTGTCCTTTGTCATTTTGTGGCAACTAAGTAGTCTAGTTTCGGAAATATAATTGAGTTCAGGAGGGAACATTTGCATTGTGCTGGGCCGGGCAGTTAAAAGGTCCGCGACCCATAAAGTTTCTGACACGTGTGATGGTGGGATGATTAGCTGGCAATATGCAAGTCATCATATGCTGCCAATACAATTGTCTGAGGAGCCGCGGAGTGCATGCTTATATTGGGTGCGAAGTGCAGAAATTCGATGCCTGACCTCCAATCATCCTGCGATTGTGATGTAGGACCCCGCAATGGTAGGACGATCAATGAAGATTTATCGCCCTATCGGCCCTTGCTCCCTACCTATCAATCAGGTATATCGGATAGACAGATGACATACACAAATGAGGCCAGTTTGGCGTAGCATAGGTGAATTAACTAGGGACTCTTCCTCACAAGATTCTCGATTTCTTTCAACCATGTAAACTATTGCCTTCCGTCTGGATCCGGCACGGCCCGAAGGTAAGTCCCGGAAGGAAATGGACCACTCAGGACAGACCTTTCTGGTCCAGACCTGTGAAGATCAGGTTCCCCATGAGGCGGTGCGACTGTACGAAAGTTACGATATATTCCACACCGTTGATTTGCTGTGGGCATGCTAGATATGCCATTGCTGAGGTATGGCCTTAATTTGAACCACTTTGGATTCAACCGAAAATGATTAAATGACCTCTTCAGCTGTTCACGCTCTGAGAAACCATAGAGATTCGCCCACCCAGCGTTTCTCTCCTTTAGATTTGTTTATACAATCAGGGAAAAATATGTAGAAGTAGATGGCTTGCACTCACGACTAGATACATTTTATTACCCCTGGATGACTGGAGTAGAGGGAACTTACTCGACGCCAAGCAACATCATCAGAATGCTGACTCACATGCGTGATGACCTGCATCGCGTCTTCCGATTTGTCTGCCGGGCATCCTCCGCCCAGTTTAGTGTAAGATCAAGTCTTGCGGGAGCAAAAGTTAATGACCAACTTGGTGTTGACTAATAGAGGACACTAAAGAACTAGATGCAAATCAAAAGAATCTTTAAAGCTTACACCAGCTTAATCTGCTACCACTGGAAGCAACGCGCCCAAATGAGACCAACCAGAAAATCGTTGATTCCGATGAGTTGCTCTGCGTTCAGCCTCTCTGACTCTCTTCCAGGCTGCCCAAGTCTCCGCCGCGTGTACTTAGAACCGTCGGAAGCTCCCAGCAGATTATCACCAGACGTTGACCTTCAGCGTGATGTCAATTGATCCGAGGCCACTGCGTTTGCATGTCAGCAGGCCAATCGAGAACATCGAAACATGTGCCTAGCTCGAGTATACACCTGAATGTGACAGGGGGCTAATAGTCCCATTGATCCAGTCCTATTGATCCAGTCCTATTGAAGATACTACCGACGATACCGTGCGATAATATTCCCACATCAGCTGCACAGCAGCTTCTGCATTCCGAAGACATTCAAAATCGTCGTCTTGAACACCAACAAAGGTCCATTGTAAAGAAAATTGTCTCCCTCATCAAAGTAGATCTGGTGAGCTGTCTCCACATTGAACCATTTCAATATATCGTATACGACAGGCACGTTCTTAAACCAAGCACCACCGGCCAGATCCTGGCTTTTCCTTCGAAGCATATCTTCTCCGACCATTCGCAGTGCTCCGTGTGAAGTAAGAGAATGTAGGCCATCCGTACATACTCATTCTATGTCATCGATCGGATAAGATTGGAGGATCGCCCTGAGGAAGCTATGATCCTATCGCGGGCTTTAAAGGCTCAACTGATCACCATAGGAGAGTTTTGGAATCTACACGATCAGCTAACGTCACAGACACGCGCAAAACAGCTACTTTACAACCTTCGCAAGCGTGCGACATGAGCTTGACTGCAAGCGAGCCACCTTGACATTGCGCGGTATCTCGACACCACGGTCTATGATGCAAACCGAAAAAAAGAAAAGATTTTCAGATTGAAGAGCGGGTGCTTCCGCAGCAAGTCTACTGGAGAAAACCACAAGTCCGTCGTCTGTGTCAGTGGAGGCCGGGTGGCGGCGAATGAACAAGCAGCTTTTTGTGGCAGTGCACATGTGGCTGATTAACTCTTAAGGTATCACATGTGGCGGTCAGTAATATTTGCGGCTCCTGAACTTCCAGAATCCATGTAGCCAGTATAAGCCAACCAGCTTCCTCAGCAATCCGTTTGCTTTTAATGTATCTCATGATCTCTCTCCCTTTTTCTTCCCCAGCAATGTGGAGGTCACGGCATTGTTTGGTTCCGTTGATGCTTGTCACGAGACTACCATTCCTTTCGTCGGCATGTGGGCCCAACTCCCAACAGCCCCTCACTAGGAAGGCGTTTCTTCCCCGATAAACGTCGCGCGATGTTGTGTTTCTGCTTATCCCCACAATAAAACCACGGATAAAGCTCTATTCCCAGGTCAACACTGGAAGGACTGTAAGCAGATATACCTAAAATGAACTCTCGAGGTAACTGACAGTGCTGGGGCATGATTAGCTACGACGACATATGCGCCGCTAGCGGGGTACGCTCAAGATGTCGGAAACGTCAGTATCACCAAACAACCCAGTCAGAATCCTATCACCTTCAGACACACTACGACCATGTGCAGATGCGATAGTCGAAATAACTCACAGGGTTATCGCAAGCTCCGAGTCTCCTAACCCTGCGACGAGGTTCGATCTTGGAGAGGAATTTGCGCCAGTGATAGAGGAAGCGAAGAGGCTCTATCAAGAGGTGTGGAATACCCGAATATGTCCATGACCCGCCTAATAATCATTAGATGAAGTCGTTGTCAGTATCTCCTGAGATCTCCTCTCACGGTGCGGTTTTTCAGAAAAGCCCTTACGTCGGACGACTACACGATACGATTGTGGTGCCTATAGAAAATTTGAGTGGCGTTAAAGTTACTGTCCGGGACACGGCTGGAAATGCCGCAGAGGTTGACTGGACATGGAGGAATTTCCTATTCGCCTCGCGTCTCACGTATGTAGACATTGAGAGGGGGAAAAAGGTCGGTGCTGTGGTAGTTCATTTTCCTAGAAAAGGGTAGGGCGGCTAAAGCAAACCCGGTTATCTATCTCAAAACTATGCCACTCGCATGTTGGTATGTATAGGAGATTTTGTTGGCCCTTGATACCACGGCGATAATCTTCCCCATTAAACAGAAGGACGGGGAGTCATTCCATGGAGGCCTATATGGAGCCTGCTAGTGCACATGACATTTTCTAATAGGTGGTATTCAGTAGTGGCGTAGATACTCAGGAAATATGACCAGGAATCACGTCACCTGTGACTCCTAGGCGCGCTGCACACTGTCGATCTGCAGTCTACTAGAGATCGATCCGGAGCCCACAACCGATCCCTTGCCCAGATTTCCTTGGGTCCTCTCAGTTCTCGCAAATGAACTGCGACCATGAATCGACATCTCCTGCTACCTCCGAGTTGATAATTGCATGGCCAAAGAGATGATCCATGCTGTCCAACTGGCGTATTTGATTTATCCCTCTTGAAGTCCTAGGCAGTATTTGATCATTCACGATCGAGAACTGTGACCAAGAATCAACATCGCCAGCGGCCTCAAGCTGCTGCGGAGTATTGTCTGATATCGCCGCAAAGTGGAAAGTGGATAGTTGATCAGCTTTCGCTAGCGTGGCTGGTGCGGATTGGCCACTCAAACACTGGAACTGCGACCAAGAATCGACATCTCCAGTGGACTCTGGGTGGGCGGTGCTACTTGATACTTTTCGATTATCTGCTGCGGGTGCGGTGGATTCACGTTGGTTATCCGACACAAAGCACGACCACGCGTCCACATCGCCCGGACTCCACTCAGAACATATTCCAGACTGTGCTGCTCTGACGGTGCTGCCCTGCAGCCCTGGTGGTTGAAGGTTCTGGGTTGAGCACGGCCAGGCGGATATACCCAAGTCCGAAGCGCTGCAGGGGAAGATGGACCAGGAGTCTACATCCGCATTCGGCGGGACTCCTCCCACTGAAGTTGGGTCCGAATGGTCTAAGACGAAGTTAGAATTCTGTCTTTGTTTGTCTGTGTAACTGTATGAACTGACCTTCGGAGGTAAATGCCTTTGGGTACTGTTCTAGTGGGTCTACCCATAGCAGATCTTCAAGCGGTGGATTTCTTTGCGCGAGTGACAGGGCTCCAGCGGTATYACAATGCGAACCTGACACATTACAATCYGCATTTGAAAAGATTAGGAAGAGCCTTACTAGAYGATTTAAAGGGATTCAAGATTGTGTTAATTGGTGGGAGGACACCCTGCTGGCCGCTCGCTGTACGGTTGTCAGTGCATTGACTTGGACCGGACTTTGATATTTTATTAACCTTTTGAATATACCAGTTTTGAGCACCCATCTTCACCAATGATCTGCTCGGGCTTAGATGACGTTGTAACCCCAAGAGCTGCTTCATAATTTCTACCGTTCCGTTGTTCGGCTGTCGTCAACTGGGTTGGTAGATAAGAGATTAAGACATTTCCAGAAACGTCATTGGTGATACGACGCCTTTTTGCTGTCCGGTTGTCGTGAAATTCATGACACTGATCAGAAGGAGCACCTCTCTCAGGTGTACCAAAGGTCGGGGTTCTCTTGGATGATGGAAATGCGCTGCTAGTCATCAGGATAGGGTCTCTGACCTGGGCCTTCAAGTTAACAAACCTTTCCCCTGATTGCATATGTGCGGACTCGAATGAAGGTCCTGAACGCCTTTCATTTGGATACCCATTGAAAAAGATATCGATGGGAGGGAGGGGCGCACGCTGGTGAGTTTGGTTATGGTTAAGCTGCTCATAAATTTCTGCGCTTGTTGGAGTGGTTTCCGTTTCTTTATGTTCTGCACAGTCCTGGCGTTCCGGTAGTGCAGTCTTTTTCACCTGGTCATGAAATGTTGGTGCTGTTACGCCGTAATGATTAAGGTTGCTGCTAGGGGAAAAGAGCGGGAAAGGGCCATCTCCTTGTTGACAAAGCTTGTACTCGCATGTGAGGTTTCTAGTAAGACCTGCAGATACTCGTGTTAGCTTTGCATGAACGCATGGGAGATGGAAAGTTATACTTTCTGTTGCTGAGTCACGGCCTTTCTTTGATACTGGAAAAGCTAAAGAGGGCTCTACTACCTCCGAGTAGATCTTCTTTCCTAGTGGCAGCGCTACCCACTCCTCGCTTCGAGCTATGGGCGCATAAGCATCAGAAGGAAGAAATATTGGGCAGGGTAACGCACTAGGTGCAATATGATCATGAAGAGATGTCTCCGAGCTAGGGAGCAGGATGAGCCCTTCCAATGTTCGACTAACAATGCTCGAGATCAAGTCCGTTAAACAGAAGGTCAAGATTCCGTGCACCACCTGATGAGCTTCTATTTCGCAAGCAAGCCGATGAATGCCTCTTCTCAGAAGAGAGGAGACCAGAGACATCCGTCTTGTTTCTTGCTTCTTCGGCACATGGTGGAACCAACTGCTGACTATGTCAGTCAAAGTAAATCAGAAGTGTGTAAGCTCACGCACAAATATTCGCTATCGCCCGGAAGTAGAAATAAAATCCCCACACCACCCAGGTCGGCTGTTAGTAGATGATAGCGTTCTCCCTTCCTTACCCAATCACTTATTTCCCTCGCAGAAACAGTTTCACTGGGGAGTAGTATTCCTGAACGGTTGACAATGTGTGCAAGAACGGTGGATGTGTAATGAACAGTCGACTCCCTGGAATTACTTGCAGAATTAAGCCTCAGCCAACATTGCTGGAACAAAATGTACCACAGAACAGCAAATATCCGGAACTGAACTCGGTCTTCGAGATGAAGAACAGGACGGCGGGGGTCTCTCAACGTCAGTGAATCACTAAACGTGCGAAGGACATAACACGTCTTTGCGAGTAAACTTCGATAGACTGTATCTGGTGCCCCTGTACATCGTTTGAGAAACTCCCAGGGAAGTTTCCAGCCGTGTATCTTCTGTTCCAAGTTGATTGGTATTTTGATAGGTGAGTTCTCGGCAGCAACGCGGTCGACTACATTTGAAGGAGGAGGACGGACTTTGGGAAAGACCTGGCCTTTGTGATTGACGATCTGATCAGTTAGCGCGTTAGCTCTCCTCTTTACTATATGTATTATTACCTGCTTTTGGCTTGAATATAAAGGGGCATATGTCTTCTTCGCTTCATTGTCGACCTTGTCACAAAGCCCTGAAAGATCGGTCATCGTCTGAATCCAGTCCGCCAGTACTGGCGATGTTAGAAAAAGGGAAAGAGGGAATGAGTTGGTGACGGATTGTGGCAGATTATGCACCAGAAGCTCCTGGTTGACCATGGCCGACTTCCCCTCATCTTGTTGTAGGGGCTTGACAAGGTTCCCATTGGCTGCCCTACACTAACCAGTCATCTTGCGATTGCGGTCATCAGGAGGCGTGTGGGTCTATTCCCTGTTTGCCACTTCTTTGTCTATCGATTTAACCAGGTCGCCAATCAGGAATAAGGGCTTTTGTTGGTTCGTACAGAATGCAAAGTTGTTCAACTAAGGTCCCCAAGTACGCTGACTTTGCTGCGGTCTTCGAGCCACCGTGTTTATCGAGACAACCCTTTTTGTCAAGAAGTGCAACCTGAACAGCCTCAAAGCATTATTTATTGCTAATATAATGGCTTTTTCCACTCTGATTAACTTCGAAAGAATTACAGCATACACCTGCTTTTCTGAGCTGCAAATCTATTCCCTGCACTAAACAACGTATGACGAATTGAATGCTGAACACCCGCGGTGTGCCTCGTACCAGGAAAGGTTACTGGACCCTTAGCTTAAGAGTCTCTTTTCGTAGGCAAATGGAGGTCCCACGAAGTTATCTCAACCTCTGTAATTCAGCCAAGGATCATCACAGAGCTGTCGTGCTGTCGCTCGATGTTCCGGTTCCCATTGCAGCATTCTTTTAGCAAAATTGAGGAACAACTGTTTGTCATCTCCATCCAAGAACGGAGTAAGGTTTGAGAAACTGAAGTCCTCTGCAGGAATCAAATCCGGAGACCTAAATTCACCTATGAGAGACGTAAGCACCAAAGAAACCATTTAAGGATGGAAAGTTGTACCGTTTTTCGAGAAAAGATCAGAACATATAGTCTGGTCAGCCCTCTGCAGAAGTTGCAATGGAGGAGGGCCAAGAAGTCGAATCATCTGGGCTAAGTGAGCAGCTCGGCTGTAACTACCACTTCTGGGATCTTTCCCATTAAAAAGGGTGGTATCTGCTAGTAGCTCCCAGAGCTATCCAGTTTAGTTATAACATACCCTAGTTATAATGCATGGGACCTTACCACATTTCCTAAGTTCCATATATCCGTGCTGTATGACCATGTAGTCTTTAAGAGAACTTCCGGTGCGCAGAATTGCAGGGGTTGAATATCATGATTATGAGACTGATCACCAAAAACAGCAGAACTGAAGTCACTTATTTTCACACATCCCATACCTCCTTGTAAGTGCCCAAAATCAGGCCGAGACTGATAGACGCGACGACCAGCACATATCTTGTATGGAGGAGGATGGCTTTCCTGATAGTGTACATAACTATCAAGGACACTGCTGTTTTCGAATCCCACTAGGAAATTGTCTGACTTAAGATCTTTATTTTTGTTAACCAAGGCCAAGGAGGATAAGTAGCAGGTAGGGAGGTTACCAGTATGTATGATATGACATTCTGTATGAAGAAAGTCAAGGCCCTGTAGTAATAGTTTCAAGAAGGGCTTCAGCACAGTAGGAGGGACACCAGCTTCCCCAAGGTGCCTCCCTAAAAGCCAGAGTGGCTCTCTTAATGGTTCATACACTAAGCATGTATGTTCCCCTAGAGGACCCTGGATCCCAAAAGACTCCTTTGCTACACGCACGTACCCTCTACCCTCGTGGCTAGACCTCAGTCGAGAGATATGTTGAGATATTTGGGCCTCTTCCTGGGCGGACTTTTGCTCTGCAGTTCCGCAATTCGATATTTTCAAAGTATAATACCGGTGTGACTGCCAGCGCCATCTTCTCCTATTAGTGCTGCTTCATAAAAGGAATATAGCTTGTTAACTTACCGCGAACAGTCCTTGGCCAGCCACACAGTAGAATTGACACCCCAGCCAAGTTTCGATATAAGGCGGTATTTATTGTGAATAAGCTCCCCAATGTAGGCAGGATAATACTTATTTGCATCGTAATAGGGACTTCCATCTTCTTCACCACTGAGGTCAGAACGAAGAACACTCTCGTAGCTGACCATCCTCACAGACGGAAAAAGAGAAAGTTTGGAACGGAGGAAACGCTGGATCGACATTGGAATATTAGGATGCTCTTGGAGCCGAGGGTCGGCGTACCGTTATTAAATACTGGGGATGTTTTTGAACATCGGACCGTTATTACTTTTATCCGAATACTTATGACTGATATTGTTGCACTATTATTTTCGTTCTCTAGCGTGCAAGACGGTAATGATGAATAAGCTAATCAGACACGATATTCTGCACTACAAAATACAGAGTGGGATAGCTACTTATCCAGGACTTATTTCACGATTGTGGTGCACTGTATACAATTTTAAACTATCTAATTTTAAACTACCTTCAAGCATTGCGTTCCGAAACTAACAAGCCAAACCTGACCCACTGGCCCCGCTCTACCGTATTCCCCGCGATTGCATCAAGCTTTTCCACCAGATCCATTGCCGGATTGCTCTTCCTTTGGGAAGTAATCGTTGACCTTTTTTCCGTCGTTGTATTTTGGTCTAGAGAACCATACGTTCTTGCCTCCAAGTGGGTTCGGGTAGTAATGGACGGAGGTGATTCTTTGTCCCTCCTCCGAAGTAATTTCAAAGTTCGCGTGGAGAGGATCTTTCCTGCCGTCAGCCTTCGGCGTGGAATGCGGTCTTGACCTACTGCTATGTTAGCAAAGAAAGTACAAGCTCCAGGAACGATAAACTATACATTACTTTGGCGTTTTTTGCTTTTCCGAGCTCAGGAAAAGAGCCTTTTAATTTGACGACCGCTTCCTCGACTGCAGTCTGCGCCGACGTTTCATTGATACCTTGAACGCCGGTCGTGCCCGATTTCCAGGAAAAGGTGAGAAACCGGCCAACTCGAGTAACCCAAGACATACTGATAGACTGATAGCAAAGGGGAAAAAATTGTCAGTTGATAGAAGTGTGATGGTAATGGTACCTGAGAGAACTTGATAGATTCCATGACGGTTGAAACTGCCATATATATTTGGTAGATAGGGTTGAACGACGACACAGAAGGTCTAGATATGCCCATGGGATCAAGATTGGTGTATTGTTTTAGTGCAATCTCTGTGCGCGATTGTACGATTGGTTCTCTCAAGAACTGGTCTTTCACCTTTCCCTCCAACTTCGCCTGGAATTGCCCAATTCTAGCTGAACATGCGGCACTTCTGTTGTGTGGCTGGCGCCTCTCAAGAAGCATCCTAGCTGCCTCAGCAGCGGCACCAGTGACACTCCAGTAGGATCTCCTAGGAAGTACTCGGTCGTAAGTGCCTTCTAGGAAGCGCTAGTCTGTTAGTGCCTCCTAGGAAGCACTAGGCTGTTAGTGCCTCCTAGGAAGCGCTAGGCCGTTAGTGCCTCCTAGGAAGCGCTAGGCCGTTAGTGCCTCCTAGGAAGCGCTAGGCCGTTAGTGCCTCCTAGGAAGCGCTAGTCCCTAGCTGCATCCGCAGTCCTAGTTACAGATGCCTAGTGATCATATTGATTGGGCGACGAGACTGGGATAAGTTTGAGAAGAAGTGAAGATGGTCTGATGAGTGCGGTATATTGCTCCAGCTGGCTATGAAGAGCTTGTGTATGAAGTCTAACTTTTCTAATTTGAGTAATTACCGCACCCAGGACACTTCTCTTCGAATTGAGTGGTCACGAGCCGCTCGAGATTGGATGATATTGCTCTACTTAACATTTTCAGCCAGTCCAAATGATTCGAGCGTGGAGGGTCCAGGGATTCTAACCTGTGTCCTGCTTCACTACCAAAAATCGTAATTCCAACATCAATATCAGGACATTAAGGACCGCAACTTGATCTATAAATGCCAGCCTTGTCTGGAGTGCTCACGGCAATATGGCACAGACCAGTTCATACTTTCAGCATGCTCTTCTCTCGAGTAACCTTTGCCTGGGCAAACATGTTCTGCTTTACAAAATCCTGGAAAGCCTCCTCATCCGCATCAGGTGGCGCACAATCGACAGCTTACCAGGCCACCAGTGAAATTATTTCAAAATACGCCAGCGTCTCGCCGATGACTCCATCAAACCCTGGAAAGATGGAAGATACCGCGCCGGCTAAACCCAGCTTAGCAGATCTACAGGCAGGGCAACCAATTCTAGATGTTGTCGTAGCCGAGATGCACTTTGGGATATCTTTCTGCAGAGACTACTGCGGCATTGAAAACATACGGGGCCAGTATCGTATGGTGTTTACCGCTCGTTTTCAGAATCTCCCCAGCAAGATTCATCTCATATCCTGCCCACAATTTATTCGTGCACCTAATCTGACCCCTAAGGGCCGGGAGTTACTTCGAATCAAACTTGACGCTGTTTTGGACCGTATACCAAAAGAGGAGTGGGAAAAACTCAAGAGTTGTTACAACATTACCAGAAAGGAGTGGCTCATTGTTTCTGATGTGTCGGAAGAGCAAGTGGTCTAGTTTTTTTACCTGGTGCGATGTACGCATGTAGCTTAGCAGTGCTGTCCCATTATGCATTGTTACCGATCGCTAAGGTTCCAACGGAGCTACGATTATTGTAAATATGGCCAAGCACACCCGAACATCAGCCTACGTCGTAGACCAGACTATCAGTTTTCGGAACACCAATTTTGACCGAAGGTGGAGATGCGGGCCGTAAAACACCCGCGGCTTTTCATGTTGTGCATCTCAGTTTCCGTTCTTTCGTAACTGGTACATCCATGTCGGGACCGGGTGCGTGCCCGACGGCCGTCTGGCTGGCCCAAAAGGGGTGAGGACGGCAGATATTATATTCAGAGCCAGATCCATTATACTCTGAGCCAGGCGGAGCTTGCCGTAACTCTTCTTACGGGATCTCGGAAAGAGTATAATCAAAGCAGGTCTTCCACACAGGAACCTGCGCCCGCGCAGCATTCCGCCACTCCTGGCTACGAGGTGGTTAACGGAAACCCGCCAGAGACAAAGTGCGCGCGAAATTGCGGTTTTTCTTGCTCATGCTTCCAATCCACATCTAACCCCCTGCGGAGAGGAAGTTTGACTTGTTTACATTCAACAAAGCTCCCGTCCTGTTAGATTTCTCCTTCTGCAGTAATTTTTAGTTCTGGGTACCTTGTTCCGAAGAGCTAAAGCAATTACTCCCTGTTTACTTATACGAGATGTCCAATCACTCCCGTTGTTCTTCGTTTTTCGACAAGATTGCCTCTTCACGAGTTGAATTAGATCCCCTCACAGCTAGCGGGCTGAATGGGAAAGCCTGGACGAGCGGAATCAAGTCCGTGCCAACGGTTAGGCCAATGTACATGGAAGGGATAATTTCGTGCCCAATCACATGACCAACTTCATCTTTTGAATCATGTGATGCTACCCGAACCCCACCCATCAACATTGCCCCTCAAAACTGAAATGGTGCCATGACATATACTACTGAAGCTATCTTCACACCACTTGGTGGATAGCAGAAGAGTGCCTGAGCCTGTAAGTCGTCTTGTTATTCCTTGATAGCGTCAGTTGCTTACACTTGAGCAGTCCGAAGTAGTTTGAAGCGCTACTCCTAATTAGCAATGGGTGCTAGGAGTGATATTGCCTGCGACCTCGCGGATCTTGTGGAACTCGAGAAAGACTTCTTTGATCTCATTGAGATTGCAGCAGCCGACTACACTACTGTCGCTCAGAGTCACTCACTTGAGAATGGCCAATCGTACAAACCTTTGTATGTCACCCCGGCGTGCGTCGACGTGATACAGAAGTTTGAAAGAGATTATCTGCTGAGGGTATGTTTACAATAATATGTTAACAAAAGATATGCACTAACATAACTAGATTCCAGCAGATGTATTGAATCCCTCAGAAATCGCCGATAACCGCACGAACGTTTTCCTGCTTGGGAGAGGGCCCTTTTACCCGAGGCCACTTCTTGCGTATCTTGTCATGGTTCTACATAATCCGGAAGCATTGGAACTATATGCGGATAATTTTCGGTCCCGAAGAGTTCGGCTAGAGAATAAAAAGGCTTCTATGAGCCTCATAGCAGGAAATAGTAAACTCGTGACAGAAGGTAACGGCACTGCTGTATGTTTGGTCTTAGGTTTCGAGAAAAGGTCATGACATGCACAAATTGCGAATTAATGAATCGTACTTGTTTCCGGATCCGAGGCTTGAGCGGTTCCCAGCTTACTTGTACTCGTCATTGTAGCGTAAGGATTGGGACCAAAGATTGCCGAGAGGAGGGCTGTGCTTGACATATATACATCGGGGTTTAAGAACATGCTTGTGCTCTCCATCACGTCATAGGGGTTCGAGGCGTCGTCCATTCGACAGGTGCTTGTCATCATATTGAAAGGACTCTGTGTATTGTATGATATGCCGTTATTTGCGTTTGTCGATAATTCGCCACCAGTATCCGTCCTGTTCGAATTGGCAGCTGGGGCCTCTCCATTGGCTTCGGAAGATGTTTGATTGACCGCAGCAAAGTTGAAAGGCGTGGAACCAGATGGTTGGCAAGTTGGGTTACAAGGTGTCGGGGACTGCTGAGAGATCCCCGGATTTTGTGCCTCTTGCACATTTGTTTCGTGTGCTATTCGTGCATGGGGTGATTCGTAGCAATTTCCAAGGGGAGCTATAATATCAGCAGTGTATTCATCCTATAGTGAGGTGTATTCTTACGTAAATACTGCTCCAGCCGATGGGAAACAAGACCAACTGCAAATAAAAACAACGATAGGATTTGGTGGGCGGCATGATGAGCATCTACTCTTGATGCTTCCTGGGTAATACCCCTTCTCTTAAGGGACATCAGCATGTTACTCCGTCTTGGCCCCTTGCCTTTTGGTAGCTCTTGCAGCCAGCTAAAAAATATGTCAGCAAACAGAAATATTGATGTCCGTCAAGGTCTTACATATTCTCGCCGATGTCTTCAGGAAGAAGAAACAGAACCCCAGGACCTTCAAGGTCCATTGACAGCAGCCAGAGCCTCTCGCCCTTATCCACCCAGGTACGCAACTTTCTCTGAATCTCATGTTCTCCAGCGCTGACCATATCAGTACGCTTGATCATGTCAGAGAGGCAAACTATTGCGTCCTGGCGGAAGCTATCGCGTTGAAGTTGGTCTTTCATCAAATAGAATGCAACATAGCATAGTCGACAACGTACTTTCTCGATGATCATAACCCGTTCAATGCCACAAAGGAATAAGAATGATTTCGCAACAAACTCATCCGGAGACTTAACTGGCAGCTCTTGACTGTCACCTTGCGACTCTGGCAGGAGAAGCGGAAATCTCTGCGGGAGGCCTTTCCACTGCTCGAAGAGCGGCCGTAGTTCTTGAGGAAGACGTATTGGGGAATAAATTTGGGCAGCTCGGTCTACTTTGTTTTGGCGACGACTGATTCGAGCAGGTATTCTCCTGACGACAGATCTTGCGATAGACTCGATATCCTATGCTGGTTACTAGTGATTCATTTCTTATTAAGGAGATTACCTTAGAAGCCCAAAGACAGCTAGGATCAAGATCGGTTTTGCCCTCTTTCTCTGCCTTGTTACAAGCCTTAAGAACATGAGTAGCTAGTAGCTTGCTCTCATTGATACCCATTGTGTTAATGTGCAAGTGCGACCCAGTCTGGAAGATGGAGACTGTCTGTCCATCGCGAGTGGGGAAATAAGATGTCACCTAGTGTAATCCACCGCGCTAGACATATCACATGAATCTTTTACTGACAAGGATTATTCCAAATACGGACTAAAGGAAAGAACATAAGATGTATTTGCCAACTGTAGATGGTACATACATGACAGTACGGTCCATTACACTAAGATACCCTTCATCCTGTACCAATCATGAAATACTGTGGCGTCAATGGCGTCTGTTCTGAGCCCAGGTCGCAAGAATTGTTGTGGCGCCAAAAAGAATTGCTAGGAAGCTCAGGTATCTCCTCTCTGAGAGACATCTTAAAGAACGATTAAACAGTGACGGCGAGATGCTCTCCGTGTTAAAAAGAACTCAACGCCTGACGTAAAGAATGTGCATTCCGGTATCCTCCCTGTGTCCAGCATTTTTCAATTATCTGGCCGACCCACAGACCGTTTGTGCTGGGAAGGGATGTTCGCTGGGGCCAAGTTGCTCGACCATCATCAGGGGCGTTATCTTTGAAGAGATCAAAATCACATTTTAACCCTGTTACAACTTCGTACATAACTGCTCCGAGTTGTCCGATATCTGTCTGTATTGAGAACCCGTCATCGTCGGCTGTTTCCATAACTGTATCCAGCGGGAGAACAGATGCTTCGGTGAAGTCGCACAGTTTGACGGAGAGATCAGAATCAAGGAGGAAGTTGCGAGTAGCAATATCAGCCACAAGCACACGTTTATCATGGATCTGCTCCAGTGCATGTGCCATTTGACGAAACCATGACATCTGGAGTGCCAGAGGAGGCTTATTCTTTCCCAAGTAGGCGCGAAGGTCGCCCTGTTCCATGTAGGCGAGTTGAGTAGTTTTCGTGGAGAAGCCGATACAAGGCACAACACCGTCAATTTGACCATTTCCGCCCCCAGTGGAATTCAATCGACGGTAGACTTCTTGCTCTCGCTGAATGACCTCCACGTTCACCTGAAAATCATCCTCAGTACTCCATGGATGCCTTAAAGGCATCTTGACGGCTAGGCCATTACGCAAAATCACAACACCTGACCTTCCATATCCTAGAACTTCGCTGTCGGGTATAGGTTGACCATCAAGGTCTATAAACAAAGTAGATGCCATTGTAGGCTCGAGTTTCAAGAAGGGTCTTATGTTGGACTGAATATGTATCGTGACTGAGAGCTGGAAACACAAAACCACAGGTTTGTTGGCCCCTTCTTATATCTACAGGGGAGATATCCACGGTTCACGTGATAGAACGCCAAGAATCCAGCCACAGAACAACTGAACCGCTGTTGCGCTATTTTACGATTCTATCCTGATCACTTATGGTTGAGCATCGCACGTGGTTCAGGAAACAAGTTTCGAGGCCGGCTTAGCAATCAAACTGTGCAAGACAATGTATTCGAATTGCATAAAACTAAAGTAGCAAAGAGAGCATCGCCAAGTATATGTTGAATATAAAGGCGCAAATGAGATCCAAACCGTCAAAAACCTTTCCGATTCTGTTTTGCTATCCAACGCTTTGGATTTCTGACCTTGCCTCGAAGTCCATTTTCGTCGTGATAGCACCAGCAGCTGTTTCCTACCCGTCAAGCTCCGACCTTAACACTTTGACCAAGCGAACCACTACCACCTGCATTTCCGGGGCCTGGATTTGTATCATCTGGCTTTGGGTTTTGAGCGCGATGTCTTGGGCAATCCACTTTTCGCCGAGTAGAACTCGTTTGCGTCGTTGGAGTGGGGTTGGGGCACGCACTCCCCCTTCGCTCGGCCTCGAGGCACCATTTGACATAGTCTTCGGTCGGATCAAAAAGGATACAGTTTTTTTGAGACTTCCCTTTGCAATTGGGGAATTTGGCCGGAGTTTTGTGCATTTGCCAACACATTTCTGTATCGTTTATCAGCATAAGCTAAAAATGGATTATCTGAGGATGTTCACCGGAGAGATTTTGGCCTGTTCTGATGGTGGGAATAATGAAATTATGCTATCAGTGTCTGTACGATTTGTATAGAATCAGCAGAGATTCACGCCATATTTATAACTATCCTATATATGGTCCCTGTCATGGTGTACTCCGCATGGAGTCTCGCATCAAAGCCGGTGAAAAATTACTTGACCAGGATTCTTAATGTTGATGCAGTGGGAAATGAGTTTAGGGGATCGGGTTAGGCATGCGCAGTGAGAAAGGCCCAAGCTTAAAATCCCACTAAGTCTTCGCGCGCGAAGAGCTAATGCAACTCCAAAGTACTTCCATCCAGGCATGGACCAATGCTCATCCTCTACAAGATTATCTCCAGATTTCGCGTGGGTCTGGTCTTCCAGCCTCCCATGACTCGCGCTATACAGTGTCGTGTCCGCACAGGACAGACGAGAGGCAACGGCTTCGTTCAGTTGCGGAGATAGATTTGTGGCGTAACTTTAGGTACTAGAAATAGATACGTGCTGCAGTAAACAAGCCTAAAAGGTGTCTAAGGCTTCGCGCGCGAAGAGCTAATGCAAATCCTAAGCCTAAAAGGTGGCTAGGTCTTCGCGCGAGAAGAGCTAATGCAAATCCTAAGCCTAAAAGGCGGCTAAGTCTTCGCGCGCGAAGAGCTAATGCAGCTCCTAGCACTCCACAGCAAATGACAAGTATCAAAGTAACGACCTGTGCAACTATGTAAGATGATTAACAAGGTCGATAACATGGAACTACTGGCTGTCATGACTCTAGTGCAATGTGTGAGTCTAGAACAATTCACCCGTTCAGACGCATGATCGTCATCATGTCTGGAAAGCAGATAGTACGGATATCCCGAACATTATATGCGGCATTTATTCGCAGTTCCAGGTTATTTGCTCTTTGAACCAGAGGCTGTTCGTTCAGCCCACCATTAGACCATGATCATACATACTTATTTGATGTCTGCAATAATGGTGCTCGTAATGCTGGTAGTCTAGTGCCTCACCGACAAGCACCAGTCCCTGGCTGTATCCACTAGCATGTTCCAGGAAGCTTGGCATGAACGATCTTTACCTGATGTATCCAAGGAAGCGTTAATGTCACTCTATAGAGCCCGATTTCATTTTCTTTTGTCATTTAGGAATTGGTAAGGATAGGAGATGATGGGAAAGGATGCGAAAGGGTGGGACAGGACAGGACAGGAGTCACAGGACGGTGACACCACGCTGGAGATAAAACGTCCAGTATTAGCTCTCCCACTCTTATTGGCTGGATGCACTAAAAAAAAGCTGAAGCGATTGATACAGACAATGTATATCGGATTGTCTAATGGATAGATTCAATAAATATAACAAAACTAAATAATTCGAAGTTTCATCAAAAAGGTCTCAATGAGCACAGCGTTGTCTATAAAGACGCCAGCCTTGTCCCAGGTACTCGCCGCAATTCGGCACAGACCAACTCTAGCTTTCATTGACCCTCCTTCATTTCTAGATCGCTGCATGATTACTTTGGCATGGCTTGGTGTAGAGCCTTACTCCCTGCCAGGTCGTGGTGGCAGAAGCTCCTGTGGCGTAACAGCACCAATAAGGATGGAGAGAATGGAAACGACCGGGCTCCATCGATCGATCGGACGCCTTTTTTCGAAGAAAGGACAATTGTGAGTACAGTTTGTGAGGTTGCTTCCAGCCATCTAATACCTTCCGTGGGCAGACCGCAAAGTACATCAACGGTCAAAAAGTCATGGAGCATATCGTCGTGAAGACCAAGCATATTGATGACCGAGGACACACCTGTGTCAGTAACCGTGATTCGAACAGCATTGCGGAAACCAGACATTCTGGACTTAGCTCTATCAGCATTTCCGATCAAAGTACAATTGCGGAGGATGCGAAGGCCCTGGATGAACCTGAACTCTTTGTTGTTCGCTCGCCATAGGTTGACGACTCAACCGGCGAGCGGATGGTTAGGCTCTACTACGAGCTCTCACTAAGCCTCGATGACCTTGAGATCAGAGGCCATGAATCTCGTATCCCAGAGTCTGACGATGATCTAATCGAGGCCCTCTTTCACTATGGAGGAGAGAATTTTTGGACATATGGTCCTTATTCGCATGCCAGAGCTCGAATGGTTTCAAGGGGTGTATACTGAATGGTCTGACATTTTCAATGCTATTATTTTCTTTTTCCGGCTGCTGGCCGCTCATTGTTATCGTGAGCATTATATGAAGTGGATAGTTCTATCTCCATAACCGAGTACGTCACAAACTGCCTTCATCCTTGGTAAGAACATAAATAGTGCCAATCCGCTGAGAAAAGGAGTCATGGAATCAACTTTATTCAAGCAATGGTTCTCTTTCTATACGTTATTATTTGTATATGGATGGGGACGTTTCTCGTCTTAGTTTCCTTGAACGCCCGCTTTCAGAAGAAGCGCATTGCTGATCCTGAGTCTTCTGCTGCCTTCACTGATCATCCCCATCAAGAGTAACATGGATTCTGTACGTCCCTTCTAGGCATGGTTATGGCACCCAGTTACTAATGGATTAGATGGAAAATAGGAAGCGGCAAAATACAGGGGCAGGAAGGGAAGGACTCATTCCAAGAAAGAAGGACAAGGAAGAACACAAGAGTGTAAGGGATAGCAATCCTCATTGGCGTCCACTAGCTGATGGGTTACAGCAAGAAACAGATTTATACGACCCTGCTGTTGAGAGGCAGCCCTTGATTTACAGGAGAGCTGGAAAAGCACCGAAACATGATCGGGACAAGAAGTTACCCAGTTTGCGCCTTAGGCGGCCCTGCTGTAGATGCAGGACGGAAGTACCGGTAGACTATGCTGTCGTATTTGTCACCACGAGACTTGTCCTGAGTGCTTGTACTTGCAAAAGTGAGATTACGGATGTTGATCAGACACACGGGCCTCTGTATTAGGACTAGTTACCAGAATGGACTCGACCTTGACGGTGGCGTTTGGTACTTTGTTATAGCTGAGGATAGAGGACAGTTTTGCTACTTTCAAGCATTTCAGAGGAGGCTCATCCGACTACTGTTGCTGGAAGGGAAGATACTCTAAGGGCAGCAGGACGTTCATGCCATCCTACCATCCATGGCAAGCAAACTATGCCGCATTAGATGCAGGGATAGAGAACCCATGTATTGTACTTGATTCACGCTAGAAGGGCAGAGAGAGATATCATACCCCGCCGGACCCCCTGCACGACTTCCCTGCTTGCAGTTTGTCGTGCGTGTATCAATTCCGTGCGCCACGAGATCGTAGGCAGTGGAAGTCCAGAGCACTCTTTGCCTCCAACTTGTCCCAAAAGCTTCAGCCATCATTGTCCACTCGCTAAGCCGAACGAGTCATCTGGTACCATCCGCTATGCACGCTGGACAGGGCTCCCCAGATAGGCCGTAGCAAACTAGAAGGGTCATTGCTGCCAATCGACCAGTCTTAGGATTAGCCAAATATCGCGTAGCTAGGCGACAATGCCGGAAGCACTGCAACCAGTCAGACTCCGGTTAAAAGAAATATAGGGAAATAATAATAATAAAAAAAAAAAGAAAAAAAAAGAGTCCCAGATGGCGCTTCTACTTCTATATTCCATTGTTATTCAATACCCCAGAGGCACAGGCATTCCGATCTCTCATCGCCAACACTAAAAAACTGCCATTTCCCCCGCCTTGAAGCTCCAATCCTTCTTCTTCTCATCCAGTTCCTCTCTCCTTCAGGATATTGAGTGTTCCCTTGAGCTATGGGTAGCTTCTCACCTGTCAGTCACTGATTGTCTCTTCTCTTGACTTGACTTTGTGTCACCATCCTCGTTTACCGTACATTATCCCCGGAGTAGAAAAACAAAGGAAAGGACCAAGTAGTCTTGATCTAATTCCAACTCTGTTGCAGCTTGTCGCGCCTGCCCATCTGTGTGCCGAAATCGGTTGCCAGTCCATCTTGCAGCATCTCCCACTTCCAGGCCGATCTCGAACCTCGTTGGGTGTATGATCTCTGTTCTTGTCTGGGTGCATCCTGTGAGTAGCATGTCGCCACTTGTCACGCATACTACCCCCTCTCAAATTTTTGGGCCTTTCTCATTACTGTATCTTGTATACCCCTTTAAAGGCTTCTGGCACGCTGACATTTCCAAGTGTCAAACAAAGCTAATAAGCGGCATTTGTCTGCCGTGACTTCACCAGACCTGGATCTCTGCAGCCTCATCACTATCCCGGAAAGACCTTCGAGGCAATATATATTGCCGCCATCGCAGCTGTAAACTCGCTCCGACCTCAACGGCATTTTCATGTGTTGAGCACTATATACCTCTCAGCCTTCAGTAACTGTACTGCCTGAKAGACGTCCAACTTGAGATTGTCCAAACGATACACCTGCTCGACGAAACCTGCTGTATCTTTGTCAACATCAAGCTCTTAAATTACACAATGGTGTTCAGCGCACCTGCTCCTGGGGTAGGCTCCAGTAAAAGGCCAGCGTCATGCATGCAGGACGATGTTAATGACCGGGATATTGTCTCGGTAAGTGATACCGGCATTGGAAGACATATGGAGCTGACTCATCTCCTATATAGCCCATAGGTCTATCCATGCGTTCATCGATCAACATCCCTTACGCCCACTACGCCATGATCTATCTCGACAACATGGGCAGACTGAAGGTGATGGAATCTCCGTCTATCCAGGAGCAAAATGAGACCGTTTTTACAACCGAAGTCCGTGAAAGGTTTTTGGAAATCCTTGGTGCTAAGGTCGGATATCAACCGCCAATGGTTCGAAGTATGTAAAATCTCCGCGCATAAGTGCAATATTCTTGCTGATCTCATTTGAATAGGGTTGTTAGCTGCTGGTGCTACACCATATAGCTATGATGCTCAACAACCGCTTGGTCACTTGCCTTACCGTCAAACTAGGCGGGGCAGAAATTCCCCAGCCCACTCTATGTACAGTGTGCCGCTATCTGTCCAGTGCTCAGTCTCTGTTGAGGAAACGCCCTCTTGCGGATCAGTGGACAAGGTCGGGCTCGAGATCGGTAATACTCCTGAAGTTCTCGACTACTATGAGAGATCCTTGGAACACTTCCGGCAGTTCAACTGTCGTCAGATTGCAAAGGCATTCATTAGGTTCATTGAGCCAGGAAAACAATTCAAGCACCCCTATAATGGAGGTAAACCCCCTGCAGGAGCCCCTGCTGGTAAGAAGGGTGATCCAGAGAAGACAAAACCTAAATGGTGGCCCGCCGATGTGGTTCACAAGGAGCCTGACCATCTTCGAAAGGATCGTACGTGTACCCCTCCAGAAAATCTCCAGAGTCAAGTAATTTTGCTGACAGATTCAGAACGCCTGTCTCTGTTGATTCATATCATCCGCAAGCTTGGAGAATTCAGTATCACAACGGATCAATTGCAGGAAATTGCCCACGAATGCAAGCGGCAGCTCAGAGACCCCCACAGACTCCAAATCTTGGACGAGGTCTTCAACGTAAGAAGGATTGAAGAACGCTATGAAAGAGGAGAAGTTGGTAAGCGGCATCTTCTTTCCGTGAAATTCATTTTGACAGCTGTTGAAGAGCCTCAGATGCCAAAACGATTGTATATGTTGTCAACCGGGAGTCGAACCAGAAAGAGAAGGATGGCGACTCCAATGTGGATCCGGACCAGAAGCATGAGCAAGAAGACGATAATGCAGATGAGGCACTTCCCAATCTCCACTCTGAGATGAACTCAACCAGCCCGATGTCGAGCTCAGTCAAACACACCGGCATGGCGGCACCAAGTCGTCCAATGAATGTGGGAGATGACAGAAACCAGTTGTTTCCTTTACCGGAGTCGTTGAGCTTCGGTAAGACACCCCTGGATGATCGGGCCTTCTTTCCCACGACCTCCGAGTATACCGAAGATTATGCGTCGCAGCGGATGCCCAGAACACTTGCAACAACAGCACTTCTCAGCCCCAATGAGACACATGCCGCTTTCAATTATATGGCACAGGCGCCCATAACCTCCTCCGCCTCGGAGCAGATTTCCAACCACCGCCAAGCACCCTTACCCATGCAGCACTCAGCCAGCTTCGACCCTAGGACGCCTTCGTTACAACACAATCTCTTCAACCCAATGGAGTATGGTACTTCACTCAGTCACGCCATGTCTCAGACTACTATGTCATATCAGCTTCCCATGTCCCCGACGTTTCATCCCCTGGAAATGCCTCACATGGCTCATGGTCTGCCGAACCTGCCTCAAGACAGACCTTCAAAAATGGATGGCAGGAGCATGAGAGGCCCTTCTTTCCACACAAGATTTTTGAGTCATCCCTGTGATCCATCACAGCAGGCTCCTCATTCTAGCGGATGTGGCCATCCTGACGGTTGGATTCAAAATAGACCACATGCATGATCTTAAATGATTGATCCTTGGCCACTGTTGACCCTCCTGCAGCCTTGGAATTTCAGTTCACTGACGATTGTTTTTCGACTTTGTTTCTTTTTCTTTTCCAGTCCCTGACTTTGTTGTCGATGCGGACTTAGCCTGCGGCTTATTCCACGTCAAGTGACTGCCAGGACACTCCGTAGTTTTATATGGCAGGTACTGTCGATGACTTACCAATTTTTCTTCGTTTAGTATGTATACTCGTTGCTTGTTCTATGTTCGATCATATTTTTTCCCTTATACATACGTTCAAAAATTCTGTTGGAGATGGCGGCAGATGACATGCAAATATGGGCGATGTTCTTGTTTCATTTCACTATGTTTCTTTTAATCGCGTTTTGAACAATTGGCAGCCAGGGGTGTCGAAGCTCGTTCACTTTGGATGCCAATCGGCTGGATGGGAGGTAACGAGGCCTAACAATGATTCATTTCTGGATTAGCTTTCTCGATCAAAATACAATGATCACTATATCCCATAAAATTACACTGGCTTCACATAGCGCATGTTTCTGAATCGATCATTTTGCTGCCTCTGAATCTGGATGCCAAGGTCTTTCGCACTCCTATTCTCGGAGGGCACACTCCGTCTGTCCAGCAATCCTTGGAAAGTTGATTCACTGTATGCGCTACCGGAAGCGCTGCGTGCTGGTTTGCAAGCGGTTTGTGGTGTTTCTGAAGTCGTAGATTATTGCGTCGACGTGCTTGCACCACCAACCCTTTCTTTACCTCGCCAAAGTCCCTTGCTGGCATCTTCTTTATTGTGTACTTAGTGTGCATTGCCTTGGCTCTTGTTCTGGACTTTCATGCTTGCTGTTCACTTTGCTACTACGAGCTTCCGCTTTTATCTGAACTTGATCCGTAAAATGTAGAAAATCTGGCTCAAAGCTTAGCCCTTACCCTGCGTTGTTCTCGCCATGTTTGCCATTGAAGGTGCGAGGGTGAAGTGTCCGTTTCGATATCCTAGGACATCGGAAATCTCACTAGTCACAGCCTAAGGCAGAGCTTATGGCCATTTTTTGCCATGTGAACCCGTCCATTGTGGCTGGAGATTGCAGGTTCGAATCCTGCGTCGGTCAGTTTTTGTTTTTCACCCGCCTTATATTTTTCTTTTTTTCTGCGTTTGCCGCTGTTTTTCCTCCACCCAGAGTGGTCTAACAAGCCGGACTTAAATTCACTAGTCACCGACAGCTGGCATTATTTCTAGATTCCAATATCTCAACGCCATTTGTTTCCGTAAGCGCTCAGAAAATGTGATATGGATTCCGCATCATCGTCCGGATCGCGAGCAGCACAGCCAGGGAAGGCAAACAACAACAGATTCATCGTGTCAATGAACATTAGTCGGTTGGAGGCCGTCGAAGTAAGTGTCTACAAACCAGCTACTAATCAAGCAGCCCCTGGCCACAGCTACGGCGTCCGATCAATTTCTCAAAAGGGCGCTGAAGTCCAAATGAGAGGCAACGCCGCTTCCACCCTCGATGTCCATCTGCAATTTCATCATAGCAGCCCCTTTCTGCCCACCTGGTCCAGTTCCAAGCACCTGCTCGCCAAACATGCGCAGCTGCATCGGCATCAAATTGTTTCCATAATGCTCGACAACGTCGTGCTTCTCCACCGCATATCCAAGATGGCTCCAGTTTTGCAGAATCCGTGCCGTACCGGATGCATTCCTCCGCTTTGGCTGGGGTCCACCACCTCGGAAGGAGATCGGGTTTGCGTTCAACGCGCTTCAGGAACCGGCGGAAACCAGCGCATCCGCCATCAGTCGCCCCGCCATAGATGCTGTCCGCATGAACATCCCCTGTAAATGTGTAGTCGTCGTCTAGCCGGAGACGGTAGGTGTCTATTAGTAACTTGTAGGTATCGTTTTCGGTGCGGTCATGGAGCCAAGTCTTTGTGTGGAGGCGATGAAAAGGCTTGAGGAAGTCAACCTAAGACTTTTGTGGATTGGGTGGCGTTGGCGTCAGTCGTGGACTGGCTGGCGGAGCCTGTGTTTGCCTGAGCACTGCTGGCGCAGACTTTCTTGTGAGCTTTCCAGTCGGTTTTCTGGCAGTCACGGGAGCAGTAGATGGCCGATTTGCAGCGGGAGCAGTTCCTCAAGGGAGCACTTTCGGATTCCGTCTTTTTGCAGCTCTGGCATTTGCGAGTCTCGGTGAGATTGGAGTCGGACATGGTTCGTGACTGTAGTAGGTTCAGTGAGGGACTTGTAGAGAACTACTATGATACATTTATCGTTGAACCTCGTCTCAAATGATGTGGGTACACAGAGTAGTGGAGCAGATCTGTGCGCACTTATTGCATCCTGATTGGACAAGAAAGAGCCAATCATTCCACGCCTCCCTCCGCGGCTGTTTCAGAGACAATTATAAAGGAGTGAGAAGACAGCCATCTCCGTCGAAGCGTGAGCCTATTGTCTATCCTGGCGCCATGGTAAAGACCCGACGCCTTCTTCGACGGGAGATCACTTATGCATCTGCTAAGGAACAGGAGGTTAACATTCTTCATCAGCTTGGATACCATGATAAGCAAACCAGGTTCTTTACACACCTCTACAACAACAGTGACTGGATCAAGACCATCGTTGCGCATCATCTTAATTTGAGCTCACCTGCTGTTTGTCGCGTGTCCGAAGTGAAGGACTGGCTGCATGGAAGCTTCAACGTTTGCATTCCTGTTACGCTCAGCAATAGGGATGGAAAACGGGTGCTTGTGCGTTTTCCGCTCCCCTACCGGGTCGGTGAGGATTTCATGCCCGGTAATGGTGACGAAAAGGTCAAATGTGAGGCAGGAACCTACGCGTGGCTCGAGAAGAACTGCCCCGATGTGCCAATTCCGCAGTTATACGGGTTTGCTCTCTCTACCGGTGAAACTGTACATATACGCACCATGACTTCCTCTACCGAAGCTAATTCGTCTAGTTTACTCGCTCAGAGAACTTGCCGGTCTTACGTCAGTGGTTTCACTTTCTTCTGCGTCGGATTTGGTCATGGCTAGGGCATCCAAACCCTTCTGAATATGTTCCCCACCCAGCTCGATGCGAGAACGCCGTTCGCTCCGCGTACTTACTGCTTGAATACATTGAACCGAAGCGCGGCACTATGCTTTCAAATACATGGACGGACAGCCAGTACGATATCAAACTGCGGACAAACCTTTTTCGTGGCCTTTCCCGCATTCTCTTAAGCATCAGTCGACATCCGCTCCCCAGAATTGGTTCGTTTGTTATTGACAAAGACGGATTTTTGGTTTTAGCGAACCGGCCCCTGTCGATTCAAGTTCAACAGCTGGAGAATGAACAGATACCTACGGGCATAAATCGCGAGTACACATATTCAACTGTTGACTCATACTTGGCGGATGTCCTTGCGTTCCATGACAACCGTTTTCGGCATCAACCAAATGCGGTGAATGACCTCGGAGATTGCGTTTTCCAGCTATCTTCACTCTCGGCAATGCGAACAGTTTCCAGATCTTTTTTCCAAAGAGGGTTTCGGCGCGGCCCCTTTGTTTTTACTCTAACGGACATCCATCAAAGCAACATATTTGTTGACTCAGATTGGAATGTAACGTGTCTAGTAGATCTGGAGTGGGCCTGCTCTTTACCGATCGAAATGATTAGACCTCCGCATTGGTTAACGGACAAGGGTGTGGACGAGATAGTGTCATCAGAGTATGATGAGATCCGGAGGGAATTCATGGACATCTTGACTGCTGAGGAGGAGAGACACAGACAGGCCACTTCGAGCGGGAATAACATGCCACTACTATCAGAAGTCCTGAATAGCACATGGGCAGCAGGGACTTTTTGGTATACTCTGGCCCTCTCCAGCCCTTCTGGCCTATTCGGGATTTTTAAACATCATATTCGACCCCTATTCTGCACAGAATATCTCGAAGAATTCAATTTGGTCATGCCTTTTCTTTGGGAGAAGAATGTGGGACACATCGCGAGTTGCAAACTTTCGGATAAAGAGGAGTATGACAGACAACTTCAATTAGAATTTGAAACCGAATTGGTGTGACAGAATTTTTTCCAAAGAACGCGCTCTCAAGAGGAGCCTTGACTCTGGCTTCCCTGTTGCAAATGGGCTTGAATAGCTCCACCTATCGCCCGCATTCCTTTCTCCACCTGGTTTTCTTCTCTTTTCTTCTTAGCAGCTTGGCCCGAAGAGCTGAGTTGCTGAAGGGTTCTGACATCGGCCTTGATTCCAACAACAGCCTCTTTGCCCTTATTTTGGTCGGATGAAGCTTGGTCGGCCATTTCGAGAAGCGCTAATGAGCTCTGTTCGGTGTATGGGACTATAGTAGAACTCTATAATTAGGCTTTAGACTTCTTTACAATCAGCCTTTTACTCACCTCGTGCTATCGAATTGAGAACTATCAAGCGTTTTGTTTGTTAACGGCATCTACAAAATTTTCAGATAAAATGAGGAATTACTCCCATGATATACTCTGACTAGGTACGCTTACTTCCGCTGCATGAGAGTTCTATTAACCAGGCTACGTAAGGAAGACTGGTGCATCAAGAACCTGGAGAGTACCGTGTATGCACTTGTGGCTGGAACGTAGCAGGCTTAGTTGCTATTTCAACTTACTAGGAAGAGAAACAAAAGACCTTGCTGAAAATGTTGGTAAATTGTTGGTATGTTGCCGGTAGCTTGCTGGTGAGCGGGCAGAAAATTGGCGTGCCATATTAGTAATAGCTGGAAATTTTCGGGAAGATTAGACTATTGAGAAAGGCCGCCCCATCCAAGCAGCTTTCGTCAGGCATCACCCTGTCGCTGCCCCACGCTTTGAGTATTGCTACCTTACTTCAACTTTAGAACCCAACAATTTGCCTTCCTGCGCTTCGAATGACCAAAATAATCATATGCCTTTATCTTCATCGTCATCACTGATTAAATCGTCACCATTGATTAAAATTTAACCCCCGAGAGCTGGTTGAAGACAAGTGTGGTTTAGCAAATTGAACTTTTCCAGCGACTTGCGGCCGAGCTCCAGAGCGCTGCCAGGCTAATTACCTACGTCTCTCTCAAGAGCGCGTTTATCAACCTCATTACTCCTGGCTCTGTGTCCCTATCGATCGAGCACCTTCAGTGTCTTGGGTTATGCCAGCAACGAACCAAATAAAACCCATCGAACTACCTGAGCCTAGCGACGCTGAACTTGAGAACGCCGCTCGAGAACTGGTCCGGTTTATTCCTAGATTCCAGTGTGAGATTATGACTGTACGTTAACAATGGTGTACAGATTCTCAGGAACGTTGTCATCGATCCAGCAAAGTCCTTTCCAAAATCCTTCTCGACAACAGACGCATCAGTCCGAGCCGTTCTCGTCTACAAGAATGGATCTGCAGGAGCGGTCCGAGTTACTGGGCCTAATGCCCCTCTGCCTGTGCCAAATATTGTAACCGGACCGGACGAGATTGGCTTGGAGATCATTGAGGTGAAGGATGGTCAGACTTGTATGTTTTTCGGCGACCCTGTCGTTCGGTTCTTCCGATGCAAAGAAGCATAACCAAAAGTCACTCTTCTCCACGATTCATGATGTATTGAATGAAAAGTGTGGCCAAAGGTTGAGAAAACTCGAGCTTCGCTTGGTGGTCCGCGTGTTGTCCTAAGCGAAATTGAATGAAAGGCAAGGGATCTCCGAAAAAGGGGCACTCCATTTGCAGCTGCTGATTGCTTTCTTGGTAACGCTGAAGGAACGCGACCAGGTCCCTGAGTTGAAGGTTCAACGACACAGATTGGAGATGCTTCTGCGCTGGAACATGCGCGGAACCGTGCTGAGACATATTGAGGGATGTCAGATTAGGAGTATCTGTGACTAGAATATGCATTAGCTTCTGCCTTGCATTTACTTTCATGATTACACACCTTGCTTGTCAGACTGCTGGACTGCTGACTGTGACTGATGTGGTGGGGAATTCGCTTGGACCGGCACTAAACCACTATTAGGATAGATTCCGGAGAGCCCAGCGTTACGAACCTCTTGGGTAGGTATCGTAAAGGTCTCGCAGGGTCGGATTGACGAGTTCTTCCTTGATTCTGTCGATTTCGTAAGGTAAATCTAATCGAAGTCGCTCCTTCATGTTGCTCACAGCGTATAAGCCCAGAGCGGCAGCGGACAAAGCAACCATGGACCGACCAGATAGCTCATTAACTTTTTTGAGGAACTTGAAGTACTTTTTCCGGTTCTTCTCTCCTTTCGAGCCTGGCTCTGGGCCACCATGCTCCAGCAATGAGAAAGCCTCAGCAGCTCGCTTTTCTTCATCCTCCCTGAGACCTCCGCGACGGTCGATGACGACAGAGGAGTCGCGAAGCTTCGCGAGTGCACCTTGCATCGTCAACGGCTTGTGACGTGATTCGAGTGCCATGCTTGTTGTGGAGAAGGCTGTTGTAATTATTGAGGATTGGTGATGAAACTGTGCTGGAAACAGAAGAAAACCCGTTAGGATTATGCCGGAAAACTGTTGGGAAGCTGCCGGGAAGGGGTGGCTTTTTAAGGTGCAGAAAGGCTAATCTATACCATATATGGTTAGGTCAGCATATCGCTCCAACTTATATCCAATCGAGTTCAATTGTCTACAATAGACTTCGTTTGAGGCTGCTGATCCTCGTACAATCCAACATGTTCAAAGCCTCTATCGCGCATCTCGCGGCCCAGCGTCGTACAGTAGAGCACCGTCGATATCGTCACCGTCACCACGCTCTCTGCGACACAACGACGCGTGATGGGGAGAGGGGAAGCCCTGTCTTGCTCAGAAAGGCGTGACATATCCCGCACCGGAATTCACCCAAAAAGACATATCATGGAGCAATTTTCCCTCAGGCCTCCATCTTTGACATCATTGAACCAGACCTACTGTCCGCGTGCCCCATACCGTGCCCCATACATCTTCGAACTCTCTCCCAATTGATTCCTCACCATGGCAATTTTTCGAAAGGCAATCACTGCACCTCCGTCTCCATGTCTGCAGGTCATGACGCCTCCTCGCAGGCCACCTCGAGAGTCGTCCTTGCGGAGCACTGATAAGGATGATCTCAAGCGACTTTTTGTCGATGCCATCCGACAGGTGTTGTCGGAGATGCCCGTTGTGCCTACCTCGTCGCCTGAAAAATCCCGGCTCACCACTGCCAGCCTGCTTACGGATCTTCTGGAGCTCTTTCAGTCCACTCCGACTTCCGCTGCTACTACCGGAAACTCGCCATCAGCGTCTGTTGGCGTCGAGAAGGACAACCATCTTCAACTGGCTTGCGACAGTCGGGCCGTGACACCCCCTAACAGCCCCTGCATCGCCCCTTCGGAGCCTGTTGCAGTTTTCCAGCTGAAAGAGCTCACTGATTCCCTCGTTCATGTTCCCGACGACCCGAGAGCATATCCAGTCTCTGCAGAGAAGTCGCGACCCTTTGCATGCGGCTGCAAGGTCTCTGGAAATCCAAAATCGTCAGTGCCTCTCAACGACGATGATGTTGAAATTCTGCAAGATCTTGGACCAGCGAATGGTGATCAAGCGACGCCGAACACGGCTAATATCGCTGCTACAGGTGGACAACGGCTGGTGGAAGGCTCTCGGATTTCGAATGTGGAAGAGGGGAAGACTCGTAGAGTGTACGGTGTTGCATTCTATTTCCTTGACATCGCTAATCTCTGTTTTAGCTGCGACATAAAGGAAGGCGAACACAAGTGCGCCTCAGGACCTTTTGGCACCTCAACACCTCAATTCACTGCAGATGAGCTTGAGAAGCTGTCGGCAAACGCTGCCCACACGAGAGGCCCGTCTGACTCTTCCGACACGGCAGATGCTCTTGGCTTTTGTGAGGCTAGTGAGATCGAATCCGAAGATGTTAGAAGTGAACGTCAGGGTATTCCCCTTCCCGAGAACTCCCACCTTCCCTCGGAGCCTGTAACAATGAGCCAGCTGAAAGACCTTTTCCAAGCTGTGCTAGAATGCAAACCTCAAACAGATGGGGCGGGGAATGGTCCCGCTGGACCTGAGAAGAAGGCAGAAAACAATCAGGACAGAGAGGACAAAAGAATTGTGGCCTCCAGGATGGAGTACAAGACCGTCAATGAAGCGTATGTCCAACCCTGTCCGTATTCTACATCTGCTAATTAGATGCGCAGCTGGGACTCCAAGACGTACGAGTACAAGGTCGTCGATTCCCCTCCCCCGCAGGATGTGAGTGAATTAGACGAATTCGTATTCGTCGTCCGCAAGCGTATCCGTAAGTACGGCCGATTGTTGCAGCTCTTTTGACTGTCTGACATGTGTCCAGAGAAACAAACGCACGACGTCATCATCTACGTGGACATTAAGTCACCAAGCCTGCGAGACATCCTGAGATGCATCCTGAAAGACATTAGAACGGCGGGACTAGAAGCCGACAAACCTGCGGTATGGCTACTCATGCTTTATGTAGGCTTTGATGCTAATGGCCGCATAGGTGGAGCGGAACTTATTGTTCCATTTCCTTCCAGAGTTGAAAAATTTCGGCATCAGCTCCGACGACGATACCACGGAAAAGGATGGCTTGCAACATCTGAGTCTGTTAATCAAGCACCTAGAGGAAGCATACGAGTCAACAACTGCCCAAATGAACTCGCTTTTGACTCACAGGAAGATAACATACGACTTGTTATGGGCGTTCTTCAAACCGGGCACGCTGCTGTACATGACCTGCCCTTCCACAGGCCTGCCCCGTTGCGCTCGGTACAGCTGCGGCAAAGAGACGAAGACGGTCCGGAAGGGTGACTGTTTTGCGATCCAGTGTCAGTATTTCGATTACGACGGAGAAGTATTCGGCGAGTCTACCGAGACTTTGCAGATTGAAATGTTCTCCGCGGCCCGCAGGATCGAAAACCTCCCAGCATATCCATTGGAATTCCACCCTGAACCGGAAATCTGGTCGCGCCTGGTATCGGCTGGTCGAAAGTTCGTGTCGCTCATTGGCTGTTACCATCGGCAGTATGACGGGAATATGTTTGTCCCACATAAGGATCAACTGGTGAAAGTCCATGTCAGTAGCAAGATCATGATCGACGCTCAGCAGTTCCGGAAGTGGAATCCCAACTATGCAAGACTGGCGATGCAAAAGCTCCATACCGATATGTTTGGCCAAATATTGGATCACGAGATGATTGATCGCGTTCGCAGTAACGGTCTGGACCTCAGCGAGCTAAAAGAGGAAGAGCTAGCTATCTGCAGTCCAACGGTTCTCGGTTTCTCCTTGAACGAGAAAATTTGGGGTAAGTCGGTGCTTGACAACCTGTTAACTTAGTTGACTAATGTCACTAGGAGAATTTGCCGTAGAAAAGATAGCTGAGATCCAATTCTCAGATACGCCCTTTGACATGTTAGCTATCCCAGAGGACAAGAAACGGGTCATCAAATCTCTGACTGAAAGTCGGGTCTGCGCAACGACCGAGGGAAAATTTGATGACATCATTGAAGGAAAGGGGCAAGGGGTCATCATACTCCTGCAGTATGTATCCGAAGCCTCCCATAATGGCTAACTTGCTAACTGTTATGGGAAGCGGCCCCCCAGGCGTGGGGAAGACTTTGACAGCAGAAGCCATCGCAGAACGGCTTCAACGACCGCTCTACTCGGTAATTATAAGTCTGACGTCCCCTCAACCACATGGGAACTGACAAATGCAGATTTCTGCTGGAGATCTCAGCGCTCGAGCTGAGGAGCTTGAAGTCCAGCTAACGCGTACCTTCCGTGTTGCCAGCGACTGGAAGGCTGTGCTCCTCCTGGATGAAGCGGATGTTTATCTGCAGCGACGGGATGGCCTGCAATTAGAACGCAATCGCCTTGTTGCCACTTTCTTGCGCACGCTTGAGTATTATCCCGGCATCTTCTTCCTTACCACCAATATGCTGCAGGACTTCGATGCAGCCATCCTTGACCGAATCCAGTTAAAGTTGCAGTATCATGATCTAGACTCATCGGCTCGACAAGCCATCTTCAGACACTTTTGTGCTGAGACAGGTGCGGAAATTTTGGAAGATGAGATACGCAATTTCGCGGAGATCAGTCTGAATGGTCGGCAGGTGAGAGATTCGCTCCGTCGTTCAAGATATAGACGTATACTGACATAATATCTAAAGATCAAGAATGTTATCAAGCTTGCACACAATGTCGCCATGTCCGATGGGGTTCCACTGTGTGCGGATCACATTCGATCTGCTCTCAGAGCAAACGGGTATACTATACCCACTCCTGGCTCCATGATGGAGAACAGTCTCTATGACTAGGCACACCTTGAGGGAACGTAAAAAGGATTTTGGCCACCATTTCATTTTGCCTCCTACTTTCCTTCATTGAATATGACTTTCTGTTCGATATTCCGCCCCTTTAAGGGCAGCGTCAAATTTGGAGGCGTAGTTGTGAGAGACTAATTTATTCGAATACTATTTCCACGGGTGTCAGCTCCTACCAGCCCAGGCGCAGAGCAGCCATGTCGATCGACCATGACGTTATTCTTTCCCACAATCGCTGTATCTTATACAATATAGCCGTTCGTTTAAATGATCGGGCCGATTTCCTGATAATGACGAGACTAAAGGTTAACGCTCTACGTACCCAATGGATGCTTTGCTCCACCCTGGAACATAACTTTCTCTGATCAGTAAAATACTATATGCGCTCAACTCATTCAAGGTTGATGACTTTTATCTAATCTGCCGTCGTGCTTCCAGCTCATGAAAAGACGTCAATATCTCCTCGACCGACTGATACTAAGAAATGTAATTAGCAGCTACTTCTGATTCCAGACGAAACTGGTTAAACCAACCTTCGCCACAATATCCGCGTCTTCGGCTGTGAATACAATCAATTGATTGACTGCTTGATGGCTTCCCAAAGTCATGTCCATCCATTGATCTACCGCATTAACGTTCCATTGTTCTTCCGGGGACCAGAGGGAAGGATCGCCGTCGATGATGTTTTTGACCTTGTACTTGACAGCGGGTGGTGTACGCCAATATCCGCGACGTGACAGCAGACTGGACACCGCCGCATGACTAATATATCTGGAAGCGAAATAAAGGGCAATAACCTTTTCCTCATTGGACCATCGCTCAAGTCTTCTCGTATTGGTGTATTGGTGTAGTGACCTGCCCAGAGCAAACGAGCCCATTATTTTCTTCATAACTTTTGCGTATTCGGACGTCCACCCTGCGCAGTGAGTATCGAGGGCTCCGCTCAATATTCTGCGGCTGTTCATTTACACGTTGGCGGCCATGAGAATGTAATAAATAGAAGACTGGTCAAATATCTAAACTGCCAATCCCAGCTCGAAATATTTGTCTCCATTGGACGCGGGAAGCCGCAGCCTTTTCTTCTGCACGTCGTCGGTTTTGAAACATAGAACTGCATGCTTGCCCCGGACATCTGCCGTGGTATGCACGAGCGCAAAGAACAAATGATATGCCATATTGCTGAATATGCTCAGATGCTTTTAGGCTATCCCTAAGAGGTTTACGCATGCCAGCCAGTCGCTCTTATTGGTTAACGGTAAGGATCAGACAATATACATTCCAATCATCGTCGATACATTTTGCAATAGAATGTTATATAGCGGCAAAACCAGATAGCCGAAATAAAACAAGATAAAGATAAAGTGATGCTTTCAAACAAGCGTTCGTGTCCATGTCCTATTTCTATGCTGGTTGGGAATTTTCCCCTTTCCTTTCCTTGAGTCTTTTTCAGGAGCTTTATCACGGCAGTGCAGGAATAGCAGGCTGGGTCACCATATTTCAAGGGCTCCCTGGTGACCTTGATATGGCCTCTTTGTAAAGCTTCGAACAAAGCGTCATGGAAGCCCGACGGGCGATGCCCCGAAAAATTTTCCAGCATTATTGGGACTACATCTGTATGTCCTCCCTTGGGGGCTCAAGGCAGCTTGCGCCTTATGAGTGGTCTCCAGAGTCAAATGATCTGAACAACCTCTGCATGGCCCCGTCTTGCCGCGATGACCAAAGCATGTTCGGGACATAACCCAGTCAGTTTTGGGCTTGGTCCGTTTAGTGTCGCCTCAGGATATCGAGCCACAATTCTCTCTAATAGCTCGGAAGCTCCGGTCTCTGCCGCTCATGAGATGAGCAACCGAGGGTTACGTTCAAGGTTACGTTCGAGGTTACGTTCAAGGTGAGGTAGTAGAGGTGTTGTATAGAGAGTAAAGAGTATCGTGGTCCGCGTCGAGCCAACCCAGGATCTCTAGGCGTAATTCTTCGGGCAATTTTGAGATGCCTCCCATTGAACCATAGACTGCACAATGATATAGAACGTTGAAGAGTAAAATACTGTATCCGAGGGGGGAGGGAAGAATTGGATGGGATGATTTTAAGTTAGGAAACTGAACTCTTAAAGGCCGGGAACACCGGCCCTTATAAGCCAGGACGCCGCACGATGCTCAGAAGAGGATAAGTCCATCATAAGATGACTTACACTTACTATTCTATTGGCAGAGCACTGTGCCGGATACATTAAGGACAACTACCCCCAATAGACTGGCGCCCTCCAGTGGGTCATGCCTAGATTGACTCAGCCTTTGTGTCCCTGTATCAAGAGCAAAAGGCATGAGCTCATAATTCGCATTCGACTCGGATTCTTTGACCAGGAGGCTAGTGTCACGCAATATCTATCGCATGGTAATGGGAATTCTGACCTGGACCACGTGATCTGATACATGTAACCTTTAAGCAACTTCTGAGCCACCTTCACATCCTTGTGAGAGACAGCTCGCTAGTCTACACCTGTTAGCACACGTCATTCACGTCGGTTTGTTTCCAGCGAGGCATAGTTACTGGGCACGATAACGCCTTGCGAAGCTAGCCTTGGCAGAGCAGGCCATGTTCCTTTGGGTCTCGTCGTGAGAAATAACTCGTCATGGCTTGCCGTGCTTGATACCACTGAACGTATAATAGATGTTAGCCCTGCTGCTTACTGAGGGGGTACAACACGTAAGGAACTATAAAGAGACCGTCCTCCCGTCGGCCCACTTATACTTACTTGCCGGGACCCGTAATTTCTGTACTATTTATGATGAAAATCGTCATCGTTGGCGCCGGCATATCTGGCCTTGCTACTTATTTGTTTCTTAAAAGACACCTTCCTTTCCCAGATTCCCATGAGATACATATCTATGAGAAGCGTCATATCCTAGGACAGCAAGGAGCGGGCGTGGGGGTCTCCGCCAATGGCTTACAAGTGCTCAAGGCCCTGGGGCTGTTGGATAAAGTGCTCCATGATGGTTCCGTGTGCAATTTCTTTTCGATCCATGGCGCCAACGGATGGTCACTTGCAAATCTGCGAACAGGACGTCATGCTCATGAATTTTGCGTCTCAATTAGCAGACACGGTTTGTGGAAAGCTCTCATGACTGAAGCAGGGGACGTCGTCTCCTATTGTGAGGTCAGGGATATCAAACGTGATGCAAGTACCGGAAGGGTCCTTGTGCAGTTGGAGCATTCCATCGTGGAAACCGATCTTGTCATCGGAGCGGATGGCATACACAGTATTGTGAGGAAGCACCTTCTCGGACCAGATAAATTCTCACTCAGACATAGGTAAGGACTTCGCCCAGGGAAAAGCGCGCCGTGGCAAAGTTTACTGACTTTGGCAAGTGGTTATGCATGGGTCGGTGGCTGCACGGACATAGGAGCGTACCCAGAATTCCAGGAAAGGAAGGATGCCTTGCACTTCGCGGTTGGAAAAGATGGGATCTTTTCCTATTGTGCAGGTGGCCCACACTTGCTGACATGGCTGTCCATCTTTCCAAAGCGGGACCCCAGTTCTAGCATTTCTAAGAACTTACTTGATCACCACGAGCACTGGAAGGATCCTGTTATTCAGAACATTATTTCTAAAGCAGAACCAGGACGTGTTTATGACATCATGACTGTTCCCAAGTTGCCTACTTGGGGTGAAAGGGGGATCGTCCTTGTTGGGGATTCAGCACATGCAATGTCGCCTACCACTGGGCAAGGAGTTTCGCAGAATTTAGAAGATGCACAAACCCTCGCCTTACTACTCAGTGCGACGACTACAAACTGCCATGCTGAAGAACAGCACGGTACTCCGATACGGGATGCCATTGAACGCAGTCTGTTACTTTATTATCATATCCGCCACGAACGGGTTGAGAGAATCGCAGCCACAGGTGAAGCCTTTGACAAGCGCATGCTCAACGCAAAACCACTGGCAGTGTATGCGAGATATTGTTTGCTCTGGGCGCTTAATAAGTTTCCAGGAATAAGTAAGAATCATTCCTGTTACAAGCCGCTTATACTGACAGAGATCCACAGTCACTAGACGGTTAAAGAGCTTGAATGATCAGCTCTATGGCTGGGACGCAGAAGGATCAGTCCGATCCGCAATACACTCAAATCAAGTACTTGTGGGAAATGATCGAGCTACCTAAGTCTATCTCCTCTTTGGGAAATCAGGCAGGCGTATATGTCAGCTCCAGCTTAAGGGTTGTAAAAGCTACACTTTTGCCTACGCTCCCGGATTAGGCTTAGCGCCAAACACACCATCGTCTTTTGTTGTGATTCAGAGGAAGGTTGATCGTTATTGTTCTCAACTGAAAACATGAGGGTCTATATACATGTTGTATATCAGTTTGATTTCAAATCAAACTGATTCAATACGGAATAATTCCGTTTGTGAAGCTCTATTGCCTACGTGATCGAGCCTCGATTCACAACATCTTTTGCTTGGGGTAGCTTCGAATTTAGATAGTTCGAACATCACGCCGTTATTATATTCCGTCCTCACTCATAGACGTCACTCCCTTGTTTAAGACCTGCAAGCCTATCTTCAGGATTATGGAATTTGTTTACATCATTATAAACTCTTTCCAGCTGGTCCAAGATGATATGAAAGTTCTCAACAACTAGCCTCTTCAGCATGGTGAGGCTGCCGAATTCCCATGACCTGAACGTTGCTATCTAGGTTTGGATAGACATAGGTAGTATTGCGCTATAGCAAACCAGACAGCCTTCCGGCAATCCATATTAACCTTGACCTTGATCGATCCAGGTACATATCGAACTTGAGGGCTGCCAAGCAAACTCTCTCGAAGTCAGGAAGCAAACGTCTCAGGCCACAGTTGGAGAGAGAAGGGTGGTTTGATTCGATGAAACCACATGCTGAGCGCCGGCTAGCTACTGTCTATACTCATTATGCATGATCGCTACATTCTGCAAATCTTCTAACCCACCTCTCCGGTTTTGTTTTCTGACTCCGGCTCCGATTTGACATCGTTATGGATCCTCAAGCTACTTATTTCCATGCTAGAGAACGACGTTCTTGACAGCGGGGCTGGAGAGCAAGTGGTGTCTCTTCAAGTCTGTTCAAGAATGACCGTAACTCTTTCCAGAAGCACGAATGCTCCTGGCCAATGATAATGGGCTTGCAGGAGGAAAGCTGATCTGGGGTTCCTCAACGCTGCTCAACGGACAACAGTCATCTGATCTGGAGAAAGCACAGACACTCGTCAATTGGAGAAACCTCGTTTCTGGCCAAGGTTTTTCGAAGCTGCTCTGGTACTCTGTCCGGTATCCCAGGATACCGAAAATCTGGTGTTACACCTATATATCAGCTGTCTCTTTCCTGACTCTTCTCCCATCATCCTCCCCACGTTTGTTTTCAAGGAAACCACTCTCTGATCTGCCTGCTGGTCCATCGTCGAAGTATTATAGTTGTGTCATTCGGGCCGCTGACATGTCTGATCCACCAGCAAGTACTCTAAAGGAGCTGTTAACCACGCTTCGAAATTTCGTCGACATAGTTTCCTCTCATCCAATGATCGAGCTTCAGTTTATCCCAGAGGCATGTTAGAAATCCACCAACCCACAGGTCATTTACTAATAAGTCTCATCAGTTCAACATCTTAATCCATCGCCTATGTGAGAAAGCTCCAAAAGCCGCTCAAGCAATTGCGGCTGGCATACAAAACTTCAACCCTCAAGGGCAGACCACGGTGGAGAAGAGCACTTCTCATCCAACGGAACACAAGCGGAAGCCAAATGACGACCCCTCATACCGGCCCCCTAGGTCTGCCAAGCGCACGGCTTTGAGCACTGATGTATTGAATAATGAATCTAGTTCTGCCCAGGTTGATGAACCCAGCCCACAAGCTGTTAGCGGCTCCGCAAGAGAGGGAAATATCTTGTCCGTTGAAAATACCACGGATGCAAGTGGGGATATGAATGGTAGCAATACGATAACTGGTCCGATATCAGCAGCGAGCAAACCGGATACAGCTGAGCCCCAGGTGTTGAGCGAGTCGAAGTCCGATGTGAACATGTCAAGATCAGCTGAGCAGGATTTAACAATGGGGGCAGATGACGGACATCTCCCATCACAGACAGGAGAGATTTATACAGGCGAAATAACAGCATCGCCCGAGAGTATCTTGTCAGAGCCCGCGCCAATACCAGATCAATCGTTAGCAAAGCCAGTCCCCATTACTCCCGTCGAAGCGGTTGAGATAATCTATAAGTTTAGCAGGTACCAGGATGGACTTCCAAGGCAAGTTCATGCAAGGGTACTTCAGTCTCTTCAAGGAGATAATCCCGAAGCAGTAGCAGCACGTTCAGACCGATGGTCTGACGGCGCAATGTGGATTAATATGCTCGAGAATGGGTCATCGAATAGCAAAAAGACTACTATCTTCAACATGTTGGAGTACATGGGAGCTTGTGAATGGTACGACAGTCAGATTGAACTTGTTCTTAAAGAAGGAACACTCCTTACCGCCAAGAACAAGTCAGTAGACCGTCGGGGCGCGGCCATTCATACGCTGAACAGAATGCAGCGTTCACAAATGGATTCCGCGCGACAATGGAAGTGGATTAGTGGTATTGGAAGGGTGGCATTAGAAGGACAAGAAGATTCACCAAATGAAAGTGGTGATGTCAGCCTCGCACAGCAAGCAAGAGAAGCACAAAGGAGTCGCATTCTAATGCAACTCACACGCGGCCGGAAATTGCGTACAAAGCTTGTTCGGGAACTTGGATTTGGGATCCTGTTCTGCCCTAAGATTTGGTGAGTCATATCATGTTCTAATGCATCCTCCCGCTAATAATCGATCGTAGGACATATACAAAAATGAGTGAAGGGCAACTTGATATCCTGATTAGGGACTGCAAAAAAAATACTAATCTGATGAAACTCCTTCGCACCTTGAGCCCACAATTAGAACTGCTGGTCAATCATGGGTCTCCAGATCTTCGCGGTTTCTATGAGGACTTACAAAACGCGGGCCTTGGATTAAATGACGGCGACAAGCTTAGCGAGTTGAAGGTTTTATTTGCCTTGGAAAGCGTAAGTAACAAGTGCTCCGTATTCAGACTAATCACTGACCTGATCACACAGGAGGCGTTATCAGTTGACGAGCTGAATGCTGCAGTTGATCGTCTAATTGAACGCGTTAGTACAAAGCTCTTTGCCAAAACTACACTAGGCAACAAAGATACAGTTAGAGTCAATGAGAGTTTGGAGTTACCTTGTGACTTCTTCCAGCGACTCCGCGGGAACGAATGGCTCGACAATTGGGCTATTATTGCAGGGATGCAAATATCAGACAGACCGGCGTTTGTCAGACATATTGCAAGTGTTCCATTGGACGAGGTGATCGGACGAAGTGTAGCAAAGCAGATTCAAGACCCTCTCTCAGGCTTGGCCAAGAAGATTGAGAAGTACCGCAGTGAGACCGAAGAAACCTTCGGTGCTTTCACCCGTTTGGTATACTTCTGTCCAATAAACCACAGAAATGATCACTTTACGCTCCTTGAAATCAATGACCGCGAAAAAGTAATACGCCACTACGATTCCAACGCGGCCCCGGAAGTTATAAAAGGTGACAAGAGGACGCGAATATCGGATCTGGTTAAGAAAGAATTTGGTGAATTGGAGTTCTCATACAGCGAAGCTGTAAGTATCTGATTATGTCAAACCAACCTACAAAAGCCTAACCAGCATAGCCAACTCCGCAGCAGAGAGACAGCTGGAGTTGTGGTGTGCGGGTTGTCTGGAATTTTAGAAGGCTGTCCAATGGATTTCCAATTGGAACATGGACCACAGAATTATGCCCCAAACGCATGAAACTGGAAATTGTGGAGGGCTTAATTGCATGTGTTGAGAGCAATACCATGAGAAAAGGAAGATCATGAATGCAAGCAAACAATTAAGCTTATATTGTCAACCTCAATAAGGACTCCCTTAGACAGCCTAAAGTTCGCTTGCAAATGAAATGGAAGCGGAGGATGTTTAAAGGAGTTCGAGTGTAGGAATCTTCGGCTGTATACATTACTTCGAAGTGAGGAACTGGGTCAGTCGACCGCTATTGGATTCACCACTAATGATAATCTCCAGGTCGATGTAGCTGCGTGCCTAGCTTTTGGAGCGGGTAACATGACACGTCATACTTGCTCTGTGCTGTGTGCTTTTGGAGCTCATATCCTCTGGGGATACTCCACTAGAGAAAATAAAATATACTATACGAGCTTTTTTGGGTATGTTGAAATAGACTCTTGTAGTCTTGCTTAATTTAGCCCTGGTACGCCACTAATTATAGGCTAGCCACATCTAGTATAAGTGAAGTGGGGATGATTGGTCTAACTTTAAGCACACCCAACTATGGGATTGTATATATTTTGTTTTACATGTAACCAAGCTACTTAGCAAAGTTTCGATATGACTGAGAATTTGTATTCAAGTCTGGAATCAAAAGAAAGTCTGATGCTTTGCAACGAGCGACTATCTAACCCATACCTATATCCCAAAGATCCAAAATGTTTCTGTATCATTATGATCAATTCAATGACCATGGTTCCGTAGGTTTCCAGCGGTTTCCCTGTATAGTAATATGATATAGTAGCCCGAATGTCTCACACAATGTAGTTAAGAAGGGTGAGTGTTGCCATCCCCTTGCAAGTAATCACTGTKAATCCATGCCTGCCAGTCAATATGCCCCTCTTGTTGGCTGGTGGATGGATTATATTCTTGGTTCATGGTGGGTGCACGAGGCAGGACACCTCTGTTCAGTGTAGGAAATGAATGCGCCTCAGTATCAGTTGGAAGTCTCAATCGGTAAGCATAGCCTGGGGTCCCGCCAGAAGAGGCCACTTTTAGTACCAGGTATTACTCGGGCACACTTCGTTATCAATGTAGGGTTAAACTTACATGCCTGAGGATCATGATATTGTTGGTTGCCGAAAGTATGGTAAATGCGAGTATTGGAAGGTAGAAGATCTTGTACGCAGTTTATAATTCTAGCGATAGAAGAGGGATCCATGGTGCTTAGAGTCGTCAAAGCACCCGCCAGAGATACCACTAGCTATGAGCTATCAGTTGGATAAAATCGAACTCTGAGGATGTGACGAACTGATGAAACCTGCGTATCTTCATGACATTGATAGGAATCGATTTCTTGGCATCTGCAGGCAATATCTAGGGTGCCGGCATATGTGACCTGGTTGTAGGTTTGCTCAAAGTGGTACGAGTCCTCCATATCTGATATTGGCATGTCACGAGGAATTGCTGCTGGAGAATTCATAACCCTGGAGTGTGGGGAACAAGGCTCTTCAGCTACATATAAGATACGCAAGGTGATGTAAAACGATGGAAGATTTCGTTAGCTGGTCGATGTTTATTTGAGATTCTAATTCTATATCCCATATGACACTGCGTGTCTTTACTTCCGTTGTGCCAAGGCGGCCGGAATCCATTCGGAAGGGCACCCATTAAATTCGCACATACAGCGCAATTGCTGCCTTTGATGCTCATAAGCCCACTCTGTGTTGGAAGGACAAGCCCTAATTCCCGTCAAATCGAGAAGCCTGCTCATTTCATGCAAAGAGACCAGCGCCCCCAAAACATCGAATTGGCAATCAGATCCCATGGAGATTGCTGAGGACTGTTCGTTTCCAGTGTATCTAAGCAGCATTTCCTCCAGATCATCGATAACTTCCAACTTGGGATGCTGTCTAAGCAAACTCCAGATTAGGCTGAGCCAATGGACCACGGCATCCCACGGCTCGTGGCGCTGTTTATCCTGGGAGATAGGATATTCATAATCGTGAACAGGTGGAAGACGGCTCCAGCCTCTCATGTACTGCTTCCTTTCACAAAATCTTTCAAGTTGCTCCTTTAGGAAGTCCCGATCTCCTTTCTGGTTCCAGCCGTAAATGAAAGCGGCGTAGTCAATAACACCAAGGTCGACTGGCAGATCAAATTCCTTATTAAGATCTCTGATTCGTGAATTGATCGACTCGATATGTCGGATGGCTGACCGTGCCTGTTCAGCTTGTGTTTCATCGGGGTTGTTTCTATCCGCTTCGTATAGGTCCACAAGGTGTTGGGTTGCTCGCTGGTGCTTATATCGATGGTACATGTGTAGCTGGTGAGGCCAGGAAGCATCTGTATGTTTCTTTTGGCTCGTAGCCATGGCTTATCACTGTTCTGGGAGCTCGTTTTCGTAGTAAAGGTTAGATGTCTCACGGGGCAAACCACATCAGCAATGTCGATGGCTTTTAGCGCTTTTATGTTCACAGACTATCAGCGAGTATGTGGCAAAGGCTGATAGTGGCACACTTCGGCAGCTGCGGATTTCAGCAGAAGAAAAAAAATAGAACCTCAAGTTTAGTGCTGGTTCATCAGTTGATTCTCATGATTGTTGGTTGACCTATTTGGCGATCCTCGTTCTATATAACCAACTACTGTAACGCCCATGTTGGAAGAGGTTTCAACTTCAACTTTCCTTAATAATCTTCATACCGCAACATGGTGCCCGTCCGCCGCAAAGTTGTTATTGTAGGAGAAAGTGGCTGTGGAAAGACATCCCTACTTAGGTAAGCCAGACTTTTGTCTCATAATATAGTTCGAATAGCTAAAGGAGCCAGTGTCTTCCTCATGAAAGAATTTCCAGCGGTCCGTACTTTACGTTACGTGAGCTATCAACAAACTTGGCTAAGAGTAAAGCAGGCGCACCAGCCTACGATCTATGATAGTTACTCAACGACAATAGAAGCAGACGGAAAATTTATTGAGCTAATACTTGCTGATACAGCCGGTAAAAGTGAATATAGCGCTTTTCGGCCATTGATATATGAAGGTGCTCATGCTGTCCTCCTGTGCCTTGCTATTGACGATCGAAAAGCAATCGAACGCATCCCACATCAGGTAGGCCATTCCCACCGCCCATTCTTATAGTTCATTACGTGTATCCACATAACGAGAAATGCTAGATGAAGGTGCGAAGGCAGAATTGACCATCTCTAGTGGATCAAGGAGATTAGACGTTGTTGCTCAAAGACACCAATCATCCTCATCGGATGTAAGACAGACCTTCGGCAGAAACGCTTCGACGATCACCAGTTAGTTTCGCAGAAAGAGGTCAGTGTGAAAGCCTTCGGTACGATATTACGAAGTCCTGCTGAAATTGAAGATAAAGGCAGTCAGACTGCAGCACCAGATCAAAGCTCGCTTGTATATGGAGTGCTCCGCATTGGAGCATCGTAGTGTGAGACGGGTTTTTGAGTCAGCAATATACTTCGCGGATAGAAACCAAAACAAAGGGAGTCTATGTTGCATCATGTAAACTTCGGTTGAAATACTACGTCAAATCAAGCGCCTTATATATTTTAATGTGCAAGTCGTGATATCCCGTAACTAACCGAGGCAGATATTGATCAGCTCTGCGACCAGAGTGACGGGGCATTGGGTGTTTGCTGCAAGAGGACTAATGCCTTACGCACTCTGATCCACATGTTCGCGTGTAGGTCAAGGTTTCCTATCCATCAGACCTCATGTGCCGATCGGTATAGAAAACTCCGCCTTACAGTTTGAGGAAGTAATGGTGCTCTCGGTTCGTAACCAAGCATGGAAATAAAATTCACTCCCTATGCCATATATCGAACAATATGAGTTTTAATGGTAATGCGGTACTCGAGGGTGCGGAATACATCAGTTAGGCAGCATTGAGTCTTCGGAGTATAGAAGGTGCCTACAGTAAATATCCACAGCACGCCCGTTCCTTCCACCCGTTATTGGAGATTATTTCGCCAAAAGAAGGGATGTCAGCTTAGCTATCTGCAATTGAAGGCTTTTGATTTCCTCGTCCTGGCTTGTGGCGGTGGCGCTGCTGGCTTTCGGCACCACGATTGGCGTGGTGGTTGTTTGTGACGGGACCGTCTGTTCCGAAAGTGCCTCATTGAGAATTGCTAGTTCACGTTCGGAACGTTTCTTTGTCTCTCGTTCTTTCACTTTCTGTCTTTCCTTCCCCTGTTTTCTCTCCAGGCTTTGTCGCCGTAGTTGAGCTAGTATTTCATCCAGCACGTCAGTGTCATGATCTTGGGACCTCCTGTAAGTTGAGGATTCCAGAAGTGGCACACTCCTTTTGTTTTTGGATGAGCGATCTCGGGGTAACCTTGCCATGACATGATTTGGTGGATTCAGCCCGTGCTTCTCATAAAGATCAACAATATCATAATCACCGTCGATGCCACAACGAAGCTTGCGATACTCTGTGCGAGTCATAAGAGGTCGCTCAATATGCTCCAGCTGGCCTGTGGCAGATCTGTCAGCCAGTAACGGCTGAACCCAGGTCTCGTGTCTGGTTCCTGTGGTGTGTACGAAAACGCGCTCAAGCTCCTGCCATCGATCTTCATCGGACGTTTTGTATTTCCTGACCTCATTCTTGCCCCTAAAGGCAAGGTACTCTCTTTTCGCCTCCTGACCGAGTAGGCTACCAGACCGCAGTACGCCGATGGGGACATTTTGATCTGGCAGAACAGCGAATAGATATGCGTACCTGTCCTCTCCACCCTTGTTATATCCGTTCTTCCATGATCTATAGCCGCAGATTTGCTCCCCATCCCGTGTTTTCGGCGCGCTGAGTTCCCTATCACGCGTCTTGGGTCTTGTGTCAAGTAGAATGTCGCGTATGTTTATTGCCCAAGAACGTGGGTAATCATGGTTGTTCAAGTAGTCCAGAAATTCGTCGTTGATCGTCTCTGCCTTGCGATAGGCAGCAACATCATTGGGTTCGTCTCTGAGGCGCGAAACAAAGCTATTTATTGTCCTGTAGTAATCCCGTAATATGTCTATTGGAACAGGGTCTTTACCATCAAGGGCCATTTCTGATGCGTTATGGTTCTGATACTCAATCGCTGCCCTGTTGATGTGTTGTAATTTTGAAATTGCCTCTGCATTGTCGGGGTCGACCTTTAAGCGCTCGACATAGGGTCCCGCGTTCGTCGTGCTCGCAATACCGGGCTTCGCTATATCCACCTTTGCGAGACGCCAGCTTGTGGGCCAACCGAAAAAACGGCCATTGGTGTCAAGTAGCGATTCTTGGTTCCTATAGATCTGTTCTGCATTGACATCTCCTGGATCATCCTCGAGTTTTTTTAGCATCTCCCTGCTGGTCCGAGCAATTGCCTGCAAAAGTGAAGGTTCAAGGTTGACTTTTTCCTCGTCATTCACAGGGGGGTCGAGCTCGTCATAGTACTGCAGGATGCGTTGATGTGCCTGACGTATGTTCTGTAGTGCACCCTCGTCCTCAGGACACTGCAATAGTTGCAAAACATCGGCAGTGACATCTTCATAGATCCGTTTAACTGGCTCCGGAGCTTCGCGCTCGATCCTAGTTGCGGCATGCTTTCCCTTGCTGCTCCTTTTCTCGTCATCAGCTTCGCCGGCCGAGCTATTTCCGTCGCCTCCTTCCTCATCCGTATCACTGTCGGAAAATGCATTGGCATGCCAGCTCTCCCCCACTGGAACTAGCTTGGGATCGGGCATCTCTGTTTCTGGATCCTTCAGCTTCTCGAGAGCATTTCTGAGCCCTAATGTCCCTTTTAAGCGTCCTATCACTGCAATTAGGAAAGTGGTTCAAATGGGTCTTACAGTTGAAAGCCTCTTTGGCTTGCTTTGGTCTTTTCTTATTCTGATCTGGGTGAACGAGAAGGGCCTTTTTACGGTAGGCCTTTATTTTTTGCCTTTCGGTGGAATCTTCCGTGACACCTAGAATTCGCAAATATTCATCTGCTTGGCCATTCAGGATATCTTCAATCGCTTTCTGTCGCATTTCGGCAGTTTTTTCGTTTTCGTTTTCTTCTTCCCCTTGATTGCCTTTTCCCCCTTCCTCCTGGCTTGCTTCGTCTAGCGGCGGGTATGAAACGGAGGTTCTATCAAGAAAGAGTGGTTTAGATTGCACCACGACTTCTGAGTTGCTTGGACCAGCCATAAGAGCAAGCTCTTCTTCGACAGTCGGGGCCTTGTAGCTCATGTTGCTTGCTATACAATATTGCCTCGACTCTGGCTTTGGATATGCATGAGGGAAGGTCAATATTTATAGGTCGATGTACAATGGACATCAGCAAAACCCCTGTATGCGATGGCTGGACAGAAATTGATGGCTATTTCTCCTAATTTTTAAGTTCTTTGGCGTGTTAAATGCGTGATTATAGTCGGTTACAGTAAGGCGCATTGTGCGCATCCCGGCATTGAAGTTACAGCAACTTTGCAGACATCTTACACATGCAACACGAAAGCTGCTGGGGTAAAGCATCCGGATCGTCTGGAGGGCAGCCTGCAGTTGACAGTGGCCTGCAGTATGTACAGTATCATTAATTATACTATGGTACTATGATCTGTAATTCCCCTGGCTATATCTCAAGCTCTATCCTTCTCCTGCTCATAATCCCCAGGAACCCACGCCTGGGGATACCCGAATAGCACACAGTCTCTTCGAAGATCTTCCCTATGCTTTTCATAGCGTTCTGGCTCTCCTGCTTGAAGGCACTCAACCATCATACGATAGGCTTCAAGCAGGCACTCTGATTGAAGAAGGCCAATCACTGACCCAGCATTTCCGTGCGCCTGATGCAGCCGGCGAAGGCCTTTGTTAAAGTCGCATTCAAAACCAAGGAGGATAAGCTCCTGGTCTTCTATAATGTCCTCCTTTACTGTTGCCTTTCGCATCTCCCAGACAAAGCGCAGCAGCATTCCTGGTGTTTTCAAGTCGCAATTCTCCCAGTACCTTTGTTTGTATGGGCGATACTCGCTACTGGCTTCTGGCGGCTGGCATGCCCAAGTCACTGGATAATGACGCAGCCTGCAGAACTCTTCGAGATATGGGTGTGAGCCCGGTTCTTCCCATGCGTGCAGGAAAATGTCGACATCGATTGTTCCCACCTCCTTATCGAGCCCACTCTCTGCATTGAGCTGGCGGATGTCTTCATTAAGCGAGTGAAGGTCGTTCAAGACCTCCCTGATCCGCCTATCGCGCCCAGCTTCCTTAAACTCAAACAGTTGAACGATAAGAGACCCTGCGATTTGGTGTCGGTCCGCATGGTACTGAAATGGAGGCAATGATCTCGCCGGGGAAGGGCAAAACCATTCCGATGTTTCGCTATTCGAATCTGAGCTGGGCAGTTCTATAGTGGTCGGATCTGAAAACTCCATACTGAATTGCCTCTTTTGGTGCAGGCAAAGATTGGAAGGGATACCGCAGGCTTTTCTATCCCTCAAGCTTCGGAGGGTAATGACCAAAGTTGTCAGAGGAAAGGCGACAACCATCCTTATATAGACAAACCAGGGTGGTTCAAGCAACTTCTATCTAGGAATGACGAAGTAGGGCTATGAATCCTAGTTAGAATACTGTCTGATCTAGTGATAAAAGAAGCAACACAGGTTATTCCGCGTTCACACATCTACAATCCGCCCGTCGCCTGAGGTCCTCCTGTGAGGCTCCTGGGGCTGAAATTCAAGGCATAGCAGTTCCAGTTGTTCATTTTTGAAATCCCCACCCAAGACCTCCAGCATGTGAAGCCGAAGCTGGTTAACAAAATATTCACTGGCAGAGACTTCTTTTATTAGAAACGAAGTTTATTTTAGAGAATCCGGCCGTACCTGTGAAAAGCATTCTTCCGCGGCGATTCTTAAGTTCCTCTCGTATGACACCTTTTACGTCTATGGGACCGGCAAATGCCTTCACACGTCGGCCATATCGCAGTGCATCTTTCTGATCCAAGATGAAAAGCTGAATGTCCAGCATCTGCTCTCAACTCAGTCACAATGGACAGACGTTAACACGAGGGGCGTACCAGTGTTCGATTATAGTTGTCGTGATCCTCTCGAAGGAGATGCGTGATCCAACTTTGCACAATAACCAAGTCCTCTGTTCAACATCAGCGAGGCACGCGGTCAAAACAATCCAAACAAGAACTTCTCGTACTATCATAAGTCTCCCACACCAGGGTGATCCGCCGCGTTGGGAGGTCGCCTCTGAGGGAACCATAAAATGCTGTCCTTAAGTATGACATCTGAGCGGCGATACCTATACCCTGTGCGAACAACACCACATGGCCATACCGATGCAATTTCTGATGCCCGCCGTATGGGCCATCGATGGCAGCTTTGAGACCCACTGAAGAATCGCAGCTGGAGAGCTCTTTTGTGAGTCCGCTTTCGGGTCTAACAAGAAGCCAGATTGCGAAACCTTCGAAATCCTCAGCACTGGTACCTGCATCTGTTTCTCCAGAGCCCTCGTCCGAGCCGAAATGCCTAATGTCTTGGAGTGCCTGAGTATCCAATGCTCTTCGGTTCTGCCTTGGTCCTGTTGGACTAGTTCCACGGATAGGCGGGGCACTAACTGGGCTCGGGAGTTGTGCTGGCGATCTCGGGTCCTGCCACCAAGCGATGGAGAACGGGTGAGCCTCTGGTATCCTCCAAAAATTTTCAGTTTTGAGATATAGATAGACAGTTTGACCCGGCCTGACCTCAAATCGTCGAGGTAACAGAACTCTGATTCTGATCGCATCTGGGCCACCTTCTGCTTTCCACCGATATATTCTAGCTGTAGGGAGCGGCTTTCCAAAAACAAAGTTATGCCACAACATTCGGGCAATCTGCAGTAACGTCGTCCCGACAAACAACAGTGTCGTCAGCGAGAGGACCCAAATTGGGGAAGTGGGTTGCCAGAAAGACGACATAGAAGAGACGTGGAGAATATGAAGCCATAAAAGTACAAAGCTGGAGAGCGCAAGACCGTAATGTAGCTTGATAAAAGCCTCGTACGCGTGGCGTCGCATCGGTTTGACTGATACCAGGATCATGAGTCCCAGACAAGCCGCAACCTTACACTCTCAGTCAGCATTGCACATCAGGTCCAGCGAGCACTCGTTTTCATTACTTGCCAAGATGCCCTGATGATCCTTCGCTTCACGCCAGCTGATTCCCTTCGTTTGGCTCAAAATAATAATATGTATCCCGCTCTGCAAGGCGGTCATCCAGCTAACAGTTTGGTGGATGCGAACCAGTAATTCAAGGCGAAGACTGAGAAGGTCTGCCACCAGGTGCATTCGAGACCCCAAGAGTAGAGGTAAGAACTGTAAAAGGGCCAGGGAAGCCGCACGTGAGCCAGCATCGGCTAGATCTTTGACGGCAATTCCATTACACGCCATCGTTCCCCCCCAGTATATCAGTTGTATGGCCAATTCACTCCACCCTACGCGGTGGACAAATCTTCCCCCATGAACAACTGCCGACAGAGTCCAGCGATGAAAACAATAGATACAAGACCGTGGGGGCCAACGGCAGTAGATCCACCTCAAAAAGGTGTGCAGGCATAGTACAGCCAACGTGCCGCAGAGACAGGTGCCATATATCGTTAACAGGTCCATAGTCAGATGAGAGAACTTGCAAGTTTCAGCGTTTGTTTCATCTGCCCATCGCTGTTATATATTGTTGCTGCTTGCCACGGAACTATCCCCCATCGACCTCATCCGCCCCAGTGAAACACCTTCGACGCTACCGCCACCTTCCGACAGTCGATCCCCTACACACGCCACGAGCAGGCTCAAGGACTAAAATGGCTGCAGATCCATCTAGCCAAATAAAGCGACGTCAAAAGAACGAGAAATCCAGGTTTAAGCGGCACTCTGACCGTTTATTGGAGCACAGCGACGAGTTCGGAAAGCTGTTTGATGCCAAAATCTATCTCCTTATTCAAAATCAGAAGGGGGACCTGACAATATACAATAATCGACTCGAGAACGAGTGGCCACCTTCTCAGTCTGAACTTCTGAGACTCTCCGAGCACAGTATCTCACAGAATTTAAACAGAGGCGACCGCAAGGACTTCTCTGGCCAGACCCACAAGAAAGACCGGACCAAGTTTGAAAAGAAGAAAGATCAGCTTCTACAGTACGGAAATAGCATTGCTCAGCAGTTTGCTGCGAATGTTTACCTTGCAATTCAATGTCGGACAGGATACACAATTGTCCACAACAGCAGTTCTTCAAAGAACTGGCCACCATCCAGACGGCAAATTGTTTGTGATTCCCCCCAATCATTCCCACAGTCTGACTGACAATGCGTAGAAGTTGCTCTTTCCTTCTGCAAAAAGGAAATACCCGGAAGATTTTGACGGAAGCCCGGACCTTTTACAGGCATCCTCCCGAAAAAATTTTGAGGACACATCTCTTAAATAGTGGGAGGGCTGGTATTAACTGCTCTGAACTATGTCTAACAGGACAATAAAATAGCCTATGTTAGAACATACAAATGCCCCGGTGGCGCTATTATTTGCTGCACTGAAGCTATGCTATGAGCCGTAGTGTCTCTTCCAGGAGCTGATTCCTTAGCACTCTCTTCGCAAATGTCCACGTCTCTCCTTTCTTCTTCGACTTTCGAACCCCAGGCTTCCTTAACCGCTCAACGCGGTGCTCAGATCGCCGAGTGAATTTCTCCACGGCTCGCGCCATAAATTTCTGGGAGTAGGCACGGAGAAACAATCGGGCATAATTCAACAATATGAGCCGCAAACTGCCATCCTTTTTCGTGGCATTATGCAATGCCAAAGGGAAACTGTCCGTCTTCCCCAAATCACTGTCCCCCATTACTTTAATGGTGATACCGCGAAGTGGGCCTGTAAGCGGAAATGTCGTAGTTGTGGAAAGACAGATTGAACTGCCACTCAGCTCGGCTGATCCAATCTCACATTTCGAAGTTTCCGATCCTTCAGAACGCTTTGATAACGATATCTGAATCATAACTGGTTTTTGAGTGACATTTTGCACGCTCAATAAGACTGGTTCTACTTTGGAGTAGTTGGTGAAGCGCGTGACGGAATTGTTCATCTTAGATGTCCTGACCTCTAGCACCGTGGAATAGGAGATAGATCGAAGGAAAAGGATGGATGGGAATGGGGATTTATACGGGTGACAGGAAATTGTATGCWGAGCTTGATGCGCGTTCAAATCACACTTCGCTTCTCAGCAGTGCTTGAGCACCGATAGTGGGTACTGTCTTGTCAGTAAACTATGTGCTAACTTATCAGGAAAAGGGACGAGTCCTAGCTATCTTGATTGAGAAGATCTATTCCACAGACGATTAGAAATTAAGAAAAGATTCTACCTTTTCGTTCGTGTCGTATCAGCAGTGCACTCCCTGGGAACGTCAGCGTAGCGAAGGCTACACAAAGATTCTCCTAGGCTGGTGCGTATAGGCTACGCTGTGGACAACTATGCTATGCACAGGTGGCCACGTATAGCCTACGTTAGAGATAATGAACAGAATTTAGAATTATTGTGGGTAAATTTATACTGCAATTACGAGAGCCTAACCATGCTTAGGCTATGGAAGGCCTGCACGTGAGAGCAAACAATTGTATACGTTGTACAGCGTAGGCTCGCGGCTAGGAGGCTCCATATATGAGCCTACGCCAGACGCAAGCCTACGCTACGAGAGGACCACAGTATAGCCTACGCCAGACATGAGCCTACGCTATGAGTGGGCC